TAGACTCACAATTTTCTTTTAGTGCCCAGATAAATCATGTATGTACAAAACTCAACAAAGCATGTTATGCAATATTGCAAATGAAACCATATTTGGATGAGAAAGGTCTTGTGAACTTGTACTATGCTTTTGCGTATAGCCACATTTCATGCAACATCATCTCATGGGGTTCATCAAGAAGTGAGTGGAAACGAGTTTTCATTGCTCAGAAGCGTCTAATTAGACTGGTATTTCAATTAGGATTCAGAGAAAGCTGTAGATCTATACATTCAAAAAGAAGCGGATTTTAACATTTTCAGGTATACTTATTTTGAAATGCCTTACTTTCATTAAGAGTTATTTGAAGAACGTTCCACAAAATCACCATAGTTATCAAACTCGCCATAAGAACTTTGACACACCGAGAAATAAAACTGCAATGTTCCGTAGATCCTAAATTCATTGCTTTAATAGTATATTACATAACAAGAGTTGTAAAACGCATATTACGCACGAAGTGGAGAGAGTTACACTAGTGGTGCCCGCGAGAGTCTCGTTTTCGAGAGTCTCGCATGGTCTCGTCTCGTGTTCGAGACGAGACTCGAGACGAGACTCGGACAAGGCGAGACGAGACTTTCATTGGTCTCGTCTCGAGTCTCGTGCAAGACTTTTCGTGTCTCGTGCGAGAGTCTCGCAGGTAAATATTTTTGCGTGCCGACTGCAGACTTGAGAATTTCATTCATAATAAAACATATTCAGGAAGAATTCTATAAGAAAGCATCGGAATCGCCTTAATAATGAATCTGCACGATGTTTGTTATGTCTTGACGACTAGGTGAAAAACAAAAACATTTGCGATTGTGAAGGCTGATGTGACTGATAAAGGTTTTTTCTCCAAGCGGCAGGAATAGTGGCTTTTTCCTGCCACTTAACAGACAGAAAAGGTGTACTTTTACTGCCTAGGCAGAAAAAGTTTGTTGCTATGCAACGTTCTAAGAAATTCTAATAAAATTTGTAATCAAAATTGACACTGACATATGGTGAACACAAAATGATGGAGTTTTCGATAAAAAAATCACACAAAATTGGTTTTATATCATTTGGAGGAAAAATTCTATGTTTCACATGGCAGAAAATGTTGATTGACTACTTTTCTGCCTAGTAAAACAAATAACTATTTTCTCAAATACCTATTTCTCAAATAAGTGAAATAATGTTGAATTAAAGTTTTTGTTCTGTTTATTTGTTGTGAATATATACGTGTTACTTTTTATTTCATTTTTATAACTTTCGAATATAGAATGCTATGTTTTTTTTTCTTGTTTAGATGTATGATGTAAGTATGTACCTATTAGATACTTACTTTTCCATAAACAATGTTATTTTTGTTGTAATTTTCTCTTTCTACTTCTACATTATACCTAGAAAGTAGGCAAAGGTAAATATCCCGTACTAGACATTATGCATGACGAAATTGCGATACTTTTGCGAGACTCTCGTACGAGACGCGAGACAAGACGAGACTCGGGGCTGCGAGACGAGACTCGAGACAAGACTTCATATTTCATCGGCGAGACGAGACGAGACTTTATGAAAGTCTCGTCTCGTTGGTCTCGTGTGAATCACTAAGTTACACACGATGCCGCATAGCATAGCCACAAGTGCGTAATTGCTTTACAACTCGAGAATCGTACTATACTTTTTTTACGACTACACTATATTCTCTTCCGGATAATAGCAAAAAACACATTATATAAAAATATAAAATTAACATCCATAATGATTATTTATTGTGACAGTGCAGCACGAGAGATCCTATAATCGTTAATAAAAAATAATAAAAGAAGTTTTCCAACTGCGCTCTGAACCGCCGACCTTCGGATTCGCTTCCTACAACTGAGCTATCACCATTATATACTTCGTATGAGTAGATATTTTATAAATATCATTTCGAAGATTGATCTTTTCTAACTTCCTGTTATTTAAAGGAAAAGGAATTCATCAATTCAATGTTGAGTATGTATGTTATTTCAACAGGAGCATTCTGTAGAAAATAATTGATCTGTTCAGCATTAAGTATTTTTGATTTTCCGATATCCTATTGAGGAAATGGGATATGTTGCTATATTGATATTGTGATTGATATTTAGTGTTGATCGTAACATGGAATATATCGACCAGAGTCATATAGAATTTGATAATTCTTGAAAATATACTGAAAGGATATATTTTCCTAAAATGACACCGTATTATTTCTGATTCTCCAGTCCAGGAATTTTTGATGTGCTGTTTCGTATCATTCACGAGACTTATAGCGAGTAGCAATTCATTTTTAGCCATTCTAGCTTTTTCCAACATTTCTGGTGGTATAGAAATAATTTCCTCATCGTCATCACTTGACATAATTTTTTTTAACTGAAATCGAGGATATTAACAATAGAAAATAATCATATTTTCAAAAAATATAATTTACCTGCTTTCGGTTTCGGTGGATAGCTGGATTGATTGATAAAAAGATAAGTACCTAGCCACCAAGTTACTGACATTAATGAAATTGTTAATTGGTATTGACACATCGCCTAAGCAAACAAAGTCATCTATCAACATACCTATGAAAACCGTGCGATCGCTCTCTTTACGCACACGTGTGTAAGGAAAAGCTTACTGCCATTTTTTGTGTACAATATTCATCACTTACAGTAGTAGTCGTAGGAAAAATTATTTAATGCCTTTCCTAATGAACTGAAAAACATCTCTTGCTACGAGAATTTCAAGAGAAAATGTGAAGGCACTTTCTACACTTTCTACACAGTAAATGAGTATTTGGATAGGAATAGCCTCTAGTCAATTTACAGATAATTTTATATTGCATATTTTATTCAACCTTCGTTCATTTGACTCACTGTTTTTTTAAATATACTATAATTACTATATTGTATTGTTCTTAGATTTTATGTATGTATTTGAGGATGTTTTAATCCAATTTATTTCAATTTTACACTAGGTATAAACAACTTGACTTGTCCAACACCCTTATAATTGTGGTAATTTATGGATCAATAAAGTTCCTATTTCTTCCATTTCTATTTCTATTATTGAAAATTTAAGCACCTAAAAATCGACCGAAAAAATCTAAAACTATATGGAATCGAAAGGTATTTGAGTTATGATTCTATTTGAGATATTAAAAAAATAGTCCACTCGCCAATTGGGGCAATTCTGTTCATCCTAAATCTCTTAGTTCTGAGATCTAGTTCAATGAATATAAAGCTGATTTCGATAATAAATCTGCTGAATGGTATATCGCCATCTCGTGGAACATTTTTATAACCTCCATTTTTTTTAATAATATATCATTTATTAACAACAAGAGAGAATAAATAAATTCATAAATCGAACAAATGGAAGTCAATAAATGATCTAGGTACTCGATAAGTGACCAAACACTTGTTTCGAGAAATTAGAAGGTATATAATAAAAATATGAACAACAGCACTCACTAATACAATAAAATTATAAAGTTAAGATAATTTTTGAGTATGACAATTGATAAAACACAGCTATTATAAAAAACATGTAATATAAAACTTAACTAATAGGATATCCCTGACTTGACTATTTTTCGAAGTTAATATAATAAATGATATGAATATAATGAATGATATGAAATTGTGAATAACTATAAATATAAGATTAAAATGAAAATAGATAAGTATTTAGAAACAAAGAGTGGGAGAATAAATGTTAAAATGTTTAAAATAATGATTTTTCAATTAATTCACTGAATTTAAATCTTGATGTTTCATGAACAAATTTTCTCAGTTTATTTTTAAAGTGATTGATGTTCATAAAACTTTTTATTTCCTCAGGAATCGTATTGTAGATTTTTGGTGAAATGTATGAGTATGATTGCTGACAAACTGATTTAGAAATCAGTGGAATAACATGATAATGTCTATATGTCTAGTTTCATACATGTGATCGAGTCTGTTTACTTGATTGTTATTTTTTCTGTATTTTATTATCACATTCAAATAATAAAGTTGCCTCATGTCTAATATCTTACATTCTTGGTATAGTAAATCAGAAGGATATCTATGAGATTTTCTTAGAACAAGTTTCAGAAATCGTCTTTGTATAACCTCCAGTGGATTGATATGTTTGCGCACCGCCTCGCCTCATCCTACAATTCCGTATCGTAGGTGGCTTTCCACTAGAGCAAAATATAGTATTTTCAAATGGTGAAAGGATAGGAATTTTTTGAGGAACCTGAATTTATATAAGATGAACTGGAGTTTTTTAATCACGTACTGGATGTGTACGTTCTATTTCAAATTACTATCAATCATTATGCCTAAGTATTTTATATGATTTACTTGTGAAATTGACAGAATCTGATCCCTAGTAGTGATATCAATACGATCGTAGTGAGGCCTGTTTCTGTTGTTGCAGCTAATTGGCAAGTAGTGGGTTTTTTTCAAATTCACTGTAAGTAACTTATGTTCAAGCCAGTTTTTAATTAAAGCAAAGTCTGTTTGCGCTTTTTCTCGCAATGCATCCCAATTTTCAGCCTCATACACGATTGCTGTGTCATCAGCAAACCCTATTATGCTACCGCTACTATTTAGCGAAAACAGTCCATCTATGTAAATATTGAACAATAGCGGTCCCAAGACGCTTCCTTGCGGCACACCATATTCAACAGCTTCTTTTCTACTGTGTACTTCATCTACTCTAACAACCTGTCGTCTGTTGGTCAGATAGTTCTTGAATATATTCAGATTTTGATTTCTTATACCAATGTCCTCCATCAACTCCGTATAGTGTTTCAGTTGGTAAAAAACACTCACAGTGAATATTTGATTCCATCATAATGCTAATTTCCTGAAGTGAAAAACGGAAACTAATACTTGAACTCATTGAGAACAGTAGTGGAATTCTTGAAAATATGTATTTCCACTCACCCAGGAATAATTATTATATGTGGGTGTAAATAAACGATTGCATAGTTAAAAACGCACCTGATGCGGGCTATAACGGGACCGACACTGGTGTGGTTGGCTGTGATATTGCTTGTACGAAAACGGAGTTTGGTATCGGAAGAAATTGGTATCGGGATGCCGGATTTTATTTCTTTCTGCCAGACACCGCTCTTTGTCGAGGAACCTGAAACAAGAAGTTTGTGTCATATTGTCACAACAAACGAGTTGTGTTTGCCATATCGATTTATATTAGTTATATATCAAATGCTTGGCTCAATATTCTGCGAGAGGTAATATTAAAATATACACTAAAAGTTTAGGGGTAACTGAAAGTACGAGACTACATTCAAACATAACAATATATATAATAGCATGAAACATTATGGGTGAAGTGATTATAAATATGAGTAAACAACAATTAATATAAAGACAAAATAACAACTTACATTATAAAGACCATAACGACGAGCTCTTGTCAAGTCAAGAGTAGCCCCAGACCAGACTAACTTCGGAACCCTCATATCCAATATTTATATACATCATTTTATTAGATTTGCACGTTTCTCATGAGAGTTCCTTGGTCAGTTTTCATAGTTCAATGTCAATTGATGATTTGAATAATTTTATGTTTATAAAACCCTCATGGTTACAAATTACTAATATACTGAATGTTCTACTCGTGACAATATTTTTGGCAACCGTAATTTACGTAAAAAGTCCGGAAAATACTGTTTCTTTGGACGAGTAGACAAAATTCTAGGCCGAGCCGTAGGCGAGTCCTGGAATCTGCGAGCTTTTGGACGTGTTGCGTGCACTATTTTTTCGGCAACCATGCAGAATAACAAATCAATGAGACACATTTCCATGTTATATGTTTCTTTGTTGAATACAATTTTTTCTTTATCAATTCTCATTTGTATCAAATACCTACTGAAATTGGAACAGAATACCTATACCTATACTATAACTGTTACATTGGAAAGGACCCCGCACGAAAACACGGTAAATTGGCTCTCGGTCGAATTGGCTGAAATTTAACTATGTTATTGTGGAATGACTCATTAGAAAAATATGTGAGTTTGAAAAGTTTTGTATGTTTAGTTTCTGAGATATAAGCCGACAAAGTTCATAAAAACGTCGTATCGGGGTAGGATTGACGAAGGAAAAAACTGTTTTTTTAGTATAAATAAGACAAAATAAGCTAAAAAATGTATTGATCGGAACTCAAATACATGTCTAGTAATGATCACATGAATTATTGTAAATCAGGGTGTATACGAGGCACGGTCAAAAAATTCATTTTTCGGAAAAAAAATTCGAGCACTATTCCAAAACCAACAAGTTATATTTTGGTGAGACATTATAGTTTTAGTCTATTGTAGGCTTCGAAAAAGTATTTTGATTCTTGATGACTATCTCTGTTCGAAATATGATTTCTTTGAATTTTGTGTTATACCCCTTTTTGAAAACAATTGGAAGCTTGTTTTTGATCACAAAGAAAGGGATTGATTGATACTGTTGATTGAATGAAAGCTGAGGAAACTCACTAGCGAATTCAGTTGTTCACTATTGTCTTTCATTTAGATACAGGGTGTGTTAGATTTTATTGAAGATTATTCAACATGTTTTAATTGAATATCTCGAAAACAGTTCCGTTATAATTTGGATCTCATTTTACACACACTATTTCGAATATGTTCATTTGCAAAGGAGTTTTTCAATTTTTTATGTTTCGTTTCTGAGATATCAATTTTTGATAGTAATATCCGAGGTAATAACCCTATAATACCTGTAATACTGTAAACTCAAAAATGCATATCTCAGGAACGAAACATAAAAAAATTTAAAAACTTTTTGCACATGAAAGTCAACATATTCAAAATAGTGTGTGTAAAATGAGATTCAAATTAACGGAACTGTTTTCGAGATATTCAATTGAAACATGTTAAATAATCTTCAACAAAATCTAACACACCCTGTATCTAAATGAAAGGCAATATTGAACAACTGAATTCGCTAGTGAGTTTCCTCAGCTTTCATTCAATCAACAGTATCAATCAATTCCTTTCTTTGTGGTCAAAAACAAGCTTTCAATTGTTTTCAAAAAGGGGTATAACACAAAATTCTTAAAATTCATATTTCGAACAGAGATAGTTATCAAGAATCAAAATACGTTTTCGAAGCCTACAATAGACTAAAACTGTATTATCCTACTGAAATATAACTTGTTGGTTTTGGAATAGTGCTCGAATTTTTTTTCCGAAAAATGAATCTTTTGACCGTGCCTCGTATACACCCTGATTTACTATAATTCATGTGATTATAACTAGACATGTTTATGAGTTCCGATTAATACATTTTCTAGCTTATTTTGTTTCATTTATACTAAAAAAGCAGTTTTTTTCTTCGTCAATCCTACCCCGATACGACGTTTTTACGAACTTTGTCGGCTTATATCTCAGAAACTAAACATACAAAACTTTTCAAACTCACATATTTTTTTAATGAGCCATCCCACAACAACATAGTGAAATTTCAGCCAATTCGACCGAGAGCCAATTTCCCGTGTTTTCGTGCAGGGTCCTTTCATATGGACATTATCAAACTCACTATCGCAGTCGATAGTTTATGGCGATAATTGCTACCAAACTTTAAAAAATCCAAATGTCAACTAATTTCATGTCAAATAGCTATCATCCGATATTTCGCTGCTATGGTAATTATCATCTGCACTTATCAAAACCTTATCTACCAAGATTTTCATAGTTACAGTGACAACAACGATGTGATACTTGCCGGCCAAGTCCGAGAAGTACTTACTTCTCGGACTAGGCCGGAAAAATGCTACTTTCTCGAAGAGACGATATGAATAATTACAGGCCAATATCTGTCCTCCCTATTCTTTCTAAAATTATAGAAAAAATCATGAATAATCGTCTTCTTGACTTCCTTGAAAATAACAATCTATTGTACAGTGGTCAATATGGATTCCGTAGGTCAAAGGATACAGAGATAGCTGTAATGGATGTAATTTCGGATATCCAGTCACGGATTGATGAAAATTATAAATGTGGCTTCTTGTCCTTGGACCTATGTAAGGCATTTGACACTGTAGATCATAAAATTTTACTAAAAAATTATATTCAATCGGCGTCAGAGGAAGAATTCATGATTGGTTCACACATTATTTGACAAATAGGAAGCAGTATGTTGAAGTGGATGATCTTTCTGGCTCACTAAAGAATATTACATGTGGAGTACCGCAAGGATCAGTTCTGGGACCAATTTTATTTTTAATTTATATTAATTCAATATCAACCCTGAAATTGAAAGGAAAGCTAAAATTATTTGCGGATGATACAACATTGATTTATATATCGAAAGAATTAAATGATATCGAACGGGATATTACAAGTGATTTGGAAAACATATCATCTTGGATGCAAATTCATAAGTTGACTCTTAATTATAACAAATCTTCTTATATGTATATTTCCGAAAGATCAGTTAATATTTCGAATAATGCTATAACTTTCAACAATAGATTAATTAAATATACAGACGTGACAAAATTTGTAGGTCTCTATATCGACGAAAAATTATTATGGACTAAACATCTAGACTATTTGAGAAATGAAATGAATCCGATCATAGGCCTTTTATTCAAAATCCGAAATATTATTCCCATAAAATACTTGAAACGTATTTACTTTTGCCTCATTTATTCAAATTTGCAATATTTTATTTCTATTTGGGGGAGTACAAATATTTCGCGTCAGAAACCACTAATGAAATTACAAAACAAATCAATTAAGTGCATTTTTCATCTACATTTTCTAGAACCAACGATAAATTTATACAAACCAAGACATTTTCTGAACCTGATTTCCTTATATAAACTGGAAATATGTTGCTTTATTCATTTTGCCAGGAATAAATTGAAAATATCAAATTTAGCTTTCAATGAAGTCAATACAGTCCATAGTTATGGGACTAGACAATTGAATTACTTGATAGCAAATACATTCAAGTCGAACATTGACAAACAATCTGTTTTTCACAATGGAATAATTTTATACAATTCATTACCGAATGAGTTGAAAAATATACATGATGCGAGAAGGTTTAAAATCAATCTTAAAAAATACTTGCTCAGGACAATTTGAATGAATAATATGTGGCATGATTTGATTACTTAGGAATGGAATATAACTTTAATCTTATGAGACACAATATTAATTCGTTTCCAATGAGTGGAATTCATTATAGTTAACCCTTTATTATTATTTTTTTATATGTATTTATGTATCCCTATCATAAACAGAAATGTTTCTTGGGGTAATAAAGACAATCAATCAATCAAAAAAGCGTCCGGGCAGTGAGCACTGCTCTATTCACGTGGTTAGTTCTTATTGGAATGCTATAGAGAACATGCCAATGTTAAAAAACTCTTGGTATCGCTTGAGGAACTTTGGAATCGTTTCCAATAACTTGCAATCTTGATATACCTGGAAAATCTTCGAAATTTACTTGAACCCGACTTGTACAAGATGGTCTCCTCGGCTTTGGTGGTGAGAATGAACTATTATTGAAATACTGCTTTAGCGTGGAACCAAAACGAACGGGAGCCATTGACTCAAGTTGTGAGTTTTGATCTTATTCTGGCATTGGTAGTATTCTTTTGAAGCATCTATTGTTTGACTGCAGCTATTCATGGCTTCAAAATATTCTGCTTTAGTCACGTGTACAAGGTTTTTGTGCCAGCGATGATAGACTGTTTATTTCAAGGCAACAGCTCTAGAACAGTTCTTGGTGGAATGCTATACGGAATGCCAATGTGAAAAAAAATCTTGATATCGCTTGAGTAACTTTGGAATTGTTCCCTTATCTCACCTATAGAACTCCTGTCTGATCAATCTCTCGACCTGGCAGTTTTTCAGCAAGATGGAAAAATACCCGACTTGTACAAGATGGTGAATAACTTTCAGAAAATCGGTGTCAATTTTGGTGCACACTTTCTGAGGATAATGGGTGGAATTCCATCAGGATCATTGAATCAAATCGTTTCGAGACCAATCAGAATGCGTCTGATAGTGCGTTGACGAAAGACGATTTCAAAAATGTTTGCTTTCTCTTGCAATGTTGTTGCTAATGTGCCGTCGGCTCTGCAGAGTGGTGGGAATAAACTATTAGTGAAATTTCCCCCGACTGCCTTAGCGATAGGAACCAAAACGAACGGGAGCCATTCGTACAATCTATAAGTTTTGTTCTCATTTTGTCATGATATGATTCTTTCTATGCATCTATCATTTGACTGCAGTTATTCCTGGCTTCAGCATATTCTGCTCTAGTCACGTGGTCAGCTCTTATTGGAATGCTATAGAGAATATGCCAATGTAAAATAACTCTTGGTATCGCTTGAGGAACTTTGAAATCGTTTCCAATAACTTGCAATCTTGATATACCTGGAAAATCTCCGGAATTTTCCTGTACCCGACTTGTACAAGATGGTGTCCTCGGCTTTGGAGAGTGGTGGGAATGAACTAATAGTGAAATACTGCTTCAGCGAGGAACCAAAACGAACGGGAGTCGTTGACTGAAAAAATGAGTATTGATCTTATTCTGGCATTGTAGTATTCTTTTGATGCATCTATTGTTTGACTACAGTTATTCATGGCTTCAACATATTCTGCTCTAGTCGCACCTGTACAAGGTTTTTGTGCCACCGATGGTAGACTTTTTGTTTCAAGGCAATAGCTCTAGAACAGTTCTTGTTGGAATGCTATATGGAATGCCAATATGAAAAAAAACTCTTGATATCGCTTGAGGAATTTTGGAATCGATTCCAATATCTCACCTATAGAGCTTGTCGAACTCCTGTCTGAGCAATCCCTCGACCTGGCAATTTTTGAGCAGGATGGAAAAATACCCGACTCGTACGAGATGGTCAATAACTTGAAGAAAATCGGTATCATTTCTGGTGCACACTTTGCGTGGAATTCCATCAGGACCGATACCCTCTTCCCTTTTTGAGACCGAGCAGATTGCGTCTGATAGTGCGTTGACGAAAGAAGATTTCGAGCATTCGACTTTTAACGGATGGGTACTCTTCCCTAGGAATAGGTGGAGTTTGCTGCGAACATCTCTGCAAAAATGTTTGCTTTCTCTTGCGATGTTGTTGTTAGTGTGCCGTTGGCTTTGGAGAGTAGTAGAAATGAACTATTAGTGAAATACTGCTTTAGCGGGTTACCAAACCGAACGGGAGCCATTGACACAATCTGTGAGTTTTGATATTCATTCAGTTATTCATGATGGCTTCAACATATTCTGCTCTAGTCACGTGTTCAGGGTTTTTGCGCCAGCGATAGAAGGCTGTTTGTTTCACGGCAACAGCTCCAGAACAGTTGCTATATGGAATTCCAATGTTAAAAAAACTCTTGATATCGCTTGAGGAACTTTGAAAACGTTTTCAATAACTTGCAAACTTGATATACCTGGAAAATCTTCGGAATTTACCTGTGGAGCTCGTCGAGCTCCTGTCCGAGCGATCTCTCGACCTGGTCCTCTCTCTTCCGGCCAGCAGCTGCTCGCTGGAGAAGCTCTTCCGGAACCCCTCGAAGACGACGGCGGGTCTGGGCGTGGCGGCGCTGCGGCGCTGCTTGGGAGGCGAGAAGGACCGGCCGCGCTCACCTCTGCCGTATTGCTGGGGATGGCGTCTGCTGTCCTGCCGCAGGATGTACACCGGTTGCAGGACGGTGGAGGGGTCTGAAAAGAGAATAGTATTTTTTTTATAACGAGCACTGAATGATAGTAATTCTCCACGAGAATGGAGTTAGCAAAAATTATACGAGTGGAAAATTAGCAAATCTGTGCGAGTTATACACTATACTTTCTCTACGGCTGTAACAGATTACAGCGAAATTTTTGATTCCTTTGGCTTGTAGACATCTGATTTTTTCTCAAGTAATGTTCGTCTATTAGACAGAGCTGTCATATTTCGAGGTTTTGAGATTTTGTAAAATATTTTTTTATGTTCTGGTTCCCACGAAAAGGGATATCCTGTACTGTTCAGGGACCATCGTGACAAGCGAGGGAAATAAAGTAGGAATTGATGTTCTCCTTAAATTTCTGGAGATTACATGCCTCGGGGAACACCTCCCTTCGCAATGTGTTCCAGAGCCTCGCTGTTCTTTGGATTGACGAGTCTTTGGAAAAAGATATTCTGCAGGTCTCCAAAGTGACCACGAAGGGGTGCAAAGCCTCAACTCAACGGTTTCATCACAATGAAGTCATTGAAAAATGATTTTGTCTACTACTGCCATGAAAAGTAGCGCATTTCTCTTAGCTTACTTAGTTGCAAAACCATGTATTGCTCATACTGTGAGAAATATTTTTTCTCACGGCAATTTGCCAACGCCACATACATTTCCATAGAGAATGAACAGAAATCGACCAAAACTTAATTGGCTGGTGTTCAGCTTTGAATAGTTGTCACAACTGTCAGAATAAATTTTTAAATTCTTTAGGGTAGTTCTCATCAGTGCTTTTGATAGAAATCGCAGTTTCCATCAAATATTATTTCAACAATTCATAATAAATAATATCTAAAAAAAATACAGAAATAAAATTTTCCTCGGAAAGTGTACTTTTGAAATACTCTGAGGAACTAGGAAAGGCGTTTGCTCTTTGGACACAATATTCAATGTGGCAAAGTGCCACATTATAAAATGAATACCAATAAGTTACATCACTTGGATTCTTTGGATAAGTGCAGTTGTGAAAAATGTATAGTGTGCAACATGTGGAGAAAAGTACTTTTCCTACTTGTTGCACAATATACTATTTTCGTGAAGTTTGTGCATGGAATTTGTAGTGGTGAATCGGTGATCCATTTAGTGTTTTAGCAATTGAAAAGAAATCAAACCTAAGAAATAGTCGTATTGCAACAGATAATTTTTTTATTTAAATTGGTAATCAGTCACTAATACCTTCTTGGTCGAAATGGGGCAAATTTCGTTGATATCAATTTAATCATGATAGCATTTATTATTCGGCAAACGTTTAACCTTGATTAACAGCTAAAATTGACGCGCAACTCAAAATTCGAGTCCTTATTGATTGCTCTATATTTAAATACATTATGCAGATATTCTGGTGATTATTCAAATCATGGAAATATTCACACACGAGAGTATAGGTATAATCCACCATTAGTTATACGTTATAGGAATTTCAATGTTGGTATCTGTATTAGCATTTTTATGGGTAGCGGTGATATTTCACATTATTGATATACTCATAGAATATTTTCTCCAATAGATTAATTTCTCTTTCGCCTCTATCAATGAACTCTTTATGCAGCTGGTATACCCAATAAGGGAATCAATTGAATGAAAATTTCCTAGAGCTCTAATTCGGAAAAATTCGGAATCGATTCGAGAGAAGACATCAAGCTTCATGATCATGATCGATAAAAAAATATGAAAAATATTTGCTCAAACGGAAATATAACCCCACCGCTACAGCATTTCACAACTTCAATTATTATCAACATGCTGTAGAACGTTCAACTAGAATTTTTGTAGTCTCATATTCTGACAAGTAGCTGAAACAAAGGCGAGCCACAACTGTGGGAATCGAATAGAAATCAGTTACTTATGGGACTCACGAGTGATTTGAATTTGGAATTGGCCTATATTTCAGACCACGACTTTTATTTTGTTGATCATGTTAGTTAATGCAAAAAAACAACTACGAAAAAGCCAAAATGCTCTAAGTGGAATGAGATGTTGAATAAGAGTTACAAGCTCAGACATTTTCACAAATGTTTAGTAAATGAACAACAATGGTAGATGATGGGAGAAAAACAACTACTTTCCTGGCTAATCTTCCCGAAATCTATGTATTGATTCTTATAAACGTATACTGATGTGTTTCTTTCCTGAATGAATATTGATTTCGATTTAGGCAGGTTACGCTCGATACCTACATACCCAGCAGTCCTAAGACCGCCGACTAAGCGTAGCCTAGGCAAACAAAAATCAAGTCGGCATTATATTCCCCCAGAGGCGACCTCCATAGGCAATATGAAAGCAACGCCATCTGAGTAGAAACGAAGGAAAGATATACTCCAAAACTGAAATTCCCATACGGACGTGGCTGGTTGCCCGACTGGCGTAATTTCAACTACGAAATTGCCACAATGCTCCAAGTAAATACAAAAAGGTTGAAGTAATTTCTACACAATGTTCAGGAAATGCACAAAAATGGTAGATTTCGGGAGACAAACTACTTTCCTGGCTAATGCCACGCAAAAAATTGAATAACATCCTCCTATGCATCGACTAGTATAAACGAATACTGATACAAGTGGATCTTTCCTGAATGCCTGGTGAATCGAAATCAATTTTGTTGTTATGATATGAAGAATAGTTAGATTTTGATTCAAATTGAGGAAAATGGCTTGGTATGCAAAGTACAAGAATTTTTATTCGTACATTTTAATGCTCAAAGTGACTGGAGACGTATTCAATAATAAACACAAGGTATCTGTACTATCCTGAAGAAAGTACAGTGTAGTTGTAGAAAAAGTATAGTACAATTCTCGATTTGTAAAGCAATTACCCACTTGCCATTATGCGACAACTTCATCAACTTCGTGCGTAGTATGATGCGTTCTGCAACTCCTGTTATGTAATATAATATTTTTAGATCTATTCAAATAGAGTCTGGAAATAATAAAAATGAAATCGCGTATAACCGTTCTCTTTTAGAAATCTTCAGAAGTCTTAGAACATTTTCAAATTTCAAAACGGCATTTTGTCAGCCATAAAATTGCACAACTTTGCCTACATTTAACCCTATCTACCAGTATAGATGGAGCTCTTGATGAAGACTCGAAAAACCACATGATCCGAAATTGAAAAATAGAACTCGGCTTGGATTCAGTCATTCAATTAATTAATTATTGTGATACAGGAATATCGATTTTATATTTATCTACCGTTAGACAGTGAAAGACAATTGACGCAGTTGAAAATGTCGAACAATGATCCACGACCTACATCAAGAACGAAAGTAGGTTGAAAATGATCTATAGATTAATCAATTGAGGTTAGTGTATTTTTTCCCTTCAGATTGTACTATATCTGAGAGAAAATAGCCTGGTGCACATAAATGACCATGTAGAATAATTTTATTTTCAGAAAAATACTGCATATAGGGTGATTTCCCACTGTCGAGAAAATATACCATATATAGGATCACTATACATAATTTATTTCGTATCCTCTCTAAATTAAATCGATATTATCATTTCGAATTGCCATATTGACAATATTTTCATATTTTAATGAATTACGAAATCAATTGAACATCCTGAATTTTTTTTGATGTTTCTTCATTTTCTAGATATCTATATACTCAATGATTTATTATAAAGTTTTTAGGGTTACTATCCCATTTATGTTGAACATAATTAAATGATTTGTGAGTGGAAAATTTTCATTTTATTTTTGCAAAAAAAAACATTATAATAAAGACGAAGAAAAGTTAGAATATACCATTAATGATACGATATTCTATAGCGTGAAAAGAGCTCGTTTATGATTGGAGAATAATGGGAGACATTTAGATAATTTTTGCAAGATTTGCAAGCATTATATCGACATCGCTATCAGTCATGTTATTTTCTATGACTATTCTTTGTCTCTGGATTCCACTGTCTTCACCAAATTATCGTAGTATAGCCACTAGGTTCGAATTTTTGCGAAAAAAAAAACAATAAAAATGATGATATAGAAACCATGAATTCAATATAAAATACCCAGTCATTCAAACATTCTCCTATCAACCTCATTCACTGAGAAGTGTCAGAAAGCGAAACAAAAAAAAACTAGAGCAGATTCGTTCTCGAGACGACCAAAGCTTAGTGAAAGCGTGATAGATTTTCGATATATTCATATTATTTTAAAAAAATTAAAAAAAGAAGTGTCACTGATTATCGAATTGATTTTTCATTTATGTTTTCTAATAGTGAAATTTTCAAACGCACTGACATTTTTGATCAAATCATCTGACTTGTATTTATATTTTCATTTCATGCTCGCACAAGTCTCTGAGCTCGCTTCTGAGGGTTGCACGTAAGGGGAAAACAGAATGATTGATATATAAGAACAATTTTGGAACAATTTTTGAACGATATGTAGAAGCAACGAGAATAGAAAATCCGAAATGAATAATGCATGAATTTTCCATGAAATATTGTGATTTATATTTTTTTTCAAATTCTCGATGAGTAATTGAATGTTTTTTGTTATTATTGTTCGGAATACAGAAGCAATTTTTATGTGATAATCTCAAAAAAAAATGTGTATCGCTAAGAATTGTAAAGACCCCATGCAAAACAATATAGGTACTCACTTTTGTTATTATCCTTAGCATATCCGTTCCTCTGGAAGACTGAAGAATCCACTGCCCAAACAGGTTGGTTGCCATTGCCATTTTCATCCTGCAAATATATCCCTCGCTAAACTCAAAAACTTTCGCATCCCCAAAATAACATACCAATACGAAATTGTCTAGGGAAATTGGCCGCAATGCAAACAGTCTGCACAGCAACATTACCAACAGTCAACACTAACTTACACCGCGAGTCATTTAATTTCCATGTAACTGAACAATAATGAAATGTACACATGTCTTTCTACGGCATTTCGATTGATCGATAATGTGGAGGAGGAAAACTGCTAGCCAAACTATTATACTATTCAAATGACACGCAGGGCCGGTTTAAGCGACACGCAAGAAGTTGCAAGGGCGCGAAAGGCAATAACACAAACACAGGAAGGACCGGCTCGAGGTATAGTCACGAATAGAGTTATTTTCTTAAATTACATTAGAATTCATTTAATAAAATAGAGCCAGATCCCCAACTTTTCTACGGTGTCCCAGAGAAGTGAGTGAGTTTGTGAGCGAGGCATCACCCACGAGACGAATTGCCCTTTTTTGAACAGAATCCAACAGTTTCAGGGTATGTTCGGGTGCTGCACTCCAAATATGGAAACAGTATTCTAGGACAGGTCGGATCTGTGCCTTATAGATCATAAGCACCTGACTGGAAGTGAAATAGCTCCTGGCCCGAAACAGACAACCAAGTTTTTGGGATGCACTTTTAGCAATTGATCTCACGTGATTTTCCCAAGGAAGGTTATTGCATCGACATGGATATCCTCAAAGGTATGTTTACTCTTGCCACTCCTGACAAGCTTATGTTGCGCACAGTGAGATCGGCTTTTCTAGAGGAAAGGCATGCTTGTGTTTTGTTTGCATTGAAATCTACCAGGTTATTGGATTCCCATTCGAGAATTGTTGCCAACTCCATATTTATGTTGTCAACATTTCTCCCTGGTTCGTTTCTGATTTGCCTGGCTGGAATTGGAACCCTGGAAGAGAAGGCGGTATCGAGGGTACTATCATCCGCGGAGCTGTGTACTGGACATGAAGTTGTTTCCAACAAATCGTTGATATGGAGTAGAACTAGTTTTGGTGCTAGAATTGATCCTTGTGGAACACCAGCATTTATGATAAGAGAGTCAGATGAAACTCCGTCGACCACTACATGGAGAGACTTGTTTGAGAGAAAACTAGCTAGCAGAGAACATAGCTGGGGAGGAAAGCTATAAGATGGAAGCTTGGCGAGGAGTCCGTGTGGTGCTAGACTCGATCGAATGCCTTGGATATATCAAGTGCCATGGCTGAGGTTCCACCATATTTTTCAATAGATTGCTGCCGATGTGAGATGTAAGCGAGCAGGTCACCAGTTGATCTCTGATGACGGAAGCCATATTGCCTATCGTTGATAATACCAGAATGTTCCAGGTATTTCATGAGCAAGGTAGGGTCTTTTTGCATTTTTTAACAACTGGTTGTACTCTTGCAATTTTTCAGTTGGACGGGAATATCCCCAACTTGTGAGAGTAGTTGAAAAACTTGCAAAGAACAGGTGATACTTCGGGTGCACATTTCTTGGGAACAATCGGTCTGAGCAATTAGATTTGTTGGTGTTGAGACCCAATAAAATCTTCCTTATAGTACGTTGGCGAAAGGTTATCTCGGCCATATGACTGTCAATTGGCGTTATGTATGGGGGTTGTTTCACCGATGAATCCAGAGTAGAATTTCCATCAAATAAATGCGCAAAAGATGTTGGCTTTCTCCTGGGCAGTTGTGGCTAGTGTTCCACCTTCCTTGGTTAGAGGAGGAAACGAGCTGGAAGTGAAGTGTCTTCCTACAGCTTTGGCGAAGGACCAAAACTAACGGGATCCGTTCGGACATAAACACAGGCGAGACATTTACTTCAATGAACCTGGACTATTGACCTGATTACCTTACTGTCACGTTTCCGAAAGTATAGACTATATTCAAAAGACGTAAGGAAGCGAGCTCGACATTTCGAGTGCCAGTTCGAGTTCTAGTCATGTTTTTTAAGTACGAGTCAGGAAAGTTCATATTCTATCCACTGTGAGTTTGAAAAGTTGCCATACTGTGTCCGAACCTGCGGAGTTCGGGCAGAACAGAAGATGCCCTTCCTCGCAGGCTCCCAGAAACATCAGTTAATATGTACATACCTATAGGGTAAGTTGAGTTTTGATTTCATTGTTATTCATTGCGAAGAATAAATATGTGTGTATGTTTTATTTGAAAACCTCTTGCGTATTATTCATCGTTATCACTTTTGAAGTTCATTTTCTAATGGATCTAGAACACAACTAACACAACACAACCCCCGCCTACGGTTTGTGACTTTGTGACAGTATTTTGCCACCCTAAGCGAGACATATTTCAGCGTTCCTTTCACCCTTCATGATAATTATATTCACCCATTGATCCACTGTTTCGTTTCGTAGTGTCGAGAATTAGTCGAATAACCAATTAACTGTCTACAGGTTTGAGGCTCTCCATTCATTGTTGTTAGATGTATTGAATGGAGTATCAAAAAATAGAAGTACAGAGGAAAATAGTTTTATTCAAATTCATCCCTAATAGCACAGTTATGTCACATGGACATCCTTAGGACGTCCTATCGGGACATTAAGGACGCCCATAGGACGGTCAAATTTGGTACCGCGCATTGGATGTCTCAGCGACGTTCGTATTATTCTTGAATTTGAATTCATTTGGTTCTCCCTAGGACCAGATCTTGCATGACTGATGGGGATATTCAGGTGAGTTGATGGTCTAATGAAAGCTCACAATAATCCCTGAAGAAGTTTTCCAAAGATGTCCAATGGACTTAAGTAAAGGACATTGGCGGGGAGTATTCATAGCCCACGAGCAGTCGTTGGTCGGCGAGGTGTAAGTTAACGTCTATACAAGGACAATATTTCGAACGTACCGACTGGGGTGTCCGTAGGACGTTATTTCTAGGACATTAGTAAAAAAAAGGATCATTTGCTTGCGTGAAGGACATATATATAGGATGCCTATCTGAAGTCTTGATGCCAAAGTGTACCACCGATGGATGTCCCTTCGGACACATTCCAAATCGTATCTAGGACATCTCGTGGAATCATATCATCTGTAGAATATTCTTGATGATGGATTATCTACAGGAGTTCCTTCCGAAGTCATGACAGCTCATGTACCGATTAAGACATCCGATGGCTATCCTTAAGGGACATCTCGAATGTTATACGATCCTGGAAATATTAAGGCCGTCCGAGGAATGTACCGTCTGGGACATTCGATGGTAGTTCTAGAAGAAACATTATATAATATCTGAAGTATTATATAATAGATACTACTTGGGACATCCAATGTTACCAAAGGAACGTTTGAGATTATATCCCATCAGAGACATGCCAAGGAATCCAAGGATGCCATTTTTCCTTGTCCTTGTCTCTGTCCTTGCTCGGACATTGCATGAAATGTATGTGGTGGGACGTCCCAAGGACAATTATTTCAGATCTGGGACATTTGGACTTGAATTGTACCAAATAGGGACGTCCCTAGAATGTTGCACGCTATTACTTACATGTACCCTCAGATACATTATTACATTACATTATAATGGTTGAAATGGTGCTTATCTTGCTTTTTTTTATCAAATTATCTCACTAGGTGTTTTGGGTTACTTATTTATTTTCGATAAAAGTCAAAGTACGACCTGTTGGGCAGATACGAGTAGAGTACTGTTTACCTGAGTTAATACCCTTTTCAGAAATGGTATACTGAGAGAAGAGTCCCGAGACGTAGGAGGTAATAGAATTGCCCGCGGATTAAACTTATTGATATGAAACGATCTTAACAAAATCGTGTAGATTTCGCCCGCAATACCGGGCGGTAAAGTGCACTTTATCGCCTGCTAGTGTATAAAACATATTCGTGTCTCATGTTTCTCGTTCAGCTGTTTAACAATATGACAAGTGTGTTCACACTCTTTAAAGATCGTGAAATGAGATGCGAGAGGCAATCTAGTTTGGGTTAGTACTTCCATATACTAAAATTCAAGTACTTTACTGAAATCGGCCCATATATAGAGAACAACAGGCAAATGGATACTTCGACTTCATCGATGTGCACACTGAATCTCTGAATGCTATCATCTCACAAAGATACTATTGAAGCAGATCAGTTGGCAAAGACAATATAAGACGACAGGCAAAACAAGAAACTTCGACTTCGACTATGCAAACAGTTGAAGCAGAAACGATCGCACTGACCATATAAGACGACTTTCAAAAGTATATAACGAGTACAACAGGCAAATGGAGATACATCAACTTCATCGGTGTGCACACTGTATCTCTCTTTTCTGTCATCTCACATGGATACTATTGGAGCAGAATCGATCGCAACGACCATATAAGACGACATCGAAGCGGGTATAACGCACACACAATAGGCAGAATTTTTTTAGAACGTTTAGGTGCCACTCAAACTATCCTGTACTATCCATCAGTCGCCTGTTCGTGACTTTGTTGACATTGCATGACCAATGGTCATTGAAACAATCACATCTATTTCAGCAAGGGTTTTTTTCTGTCTGCTGAAGTCAACTTTTATTTTCATTATGAAGACGTGGTCCTTGAATTTCTTATTGTATGATTTTTTCAAGCCGATAGGAATTCCGGAATTTATGATTCTCGATAATATTCTCGTTCCATGGCAGGTCGAACGACACTTATCGTATTCTCATTGGGATAACATCTGGATTTGAAAACTGGAACGAAATTGTGGAAATCAGCAATTTTCCTCATATACTGTTATTATTAATTTTGAAGAAATTGATAACCGAACGTTATCACAAAATTTCAGGGCGATAGTCTATAGAAGAAATTTGGAGTTTCATAGTCGTTATTTATTATCCTCATGAGAAACTCATTAATGAAAACTACTTATCGATATCCAGTTACAAGGAGGCTACAAATATCGTTTTTCTGCAACCGACACAAAAGTCGTCCATTTCGATACCAAAATTAGCTCTTAAATTGACGTTTCTATTACTGACACAAAAATAGGTATGTTGCTAGGCAACATATTTAGTTCCTAGGAGCTGAAGTTGAATTTTAGTTCCTAGGAGCTGAAGTTGAACTTTAGCTCCTAGGAACTAAAAAGGATCTACTGGACGTCATCAAGAATAAACAACATTGTGACGGTTGGTTGGTTATTTGGATTGAGGCGCATACCTGATTTGTTTCCGATTTCAGCAGATTTGGCATTTCATACCCATGCTGAAGATATAAATACACCTTATTATAGTTTAGTATTGGAATCATAAACATCTCAGTTAAGTATTTTTGTTTTGATCAGGGAAGCCTTCAAGATTCAAATACTTGGTTGATCTGTATTTCATTCGTTATTCTCGGGATGGATAACTTGTTTTTGAATAATCACTGCAAGCAATAGTTTTTTTGTCTCAAACAACGATATTGATTAGCTCCATTTGATTATCAAGTCAAACACAGTGTAGTATGGAGAGGAATAAATAATCACTATTATCATTGTTGATATGCTCACTAACCTAACATTTTCCACGTCTTGTTCCTATAGAGCACCTGGTCCATACACAAATATGACACTCTGTGGTTGTATTTATATTGAAACTACAATTCGAACATCCTAGAAAACCTAACCTGCAGGTAGAATATTCTCATCACATGGATTATTTGTCAATATTTGTTGCATTGCATACATATGGCACGGCATTGGTGGTTACTTCACATGTTTATTTGAGTTAATTGTTTCGGTTGCAGAAAAAATAACATGTTTTCATTCGGATCAAAAATGACTTTGTTCGACTCGCAAATTTTGCTGTCGCTCGGCTTCGCTAAACGCTCCGCCTCGCAAATGCAAAATTCGCTTGTCAAACAAAGTGTCACTCTTGATCCTAATAAACAATCTACTATTTCTCCAAGCGGCATAAAAAGTGACTCTTTTATGAAACCCGACAGGCAGCAGAGGTTAACTTTATTTGCCTAGGCAGAAACAGTTTGTTGCCATGCAACATTCCAAGTTTTCACTACTCTCGGGTAAGAACTATCAATCGCGGCATTTAATCTACTACTCATTCGCTGCTTAGTAAAACAAATAACTATTTCTGGGGAAAAATTTCGGTTTCCAAGAAAAGGGTTTGAAAAGCATTGAGTTTGTGGATCCTCAGGCACTGAAATCAGTTTTCCTCTAGCATCAAAAATATAACTTTTTCTTTCAGGAATTAGTCAATATTCCGCGATGAGAATGCCCGTTACCTGGCGCGGTATTTCTTACCTATATAGGCAGTTTCGCACGGTAAGCGTTTTGCAATTTTATAGGAACTAAAGTCTATGAACTCAGCTGACCTGAACTACACTGTACTGGATATTCCAATATGGAAAAGTTAATTTATGGTTGATTTTATTTATTTATTTATCAAACATATCTTCCAGTCATAACAAGTTCTGGTATGAGGGAGAATATAATTATAAAATAACAAGTAATGAATGTCTATGAACTACTACACAAACATGAGTAGAAGTGAACATGAATGATAATGAATCACAATAAATCACAATAAAACAAAACAATCAATGAACAAAGAAAAGCTTTCTAGTCGAGGACATAACTTACTGGTAAATATTAAACATTTCTCTCAGAAATAATCAGTTTTTTCATATTCTTTCTGAATGTACCTATATTTCTGCAGTTTATAATTTCATCTGGTAGTTAATTGAACTCAGATAATGCTGCATGACTAAATCTTTTTTGTCCGAGTGTAGAACTGGCAGCATCAAGGTGAAATAAGTTATATTGTCTAGTTTGATGATGGATGGATTTCAAAATTTCTTGTTGAAATAATATCAAATTTCAATTTTCTATCTATGATATTATATGAAATATTCAGAGTCTCTAATCTGTACAGTTCTTCTAAAGAATATGTTTTTGTTAAGGCATACAGTTCAGTTGTTGGTGTATCATATGGAAGAAGATACAGTACTTTTAATGATTTCCTATATATAATGTTGATATTTCATTAAAATTATTTTCAGAATAAGATCCCCAAACATTTATTAAATAGTTAATCCGACTTAGTATATGTTGATAGAGTACTATATTCGCAATTTTCATATTGAGTTTGGGACATCTTCTCAATGCACCAATAATAGGAGATAATTCCTTTGTCAGAACCTCAATATGTTTGTCCCACTTCAATTTTTCATCAAACCAAATATTTTGCAAAAAAGGAATCAACTACTTTTCAAATTCGTACATTTTCAGAAGACTCCTTGACCACAGTTTAAGGAATGAGTAGTTCCTTAAACTGTGCCTTGACTTTAAAACTAAATTGGATATTGATATGCGGTACCGCATGGAAGATGTCTGGTTCAATTTCCTCACTCACCCTATTCGGGAAAACTTCATCTGATCGAGCATCTTCAACATGTCTTGAATTCCTGGACCAATAGTTCATGGAATGCGACGACGATGCAGAGGACGGTGAAGAATCACTGTATATTTTTTCTCCCAACAGCCATTCGTATTCGGTTTGGTCTCTCGGAGAAGAATACCGTATCGTCCCATCATTTTCAATTGTCGGAAGTTGCCGTCTGGATAGCCTGAAAAAAATTCCTAGTTGACCCACCATTTTCAAACAGTCTGACTCTAACAGCGTAATCATAACTTGAACGATCATGTCATAACTTCTAGAATATTATGTGAATCAAAAAAGAGATTTGGAATTGGTGGATCGTATGTGATGAGAAGGAAGGCTCCGGTGTTGAATATCCAAATGGAACACCCTGTACATTGTAACATATTTGGATTCCTGAGACAATTCGGGAGCCCACGAGGTGAGCCAATTTCTGTTAGGTATTCAATAGTGCATGATTACTTCCAAAATAATTTGGAGATTTTAGGGATGAGAGTATCACTTTCGCGATATGAATCAATAGAATAATGATACAACATGCATTCTTGATTGCTTGTCACATTTTCTAACTCATTATATCCGATTTCCCATTTTTTTTTCATACAGCCAATTGCTCAGTAGTTATGCTGCTAGAAAAAAAAAACCACACGTATGTCAAACTTTGATTCCGTTGTGTCAAAGTCAACTGCTATCAAACCACCCCTGAGAAGCCACTCTCAACTACAATTATACAAGTTACACCCGATATCTTTTTTTGTTGATTTGTGAATCGCACTTGACAATTTGTCTGATGTTCAATCGACAAAATAATAATTTGGTGTAAACGTGAAAGGCAATATCTCATTTTCTCATTATTTGATTGAAAGCTGCCTGAGATATTGGCTGTATAAAAAGATCTGGGACACCCGGTATAACCTTTGAAAATTCGGTTCTGTATAAAAAATCAATAATCAGTAATGTCATAAGATATTCATAATCCCCTCAGAATCTCGATCTTTTTAATGGCGGAATCCACTTATTATGTCTTGAGGCTCTTGAAGCTACAGTTGCTTCTTAGAGCAGCGATTTTGTTAGCTTTTTTTTCTTATTTCAATAATTTTTGACCGTATTTCTATGAATGTACCCTTCATGATACTTTCCATGCTTGTAACGATGACTATATCAATTCTATTCCCATATTTTCTCCATCATTTCATTACAGATTTTCAATTTTCCTTCTAAGAAACAACATCTTGAACGATCAAATTAATTCGGAGTTGCCACCACGAGTCTGCAGTAAGAGCTCTCATGATATTATCCCTGATGATAATATGAAAAGCTATAGTCGCACCGAATTCAAGAACCCTGATTTTTCAAAGAATCTCACATTTTTGGATATATGACAAATTTATATTCATCATACCGGACGTTGAATGAAATTCTAAATTGAGAAAACCTAATCACGAATTTGCAATTGAAGGTCTATAAAAATAACAAGTTTCCATCGTTCAAGTTTGAACCCCTTGATTGGGTGAAAGCATTGAAAAGGAATATTCTCAGATAAGTGATGAACATAAAAAAAAATAAAAAAACGTATATGCATGTAAAGAAATACATTGAGAATTCGCATTCTCTATGTGATGAAAATATCAATTCTTTCTCGGTTTATTCAACAGAAAACAACTATTGTCCTGGCTATATACCACGACGAACATTGAATCATATCTATTGAACACACACGATGAGAATTTGAAAACTAAATCTTCTAAAGTTGAGAATTTGCATTCTCCTTCAGATGAAAATATGTGTTTGTACGTAACATCATTGTGAATATTTAACAGAAAACAACTACTAACCTGCCTATTTGCCACGTCAAACAAACATTGAATTATATCTATTGACCATCTGAAGATAAAGCATGGAATTGAAAATTGACAATCTTCCAGATTTGATAAATATAATATTGTATTTTGATAAACATATAACTTACCAATATGTTCACGTATTGATTTTTTTGAAAGTTCAAGCTCATCAAGATCAGAGTTTATATAAGTTTACTTCTTCACTTCTCCTACACATTTCAATTTTCATTTCAATATTGAACATATTGGTAAGTTATATATTTATATCATGATATATTATATTATTTATCAGATTTTAGAGATTGTCAATTCTCGATATCAAAGGATTTTAATTGTTCATGCTCTCTTTTTAGATGTTCAACAGATATAATTCGATGTTGGACGTGGCAAATAGCCAGGAAAGTAGTTGTTATCTGTTAAATACTCAGAATAATGATGAAAATAAATATTCTTGGATATAATTATGCAGATAAAAAAATGGATATACATATATAATAACATAAAGAAATAAAATACATACATTGAAGAAGAATGCAAATTCTCTACTTCAGAAGATTTAGTTTTCAAATTTTTATCGTGTGGGTCCAATAGATATAATTCAATGTGCGTGGTGGCATATAGCCAGGAAAGTAGTTGTTTTCTGTTTAATGAACCGAGAATGAATTGATAGTATTATCATATAGAGAATGCGGATTCTCAATGTATTTCTTTATATGTATATCCATTTTTTTAATTTTTTTATGTTCATCATTCATCTGAGAATATTCTTTTTAAATCTCACCTCGTTCTGACCACGTTCATCAAGTATTGATGATCAGCAGCGAACCTAGTGGCTTCGTCAACAATTTCCAATGCTTGTGCGTTGGAACTCAGAGAAGCCACAGTGGCTAGCGTCTCCAATGCTGCTTGTCTTACGCGTTTCCTGCGGTCCTTCAGTGTAGCTGCGGCGAATTTTGTTATTCTGCTTATCTCTATTTCGGTACTGGGAAGGAACCTCGCTATTGTCATGAGAACTTGTAGTGCTCCTGAAAAAAAATTGACTGAATTATAACAAATCTTCATATATGTATATCTCCAAGAGATTAATTAATATTTCGAATATTACTGTAACTTTCAACAATGGATACATTAAATATTCAGACGTGACAAAATTTGTAGGTCTTTATGTTGACGAAAAATTTTTATGAAATAAACATATGGAACATTTTATTCAAAATTCGAAATATAATTTCCATAAAATATTTGAAATGTATATACTTCTGCCTCATTTATTCAAATTTGCAATATTTAATTTCTATTTGGGGGAGTACAAATATTTCACGCCAAAAACCACTCATGAAATTACGAAAAAAAAACAGTTATAGTTATTTAACCAACTAGTGTATTAATGAGGGCGATTAATGATCGAGATATTTTAACGTGCGAGCGAAGCGAGTGCGTTAATGTTCGAGATCATTAATCGCCTTATGATATACAAGTTGGTTACAAAAATTTTCCGTCGACTATATTTCTCATTTCTCCTGCAATGAAGAAAACTTGGTTCGCCAAATCATCATCCATCCGGAAACTGCTAAGAATCACCCAGTAGCCTTGTTACTGACATTAGACACATTTGACATTTGTCGAAATGATCATCATAGGAAAAAAATTCGTTGTGTTAGAAAACAGGGATTAATATCGTGTCAGAAACTTGGAAAGGCGAACCCGTTAACGGAAAATCGTCGATGAAATCCATATTTTCGATTTAAATGCAGATTCCGTAAGTTATAGCATATACAATGAATGCTCGTGGTGTATGTTTGGTTGCCTATAAAACAATCGTGTATTAATAGACAAATCGTTCATTAATAGGGGTCATTAATGAACGATTTCATATACATTAAACTTAGTCGTTAATACGAGGTCGACGGAAAAATACATTTTTCATCTACATTTTATAGAGCCAACGGTAAATATATACAAACCTAGACATTTCCTGAACCTAATTTCGTTATATAAACTCAAAATATGTTGTTTCATTCATTTTGCCAGGAATACATTGAAAATTTCAAATTTAGCTTTTAATGAAGTCGATACAGTTCATAGTTATGGGACTAGACAATTGAATTACTTGATAGCAAATACAATCAAGTCAAACATTGGCAAACAAGCTGTATTTCAGAATGGAATAATTTTATGAAACTCATTACCAAATGTTGGTGATTTAGTTTTCCTGAAACCATTTTCATTTGGTATTTATTGTTGTTTTTTTTTTCAGAAAAAATATGTTGAGTGTAAGATCTGTGAGTGATATTATTTAGTGAATGGAAAACCTGCTGATTTATACAACTACCCCCAAGTTATGTTCTTTGAGGTTGTATACAGGGTATGTCACGACGAGCTTACACTATCTCTATATCGAGAAATGTGCATGCTTATACATATTTCAGAATACGTTCTCTACATTTGAAATAATTTTATCGCGTTTTTAGATTCTCCCTGAGGGGCTGATTTCATCGACATATCACACTTGAGGTCTATCAAGGAGGATAACAAAGATATAGGGTGTTCAAAATCGAGATTTTTCAATTTTAGGATTTTTTGTGTCGAAACTATTCATTATTGGTCAAAACAGCTCACATGTCCCAATCTCAATTTCTGATTCACTATTTACTGATATTTATTTGAAACAGATACAGGGTGGTTCAAGATTCAGAATTCTGATCACCCTGTATCTGTTCCGATTGAATATCAGGGAATAGTGAATCGATCGTTGGGATACATGTGAGCCGTTTTGGCCGATAATAAATAGTTTCGACACAAAAAAATCCTAAAGTTGACAAAGCTCGATTTTGAACACCCTATATCTTGTAATCATTTTCGATAGACCCCAAGTGTGATGTATCGATGAAATCAGCTCTTCAGGAAGAATCTCAAAACGTAATAAAATACAGGGTATTTTATTCTGAATAACAAAGTTGTTGCTACTTTTAGATATAAGCGGCAACACTGCATTGCTGAAAATATTTCAAATATTAGCATGCAGATTTTCATGGATTTCTGATTCCCGATATAGAGATAGTGTGAGCTCGTTGTGATATACCCTGTATATATAGTTCGTTGAAATTCGTCAGTGCAATTTAGTTTCTCGATGAGTATGTGACTGACATACGCCCCATACGCCGTAGCGCCGCTATTTACTATACGATTTAGAAAAAGAAAAGTGCAAATTTCAACTCCAACGGTATCGATTGTCAACTTTTCTTATACCAAATGGCATCATACATTCCTCATTCGTATTATTAAGATTGTTTTCTGAATACAATGATGTATAACAAGTTGACTTTCGCGCAAAATTAGTTAAAAAAAATGTATGGTCCGTCGACAAGACATGGATACTTGCATCAAATTGTCTATTGAGTCATTGAAGATTGATGGATTTATGGAAAACAACTGACTATCTTAGGAAACCACAAACTAGAATAAGTACGGAATGATCAATTTCTTGACGAAGGAGCATATATTTTTTCCAACTATCTTTTTTTTTTTCGCTTGAAGCGCACGAAAGGAAATCCCCATAATGTTCAAAGAACATCGTGCGTTCCTAGGAAGGATAGGGACAGGAGGTAGGTATTGGAAGTGTTTTTGAACTTTTGGAGATTATAATATGTTGTTGGGAATACTTCCACAGGCAATGAATTCCAGAGCCTAGCCGTTCTATGGATGAAGGAGTCTTGATAAAGTGCTGTTCGACATCTTTCGAGGTTGACAACGAGAGATAATTTTTATACATCATAATATTCCAAAAAGAAAATCTCGATCCGGGAAAAAAATTTAAATATACAGTGTGTCCCACTTACCATGCTCACCATGGGTATCTTTTTAACGGTGAGAGATACGAGGTCGGTTAAATGACACCAAATGTGTAGTTTGTTAAGGCCAACTATAATGTGAGAAAATATTTTGATAAAATCTATTAGTTTTTGTTTTATACGCAAAAAACAGATTTTGATCATTTCCATGTCTCCTTCATAACTTGTTTATTAATGAAAATATTCAAATAGGAATTTCACATTCTCATTGCAGTTTTTAAAAGTGATTTTGAAAAAGATATGAAATTTATAGCAACTCTTCTAGAATTTGAGATATCAGCACCAACTTAGTTTTTCAAATGTAGGTCATAGCTCACTATGACTTGGTTACAAATAACTTTTTTTTCTCTTACAGTTATCGGAGTTATAGTCATTTATACAAAAACAAAAAATTATTCGGAAGCCGCTATCTCGAATTTATAAATTTAAACAAAAAAATCATGATCTCCGGCCTCAAAAACCCCCACTTACCAATTTTGAATGGTATCGAACCAAATCTTGTCCGCCATCTTGGAGCAGCCATTTTTTTTAATTTCAACAAAAACAACAAAAAAACATAACTCCGATTAACTTGAAATTTGGCAGGTGTTCATAATTTCGGCAACAATACATTATGGAATTTTTGTTGAAATTAAAAAAAATGGCTGCTCCAAGATGGCGGACAAGATTTGGTTTGATACCATTCAAAATTGGTAAGTGAGGGTTTTTGAGGCCGGAGATCATGATTTTTTTGTTATAATTCATAAATTCAAGATGGCGGCTTCCGAATAATTTTTTGTTTTTGTATAAATGACGATAACTCCGTTGTTATCAACACAAAACTATTACTGCGACATATCATCTGTAAGAGAAAAAAAAGTTATTTGTAACTAAGTCATATAGTGAGCTATGACCTACATTTGAAAAACTAAAGTTGGTGCTGATATCTCAAATTCTAGAAGAGTTGCTATAAATTTCATATCTTTTTCGAAATCACTTTGAAAAACTGCAATGAGAATGTGAAATTCCTATTTGAATATTTTCATTAATAAACAAGTTATGAAGGAGACATGAAAATGATCAAAATCTGTTTTTTGCGTATAAAACAAAAACGAATAGGTTTTATCAAAATATTTTTTCACATTATAGTTGGCCTTGACAAACTCCACATTTGGTGTCATTTAACCGACCTCGTATCTCTTACCGTTAAAAAGATACCCATGGTGTGCATGGTAAGTGGGACACACTGTACATATACAATGCCATATGAAAAAAAAAGTTGACAATCGGTCTCGTTAGAGTTGAAATTGGAGAAAGAAATTGTTAATACCACCTTGTAATATCGGATGAGTCATTTGATTATTTGCATTTTTGTTTTGTTTTTGGTAATATCTGAAGAAAATTGCCAATGAAGTATTGTATGGGTCAGAGTTCAACATGAAAAATGGAATTGTCTTGTTTGCATTGACCTGATGATACTTCAACGCACTGTAGCCAGGCTACTCAACGATTCCTACTATATTACTATAACCTCAATACTTTCAGAAAATCTATCACCAGTTTCATTAGTTGAATAAAGATATCCAATGTTTCTCATGAAGGATTGTTATAGTAAAGGATGCGAATATTTTTTATTCTTCGTATTGTGAAGACCACTGAATTGTCTCATACTGAATTTACATTATCTAGTTAGTGTATGATGTTCAAACCTTCTCTCAGTTGATGTGCGAAACACCTCGTCAATATCTCATCCTGTAGTTTTCGTGGAGAGCACCTCCTTATTATCATCAACGCCATGCTGATTCCAGAAGGAGCTTTCGCTCTACATATATCAGGCACCAACCGCCATAGATAATTTTCCAGCTCCTCTTTTCGCCATCCTTCTATCAGATGAGCCAGGGCAACCTGAAACGGTAGACATGATCTTTTTTACACCACATTCTCATCATTGATGAATAAGATAAGATAAGATGAGATCTTTATTTTCCAGTAGACAGCAGAACATTGTATAGGAATAGTCAAAATATACTGAGAACTAAAACACTAGTAGTATTCACAAACAAAAACTTTTTCAGGACATAAACCCTTCAACATTATACAAACATGTTTCTATCAAATATTCACGTACTTGCTTCTTGAATATATTTGTATTTTCACTTCTTTTGATATATTTTGGCAATTTATTGAACACCCTTGGCGCCATGGATAGAGGAGAGTTGAAATATACAATGTATTTATCAAAAGGTATATTGAGTTCATTTTTATTCCTGGTATGAGTTGATGTCAAACTTCGTTTGTAGTAAATAGAGTACCTCAATTTTGAAATGGGTATAGAGAGAGTTCAAAAATGACTAACAAAGTAACTGTTAGAATTCTATAATTTCGGAAAACATTTCTGCAACTAGTACGGACGTACGGACCGATATATTGACAAGTGTTCGAGTAATTAATACATCAAGTGTAGATACAAATAAACCCCATAGACATATTTATACCATATCGCAATCTACTGTCAACGTGTGCATAATACAATGTTAGAAGTTGATTCATTTCTAATACATTCCAAGTGGTTCTGAATTGATATGATAACGAATTCAGTTTGGATATCAGTGATTGACAGTGATTTTTCAATACATGCACGAGTCAATTTGAAAATCAAGAAATGTTACATAGTTATAGTATCATTGGAAACATTTGGTGTTGAAGAGCCATCTGAGCTGAATGCAATTTCTTCACATGATTTTTGTCGGTTATGAAACCCCATTGATTTAGTTTTTTCCACATTGAGAAACAGCTGATTTGCAGAATACCATTCATGTAGTCTATGAAAAACTGCGTCGCATTTATCTGTCAACCGTACATCGGATTTATCCGATATGATGATAACAGATTGATCATCTGCATATAGCGTGTGAGTGATGCCGGTATTGATAAATTGCTCATATCATCCATATATAGGATGTACAATACCAGGCCTAAAACTGAGCCCTGCGGCACACCAATGTCACCCTCTGATGCATCGAATTGTTGGGGTCATCAGTGTTGAGAAGAAAACGCAGTTATTAGACATGACAATCACAACTGTTTCTTACTTTTTTCTTTTTCTTCTCGTGATTTGATGAGGATTTAGATTGTTTTCAATTAGAAGCTCTGAATTGGTGTAATTGGAGCCCTTGTCTCATGGTTTAGTTGTTCTACCTAACTGACCAATGTATACCTACCTTAGGACAACATCCACAGTTCAGTTTGCTAACGTCAGATTTTGTCCTTAAGTGTTTTCGATGAACCTCTCCAAGGCGATATTTGTTCTACGAGCAACTCTCAAGTTTTGTTTATATAGAAAAAATCTAATTATCCTGTTGATGATCGAAAATAGGTCGAAGTTCTATAAATTTGATTATTGTTGCTGATGGAGACTTGAATTCCTTTCAGTTAAGTTTAAATTGCTGCCAAAGGTCTGCTGTAACCAATCTCGGGACCTTCTGAGACTTTATTCAGGACAACAATATATGTATACCTGAACTACACTAAAACCTTAGGATACAATTATTGCGTATTGAGACACAATTTTTCTTCAATATCAGACTCGAGCCGTATTAAAGAAACCCTATTGGGTTTTTGGACTTGAACAAATCAGTAGCACAATGCTCTGTTCTCTCTGTGAAGTCAGATCATAGCAGGAATAACATACTGATATATCTGTCAATTCAAATCACTGAAGCTTCATCAGGATGTATCAAGATATTGTGTAGTCTAATCAACGAGTTCTAGAAATACTCTTTGTGAAATATTGAAGAAGTTGTTATACAGCTTCACAAAAGTTGAAAGCAACTACAAACAATCCTGTCACGATATTCCCTATCGGAAGTAAGCAATCATTTCAGTTCTACATCGCACTATACTTCTTTGGCATGGCTTTCTCCATTGTCGTGTCACGCAAAGATCAAATGCCAACTTTTGTGTACAGTGGATAATATTAGGTCACGGTACGAAAGGAAAACACTGAGATTGTTGCCGTATCATCTTGGTCGAGACTACATAATATTCATATTAGGTCGATCGACCTAGTTTTTGTATGAATAATGGGTAAATCAAGGCATGCCACATTATTTATCGATCTCACGGAAACGTAACGAAATATAGCTTTTGTTTTGGATTTTTTACAGACTCACTGCTATCAGGTACTCTCATATAGTACTTAGAAGGGAAGATTATAACAACAAAACAGTACTATTAGACATTAGATATTCCGGCAATTGCTATCGCGGAACTTTGCATTTCGAGCAAACTTCAGTTGAAAAACAGATTCTTAGTAGAAAATTGAGATTATATCTAATATAATGGTCGAACTCCTCCGAAACGGCTCGACCGATTCGTATGAAATTTTTTGTGCGTATTCGGTAGGTATGAGAATCGGCCGTAATCTACATTTTAAATCAAAAATTCAAGATGGCGGATCCAATATGGCGGACGAGTATTGCTATCCGATTTTATTCAGAATTGGTATTTGGAGGTTTTCGAGGTCGGGAATTATGATTTCTTCATCAAAATTAGGAAATTCAAAATGACGGATCCAATATGGCGGACGGGTTTTGTAATTATGGTCAGATTCCATTCAAAATTGGTATATGGGGGTTTCCGAGATTATGACTTTTCATCAAAATTGGCGGATTCAATATGGTGAAGGAGCTTTGTAATGAATGGTAGTTTGAAAAACTATAATGAAACACGCTTTAATAGATAGCGAAACTCGAGGCCAAACTGAATAGAAGTAGAAAACTGATAGTACCTGATAGTTTGAAAAACGAGATAGATTGTCGAACTAAAAGGAAGTAGAAAATAAAAATAGTAGTTTGGAATACTAATGAAACACGATTTCATGGATATTCAAACCAAAAAGAAGTTCAAAACAGAATAATAAAAGTGTGCTGATGAATATTTGACTAAAAAAATATTTTCTAGAAGAGAATGTATATAGCAAAACAACGTGTGCCAGGTATCAGCATCACCTATTGTAATAAATAGTAGTTTGAAAAACTAATCAAACACGTTTTTATAGATGGTCAAACTAAAAAGAAGCGAGTAGTAAATGAATGAAGAAATGAAGAGATATAGAGTGCCAAACTAAAAAGAAGAAGAGAATGAGTAAAATAGTTTGCAAAACCAAAGAATCCCGTTTTCATGGATAGCCGAACTAAAAAGAAGTATTGATAAAATAATGAAAGCTCCTCGATAAATATTTATATAAAAACATTTTTTCTAGACATAATGTTATGGCAAAACAACGTTTGCCGGGTCAGCTAGTATATATATATCAACACTATCCAACCATGATACTGTTTTACTAGCGTATCTCAAAGACCCAATATATTATGGTAGCGACGGAAGATTTTCGAACATTCGATAGAAATATTAGAGAGAGAGGTGTTGTTCTAAAAAGAATGAAATGGTATGGAAGACCATTGAATGATCGAGAAACCAAGGTAATTACTGTACTTGGTGTTTATTGAACATGCGACCAAAGTTCAAGGGGTTGTTACTTGGACTCTTTGAAGATTATTTTGTCGTTGTATTGTAATGATATTCCCCTTAGAGGGTCTCCAGAAACATCATCAGGAAGGCAGTAGTACAACGATCATCCCAGATGGTTCTCCAACATCCAATGATTCCAACATGTACCAGCCTATTTTCGAACACTCAATATATGTCGCGGTGATAAATAACGTGACAGAAGATTCTGGAATGTTCTGGAAACAATCGATGGAACAATTAGAGAGAGATGTATTGTTCTAAGAAGCTTCTAGAACAAAAAGAAGGGTACGGAAGATCATTCGAGAACGTTCGAGAAGCAAAGCCAACCAAGAGGTATATAAGGACGGCCGGACAACTGCCGCCAGTCAGTCAAGCAGCGAGTGTCAGAGAGACAGTCATATCCCACGTGATATAAATCATTTTATATAAATAGTAGTTATACGTTCGATATAAATTAGTGTTCCTTTTGTTAAAATGAATCAGTTCGAAAATAAATATAGTGTCGTGTTCGCTACTGCACCCGAATAACGTAACAGTATCTTCAAAACTGTAATAGTATATTGTATAACTAGTGTGGAAAGTGACATATTTCGCACGAGTAATACATAGCACGACACCGCTTAGAGGTGAGCGTGGAAACTCAACGAGTGCATTAAACTGTTCTTGATATAACTTGTTATATTCCTTTTATCAATGTCAAAATCAATCTAACTAACACGGTAAACATTTTTGAGTTGATTTTAAGTCCACACAACTTCGTGTCAATTCAGGTCCACACCGAATTGTGTAACCATTTTATAGCTACCCTTTAAATTATACTGACACAAAATGTCAATGACTTTTCAATCCAAATATGATATGAACTTGAACATCATTCAATTTTACACCAAAAAGGTACTCCTGGTGAAACTCGATACTATGTTCCGTTTTCGGAATATTTCGATTTGAAAATAATGGAGTAGTAATGATGCTGGTATAAAATGAATTTTATTGAGTTCAATTACCTATTTATTCAGGTTCAGAAACAATAAAATTATTCTTGTGCTGAAGTTATCGATGGAACAAAGAATCATAGGTAGAAAATTAAGAGATATTTGACTAGAAACATGAAATATTGAATCAGTTAGAGTAAGTGTTCAAAATGTCCTAAGTTTCGAGGAATACACGATTCTATATTCTTTTTTTAAGAATGTATTATTCTTCTAAACAGTTGAGGATCAGCTGTTAGGTCATTTGAGTGATGTTCAATTATGTCTTACAACTCTTGACGTGAATTTACCTATGTAGCATAGACTTTCTGCTCAAGATACAACAAAACTGTGTAATCCATGTTCTTAGTCAAATCTGTTTCGATGTTATTCTTGTGATTCATTGTTAAATCAATGAGTTCTGCATCAGAAATGTATTGTTGTTTTCGGTTTTCAATAAATAGGTGATAATTTTTCCTAATACTCACTCTAATATATAGCTTCATATACCAGCAACAGTTACCACTTCATCATTTTCAAATTGAAATATTCCGAAAACGGAACACAGTATCGAGTTTTACCACGAGTACATTTTTGGTGTGAAATTGAATGATGTTTAAGTTCACATCGAATTTGGATTGAAAAATCTGACCTCAAAAAAGTTATGTTCAAAACTACTCGGTACGAACCGTGTAACTAGCGCCCTCTATGAGAGTCAGATATAAAAATAAATGCATGCGATGTGTCAGATTCCAAGAAACATCCATACAAAATTTCATCACAATGTTGCCAGTAGTTTCAACATAATCGTAAAAAATGTGTTAAAAAAATATCGTTTCAACACCTTGTATCTTCAAAACGGATGGCGTTACGACATTTTTTTAAGCAAACCCAACTTATTTTGCAATGTTCTTCCTACCCTAGCAAGGGGATTAGGTTTTTTTGAAACGTAGATTATTTACCACCGATTTTGAAGACGGTCCAGGCCATGAGTGCTGAATCATATCTTCTTCAATTCGTCCAACCCTCTCATTCGGCCCATCCTCTCGAATTTCAGATATATTTTGACATACTGTGAAACTATTATTATTGGCTTCCATAGCTTGGAAACCGTTTTCTTGATCAGAGATATTCGTGATACTTGAATCATCTATTGAAGCTGCAGGTATTTGATCGGAATACACTTGGAAGCTATTGTAAGATAGATCTTTCTCGTTATCACTATTTTCACGGTCACAAGGTTGTCTGTTCTCATTTTTGTCTGTCAAAGTTGCCACCAGAGGTATTGGTAAAATTTCCTGTGCTGTTGAATTATCAGCATTCAGCGTTTCTTCTGGTTTATACACTACTACTTGCCATTCTTCTTTCTTCTTCTCTTCAGATATTTGGTAGGAATTAGTTGATTTTAGTGTGTCATTGTTTTCCTTTGTGCTGTCTTCGTTTGGTAGCGGTGGTGGTTCAATTTTCCTTACAGGACTTCTAGTTAGATTGTGGAAAACTTCGATTTCATTGTGTGCTGGACTGGGGCTAAGTACATCTCTTTTGTTCTTGTTCACTTGGATGGAATTACTGCTGTTTTTCTTATTCGCTGATGAGTGAACTGGATTGATTGACTTCTCGTTGGTCATATGTTGCTCTGGAAGAAAATTTGCAGTTGTAAGATACATTGAAAAAATAGTCATTTAATACCAAATTTCAAACAATGTTCAATGATCACTGTTCTTCTTGGACATCAAAAAATAAACTTTTATGGATATGTATATTCAATTGCCATACTGGATCAGGTTGAAGTAATTCCTAGTTGTCAATGATTTTCACAATATTTAATATTAACATACTGATTACCATCAGAATGAGTTGTCAGAAAAAGAGGGCAAGAATATTATAGCATATTACAGTATTTATATGTATATACCTATATCACGAAAGGTAGACCCTATTATGTTCGAGGGACTTCGTGTGTACCTAAGGAGGATAGAGAGATAACGTTCGCATTGCATCATTGCATTATTACAAAGTTCCGAGTTATAAGTTCATAGATATCATTTCTTGGTACCAACGGTTATTACTTTCATATTCCAGAAAATATCTGGTATATCTTCATAATTTCTCCTCAATGACGATTGTCTCGGAACTCGAGAGAAATAGAAAATTGTTATTTGGGAGTAGTGATTTTGAACAATTGGTGTAGCTTTTTCTGACTTTTTTCACCCAATGAGCTTTTTACTTTCGGCCACGTAGTGAAAATCAAAATTTCAAATGGAACAACCAGTATATTATGGCATTTCTATGTTCCTCCCGATGAAACGAATCCAATAAACTATATCACATTTTTGTGGTTTAAAATGTTTAAATAAACGATTAATTCTAAGAAGTACCAAAGTACTGCAATATCTTCAATTAGAGATATCCCTGTCCTGATCGTCGTGAGACACCCAGTTTGACCCATGGATTTTCTTGAAATTAAATCTCTAGTAACGAAATTTTCGCAAAATCAACATGTTCCATTCATGTTGCATTCTTTGTTATATGATATTAATAGTACTTTCTCCGATTTTTCTTCAAGTGACGTATGAATAATATCTTTGTGTGTTCCCAGAGCTCTGCAAAATTATATCAACAAATGCAGAGGTTCAGAATAGCAGTTTTTCTTTGAAATATTGCCTCATTGTATCAAACTCTGACCACCTTATTTCAAGGACGTATGGTTTGGATCAAAGTGAGACTTTTCCGTCATATAAACATGTGACCTAAAATGCACCCCCATCGATCTACAGCCACTGTGATTTGGGTTAAAATAAAGATTACTCATCAAAAATTGTGATCATAATAACAGATCAAGTGCAACTATTCTAGTACTGCGCGCCTCTGAAATATCAGTCTCAAATCGTTCCGACATACAATCACCTCCGTATGCAAGCGTTTAACCCATTGAGTTCGAAAACGTCGTGACCTCCCTCAGCTGATTTTCTGGCAAAGGGTTAGTAGTATGAGTTAAATGCAAGAGACCGAATTCTTGAATTTTTAAGAGCCACAAAATCATGCTATTCAGAGTTAGTTTCCTTTTTTAAACTTAAAATTTGGGCCAATAAAGGTGTGGACTCCATTCCAAGTCCCCCAAAACTGGGTTTACATCATTATTGAAGCAAAAGAAGTGTATGTAGTGTATGGAAAAATAAGGTCAGTCACAATTTAAGATAATCATCTTTGTTAGCCAACTTACAGAGGCTGTAGCTTGGAGGGAATGCATTTTGGGACACATGTTTATATTAAGAAAAAGTCTTATTTCGATCCCAATCACCCTGTATATCATAGAACCAATTTCTAACGTCAGACATCAGCATCGCACGAATAGATCAAAGTATGCTGGATCTATACATAACACCTTGTGTATCTTTTGATCGCTGTTTTCCTCACACACCACCGAAGCAATATTAGAAAATAGAATTCAGATTTATGAGTGAATTGTTGTAGACCCTCCATACTGCGTTCTCTTCCAGAATCCCCATTTCTTCCCAGGAAACTGAGAACTCACGGCGCAGGCAGGTCAATGCTGTCAATGAAGATCTTGCTGAAATCACAGCCTGGGGAACAAACAACCTAGTTGAATTCAACGCCACCAAAACTCAAGCCTGCATTTTCTCTAGAAAGGCGGAACTCAGTTCGCCCGATATTGTAATGTCTGGCTCCACCATCCCCACCAAGCCCACCATATCTATGCTCGGTATTTCCATCAGCAACACTCTTTCATGGGATGATCATGTCAGATCCATCGCAAAAGCTGCTTCACAAAAACTCGGATTCTTGTTCCGTGCGAAAAGCTACTTTACACCTCAACAGCTTCTCATAATCTACAAAGCGCAGATACGGCCTGTTCTAGGATACTGTTCCTACATATGGGATTCAGCACCAAAACATACGCTGATGCTCTTAGATTCGATCCAGAGAAGAGCCATTCGCATGGTGGGTGACGCCACACTCACTCACTCTTTGACATCATTGGAACACCGTAGAAACCTTTCACTTTTCTATCGATACTTCCACGGGAAATGTTCTTCGGAAATCTCTGCAATCATGCCTTCACTAGCAATACCAATCAGGCGAACTAGACAAGCCCAGTCAGCACATCCTTTCGTTGTCAACCTCGAAAGATGTCGAACAGCACTTTATCAAGACTCCTTCATCCATAGAACGGCTAGGCTCTGGAATTCATTGCCTGTGGAAGTATTCCCAACAACATATAATCTCCAAAAGTTCAAAAAAATTCCAATACCTACCTCCTGTCCTTTTCCCCCCTAGGAACGCACGATGTTCTTTGAACATTATAGGGATTCCCTTTCGTGCGCTCCAATCGATTAAGAAAAAAAAGATAGTTACTCACCTATTGTATCCTGTGGCATTGTCAGTCTCAATGTATCTGCAAGATTGGAATTCTTTTTCAACGGTATCCTAGACAATCTGCTCCTACCAGCCAGATCTGGCGTAGATTTGTGCAATCTCTTCTTGATATCACCGTGAATAGCCTTCCTAGGTGTCGCCGGTAGTGAACTTATCCTCACCGGTATCAAGCTACGTTTCGTCTCTATCGAAACGGCATCAGTGACAGTTATACTGATGACGCCGACGTTGCCGCTTCTCTCGTTGGCACTGCCGTCGCTCTCGGGAGTCCGCAATTTCACTGATTCTCCGCCAAAACGCACTTTTCTCGGAGTTCTTTTGATCGTTTCGTCGAAATCGCTGTCTCTGTCTTCTTCCAGGAAGTTGATGACTCCCAGCATCTGACTGAAACAATGAATGAAATCATTATTGGTAGAATCAGAAATCAGAGATCATTTATTCATCACAAAAGAATACTTATCGTGTGGTGAAGACTACAGAATGCATAAACTTATCGGACTAGTCAGAAAACGAAAAAATACAACAACCAAGTGTAATATACAGGGTGGGCCACCAGTAAGGCCTCGGTCTCTAGAAGGCTAACCACTTATCTTCTTGGAATTCTTCCTCTCTAGGAAGTTGCATGTCAACATAGGCTACCATTTAAAATTATTTCGAAACTTACAGGGTGTCCCCAAAAACAATAAAACACTGAAGTTAAACTTTTTTCTATCGAACACTCTATATATTATTTCATTTTGAGATTCTCCCTGATAAGCTGATTTCAACGACCCATCATACTTGGGGTCTAGCAGTCACAATTACTGAAATATAGGGTGTGAAAAATCGAGATTTTCCAAGTTCAAGAATTTTTTGTGTCGAAACTATTCATAATTGGTCAAAACGGCTTACATGTCCCTATCTCAACTTTTGATTAACTATCTATTGATATTTAATTGGGACATCACCCAGCTAGAAAATAAAGTACTACTACTGAAAGAGGAAAACAGCCAACTGAAGCAAACCTTGGAGCTAGTGGAAAGGAAATTAAAAACAGATAACCTGATATTTTACGGAATCGCTGAAGCAGATGATGAAAACGAATCTGATATTCTCTCGTCAGTGAAGACCATAATAACTGACGTGCTAGAAATCACAATAGAGGAATTCGATATCACTAATACTCATCGAATTGGGAAAAACAAAACAACCAAAAGGCCAGTACTTGTAACACTGCACTCAAAGTTGAAAAGGAGACAAATACTATCAAAGTGCTTCAAACTAAAAAACTCTGGAATATCGATTTCTGAAGATCTTACACCGAAGGGCCTGGAAGAGAGAAAAATCCTGCTGCATCACCTGAAATTAGCAAGAAACGACAAGAAGAGCGCGAAATTGAAAGGCAATTTGTTGATTGTAGACGGAGTAGAGTATACGGCTGATGATCTGAGATCTAATATACAAGATACCCCTGAAGTATTCTCACCACAAGCTGAAAGAAAAACAATAAGTGCACCATCCACCCCAACCGTCGACAACCCAGCAGCAGAGCACCACGAGGAGAGCGCAACAACAGAAAAAAAGAGGGTCCTGCCAAGAAACAAACATGAAACCAAGGTAGCGGAAACAAATAAGGAAAAACAGCCCAAGCGCTACACAACTCGAGCCCTATCACAGACAGAAACTACCCCCAAATTGAAATTGACCATTAATTCTCAAGGAAAACCTCAAAAATAGATATTGTGTTTGTCCTGTATGTAAGTGTCATCATTACTGAACTTTATTCGCTCATTATTATTACTCTTGTCAAAATTTGTAGATAATTTTAATACTAGTTTTAAATATTATAATTCGATAAAGTAAGTTTTCTTTAATTTTCGTAACCAATTTTAATAGAAATAAATTAAAGATAATCATGGAAGATTTCATGAGGCATTGTGATTACAATCCCATAAACACTGTTGAATTCTGCAATTTGATGGAACTAAACAATACTATGGTTGATAAAAAGGCAAGCGAATACTTTTTGAAAATATATCATCAGAACATACGAAGTATAAACAAAAATCTTGACGAACTCAAAATAACCCTAAGCCAAATAACAGTAGATTTTGACCTCATTATTTTAACAGAAACCTTCGATATTTCAGATTGTAAAGACATTTTCAATATTAAGGGTTATCAAATGTTATATAACCAAGGGAAGTACAATAAAAATGATGGAGTTGTTGTTTATATTAAAAATCAAGTGAAATACAATTATAAACTAGTATATATTGATGAATGCAAAGCACTACAAATTGAACTAGCCATTGGAAAAAAAACATTCCTGATAACGACATTGTACAGGTCCCCATCCACAAACGCAGAAGAATTTGTCACACATCTTGAATATTACCTAGAACAAACAAAAAATTTCAATAAAGATCATCATGTCATCATGGGTGATATAAATTTGGACATACAAAATGAAACAGAAGTAGTATCAAATTACCTCAACACTATGAGTGAGCATAATTTCATATCAATGATCAATACATGTACGAGGATACAGGGCGAATCAAGAACATGCATTGATCATATATTCCTGAAATCTCGGAAATATATACATGACACATGCATCTCTGCAGTTTTTGAAACAGGCATAACGGATCACAAATGCACCATATTAGGAATTCCGTATGAACAAGGAATAGTATTAAATGAAAACATCAAAACAAAAAATTACGTGAATTATGAAACTCTTAGACGAGATATCAGAAAACATAACTGGACATTATACTACAGCCTAGAGAATACCGATGAACAAGCAGAATATTTGACCGAAACAATCACCAACATGATAAAACACAACACAAAAACTATAAAACTGCGAAAAGTTGACCACAAAAGAAAGAAATGGATCTCTGAGGGGCTTGTGGTATCCATAAACCATAAAAATTCATTATATCACGAATACAAAGAAGATCCTCAAAATATAAGGAAAAAGGAAAACTACGTCGCATACAGAGCTTATACAAACAGACTAATAAAAATTGCTAAACAGAAATATTACCAAAATGAAATCAAAAATAGTGAAAATTGCGCAAAACAAGTATGGAAAATTGTGAATGAAATTAATGCTCCCGAAAAAGACAATTCAATAAAAGAAATACTGTGTGAGGATGGAACAAAAACAAATGACGATGAGATGAAGGCAAATTTGTTCAATGCATTTTTTTCCAATGTAGGGAAAAAATACGCCGAGAAGATTACCAAACCTCCCACTGCAACTCCCAAGCAAACTACTAACTTGACCTCGTTCTTTCTCGAACCAGTTAACGAAAAAGAAGTGTACGATGTAATCCATTCTCTTAAAAACAGGAAATCTCCTGGATTTGACGGCATCAGAGCTGAACATCTCAAACAAATATCAGAAGAAATAACACCCCTATTAACTTCTCTGATAAATAACATATTTCAAACATGCCAATGTCCGAATGCTTTCAAGAAGTCCATAGTGACTCCTATCCTGAAAAAAGGAGATCCCGTAATGGTCAATAATTACAGGCCAATCTCGCTCTTGACAAGCTTCAATAAAGTTTTCGAGAAAATACTCAAATCTAGATTAATTACATTTATTGAAAGATACAATCTCATATCTAGCAAACAATACGGATTCAGGCAAGGTTTATCAACAAACGACGCGATAGCTGCTCTCACAAGCGAAATATATAAGTATATAGACAATAAAAAGCCAGCGATATGTGTATTTCTAGACCTAGCTAAGGCTTTCGATACCGTTGATCATATCCAGTTATTGGAGGCCCTAAGTTGCTCAGGTATTCGAGGTAATTCTCAAAATCTATTGAAAAGCTACCTGAACGGCAGAAAGCAGGCTGTAAAAATCAACAATGTTCTCAGCTCAGAAGCAGAAATTAGTTATGGCATACCACAAGGCACTGTAATTGGTCCTCTGCTATTTTCCTTATATATAAACAGTCTACTTACCCAGAGGTGCGACGGATCTATCTTCAGCTTTGCTGATGACACGGCCATACTCTTCACAGCCGAAGACTGGAACAGCCTGAAAACAAAAGTGGAAAATCAAATTACCATACTTAAAGATTGGTTTGACCACAAATCACTAACTATTAACTTTGAGAAAACGCACTTCTTACCATTCGCAAGCTATGAAAACAGTCTGCCAAACTTCGACGAATTGATAATTAACAACCACGGAAAAATCGTGAAAATAACCAGGGCAAACCATATCAAGTACCTAGGAGTCACAATAGATCCTCATCTAAGATGGGATATACATGTAAATCATGTTTCGAAAACACTGAGATATATGTTATTCAAATTCAAATATTTGAGAACTATTCTAGATACGACTCACCTTAAAACAATATATTATGCCCTAGTACAATCTCGGCTGCAATATGCTATCCTCAGTTGGGGTGGCTTACACGACGCTCACTTAAAAAAAATAGAAGTATTACAAAAAAGAATACTTAAAATAATGTACTTCAAAAAAAAGGACTATCCGTCGGACTACATCTTTAGAAATTCACTAGTACTTGATATCCGACAACTTTATATGTATAATATCGTATTGTTCATTTACAAAAATAAAAACATCCTACGAAATATTGAGCATAATTACAACACCAGAAATAAAGCAAAGGGCAACGTACAAGTCACTATAACAAGAAAAAACATTGGACAACATACATACAATTATCTCAGTAGTAAAGTATTCAACTACTTACCTGAAATATACAAGACCTACATACATGAAATAAACAATATAAATTTAATAAAGAGAATATTCAAGAAGTATATGCTCAACTTGGATAGAGACATTGTTCATAATATTATAACAAAAAATAACGAATAGCATAAATAGAATATCTTACTTCGCTTTTGCCAACATTTTAACTCCCTTTCAAATTTTTACCAAGTTCTTGACAACATGTCAAATATATATCAAGTTATTTTAAGAACGTTTTTATACTCACTTTTATTTAGACTTAAGGATAATTTATCGGAATGATTAGATTAGATTTGTATCTTAATTAGTTATATTTTTATTATTCATTAGATTAGATTTGTATCTTAATTAGTTATATTTTTATTATTCATTTATTTGTATTTTTTTTTAACGTTTCAGCAACAAAAATACACCCACGCACAACTTCGGTTTTAGTGGGATTCTCTATGTTTGTTTGTAAGAAACTATTACACTATAAAAATGTCTTCTATGTGGATATATTTGCAGAATAAACATTATTATTATTATTATATTATTATTATTATTATATACCGGGTGATCAAGATTCTGAATTCTGCACCACCCTGTATTTGTTTCAATTAAATGTCAGTAGATAGTTGATCAAAAGTTGAGAAAGGGACATGTAAGCCGTTTTGACCAATTATGAATGGTTTAGACACAAAAAATTCTTGAACTTGGAAAATCTCGATTTCTCACACCCTATATTACAGTAATTATAACTGCTAGACCCCAAGTATGATGGGTCGAAATCAGCTCATCAGGGAGAATCTCAAAATGAAATAATATATAGGGTGTTCGATAGAAAAAAGTTTAACTTCAGTGTTTTATGGTTTTTGGGGACACCCTGTATGTTTCGAAATAATATTAAATGGTAGCCTATGTTGACATGCAACTTCCTAGAGAGGAAGAATTCCAAGAAGATAAGTGGTTAGCCTTCTAGCGACCGAGGCGTTACTGGTGGCCCACCCTGTATAGGTTATACAATAGACTGAATGAAAACAGTTTTCAAAGTGGTTTAAAAATATAACACTTGCACGACACATCAATTCAGGATCAAATGGCTACCGCCCATGTCTATTAGATTGTTCAGCTTATTGAAGCATTGAACACCAATTTATTTGTTTTGGAATTTTGTCCAATATGCAGACGAGGAAAGGGCAGGTGAATATGAATACATCCTAATATACAATATACGGTTATATGAATCGATTATAATTATATATATATACCAGTACAATAATATTATTGTATTCTTCGTATGATTTTGAACCAATCTGAACGTTCAATTAAGTTAAGATACCTTGTATAATTTTGAGTATACGTGGGAATACAAAAAGTGATTCCATCAATCAGAGATTCAGAATTATTTCCATTTCCATAGTAACCAATTCAGCACGTCGTGAAATGTTGACGTTCGTTCAGAACTACTCAAAAAATGATCGCATCGAATACAATTCGAACTTCAAAATATCAAGGTTATACATCTCAAACTTTCTGCACAATTACAAATCGTGTTAGTTCAACTAGTTCAACTATTCAACTGACATTCTATGTAGTACTTACTTACACTATTACTACTGATAATACATAAGACTAAGCCAATATCGAGGCCAATATACCTAGCAACAATATTGAAATAAGCTTCACAATTTGAAATAGGGAAATTCTCAAAATATTCCAATGAGGGCAATGATTCCGATTCTTTGATGGAGGTTGGTCATTTATTGAACTCATCGAGGCCTTTATAAAAAAGTGATTTCGGATCCAGAATAGGGTATCATTTGTGACGGAAACTTGCAGCGGTGGAAATAACAGATATATGCAAAGTACAGTCAGTATCAGAAAGCTATTAAAAAACCATCATGCAAATGTGTCAACAGATTGCGTAGCTATTTTTATACTCATATACAATCTGACCCAATTGAGGACAAACTGCGGACCATACTTAGTCCTTCCATAAGGATGTTACGTGTCACGTTACGTTTCAACCATGTAATTTTAATTAGATTGTTGTTTTAGTTATTTAGTCGATTTAAAAATCATTGGATTTCCTTGCTGGACTGATTCATCGATTGTTTGACCTTGAATTTATATTTCCATATGGCTTCTACACTTCATGTTAACTTTTGGGTTTTTTCGCACTTGTTAGGTAAAATAATATATTCACTCCATTCGTATTCCAAATATATCGTTACCATTCTTTTCTAAAGAATATTTTGTATTTTCTAGTTCGATTATTCACAAAATCGTGTTTTTTTTATATCAAATAATGATTGAGTTTCGAATGGTTTCGAGTTCATCCTGATTTAGAACTTGTGAATCCAGTGATGATCGAAATTTCATGCATTAGCTCACAATATTGGTAATTTCATCTCCAATAATTATCAACTACTAGTAAATTTTATTTTCAGACAGAAAACTTCATTTTCAGTCACCTATACCTAGGTAATCATGACTGACGAGTCTCGAAAGTTACTTTTGAAATCAATTTCGATTGGGGGCTATATCGATAGAAGTATATGAGATTAACTCAAACCGAATTATGGCTTGGTATGTATGTTTGTTTGTATGTTTGTAACGGAATCTTCGAACGTGATTTTGACCCCCTTCAAAACGTTGAATTGAATTGAAATTTTGCACACCTATCAACGACCGATGGCAAAATATCATAGTTTTGTTTCATTATCCTGCATATGTGCTGGTCAGGATCTTCAGGATGATCGATTTTTCTCAAATAAAATTTAGAAATTTTCTCAATCTCTACTACTTTTACCTAGGATTCCTTCCGAAATTTTCAAAAAAGTCCCCTGCTCTGCCTTCCTCGTGTATTTTCATAGTAATGGCGGGCCCTGTCCTTAACGTTATTTCGGTCTCCAAGATGACCCTGTCGCCTTCCTTGTGGTTCCACAAGTCTTTGCCGTTATGGGTTTCGATGCAATTGTTGGTGATTCCGAAAGTATCACATATTCTCTGGAGCTCGCTGTGTTTGGCCGTCCCAATAAGCGATTTGAATTTTTCCTCTCCCAAACTGTAACTACAAAAAGATGATACATGAGATACCTAGAATCACAAGGATATTTTCATCATTTTAATCGATGATCTAGCTGTTGTTTAATTTTCTTCATGCACGAAAAGGAATAGAAATATTTAATTTTTGCAAACAGTTGTCAATGGATGGGGTCTAGTAATTTGTTTTCGACGTTTAAAAAATCGAAAACCTTTTCAGAGCTGAGCGTCGCGATACGTCGAAAATATAAATCGATTTCATTGACTCTGAAATTGTATGCGCACTCATTAGATTATGTTATTTATGTAAAATTTCTTGTTGTCTGCTCAAACTTTCTAATTTTTGTCACGCTACGCGTCGGGATACAACACAACCTGGAGCTAAAATCTACTACTGTTTTCCCTTGTATAATAAATAACTATATAGTCATTCATGCATTTCAATCATTCTATCAACTTTCAACATGATTTTTCTCCTTGTGATCAATCTCACAACCTTACTGAATGCTAACCCTATCGTAAATAAGGATTTAGCCGCCACCTCCTTATTAACATAAAGATTGTTCACGTCTTTCCACTGCTGACCCAGAACCCAATCCATCGTTGTGGTTTCGTCCTCATTTTCGAGATAATCAAATAAGGAGATGCGACAATGGCATATTCATCTTCCCTCGAAATCAGGTCCATCAGAAGCCTGTCGTAGTTCCTGCTATGTTGAAAGAACGTATATTTCTGAGACAATCGATCTCATTTTTCCTCAGCACTGGAGACCAATATATGAATCAGATTGGACAGCAGCACCGGGAGTAAATCTTGTATGTCGCTGTCCAGAGTCTGAGGTTGGTGCCCGTACAGCAATACCGCACTCGTCCTCACGGACTCAAATAAGGAACAGCAGCAACACAATTTCGTGAAAAATTAGGTGACATGATTATCTCGAATACTCAGAACATCGTGAAATTACTGTAGACCATTTGAAGCCTAGGAATTGCCTTCAAACCAATCGCTTCACTGGATTTTCGCGAAATCTATCTATGGGTTAGGTCAGGTTAGGTTTCTAGTGAGTGGAGCGAATACCGCCCCTCCACTGCGACCCCAGATGGGTCTATTGTGGCACACCCCTAGAGTTTACAATTCACTGTACAATCCACATCTTTCTACAAAGTCCATGGTTGAATAAGCTTAGGTTTGTCTGAAATAGATAGGTTCTAAATTGGTACTAACTTCAGTCTCTCTGAGGTAGAGCATGAACATAATATGTGTTCAGCCGTTTAGTCTTCTACACAGTAGAACCGACAGTCCGTTTGTTGGTTAGGTGGTATCTTAGACGACAGTGTCCCGTAAGCAGTCTTGTCAGAATTCGCAGGTTACCCCTGCTCCATTCTAGCATCTGCCTGGTTATATTTTTCGATGGTTTAGGCAGAGACGCCTTCGAATGAGTTGATCCTAAATCTATCTATAGTCATTCATGCATTCCATCCATTCTATCAACTTTCAACATTATTTTATTCTTGTGATCAATCTCCACAAGCTTACTAAATACTTAACCTATTGTAGCTAAGGGTGTAGCAGCAACTTCCTTATTCACATTAGGATTGTTCACATCTTTCCACAACTGATCCAAAACCGAATCCATCGTTCGTCCTCAAATATTTCGAGATAATCAAATAGGGAATTGCAGCGATGACATATTCATCTTTCGTCGAAATCAGATCCATCAGAAGCTGGTCGTAGTTCCTGATATGTTGAAAAGACTTATTCCTGAGACAATCGATGGCTCTTTTCGTCAGCGCTGGAGACCAATGAATCAGATTGGACAGCTGCACCGGAAATAGATCTTGTATGTGACTGTCCAGGGTCTGAGGTTGGTGACCGCACAGCAATACCACTCGTCCTCACGGACTCGTGGTGTTGTTCGGCAACACAGTTTCGTGAACAATAAAGTGACATAATTATCTTGAATAATCATGGCATCGTGATATCACTGTTGATAACCCATCGCTTCACTCTGGATGGTCGCAAAATCTATCTCTAGTCATTTATGCATTTCATTCATTCCATAAAGTTTCAACATTATTTTCTTCTTGTGATCATAATCTCACAAGCTTACTAAATACTCACCCTATTGTAGCTAAGGAGGTAGCAGCAACTTCCTTATTTACATAAGGATTGTTCACGTCTTTCCACAACTGATCCAAAACCAAATCCATCGTTTCGCCCTTAATTTTCGAGATTAGCAAATAAGGAACTGCGGCAATGACATATTCATCTTCAGTCGAAATCAGGTCCATCAGAAGCTTGTCGTAGTTCTTGCTGTGTTGGAAGTACCTCCTGAGACAATCGATGGCGCTTTTCCTCAACGCTGGAGACGGATGGTTCAGATTGGACAGCAGCACCGGAAGTAAATCTTGCATGTGGTTGTCTAGGGTCTGAGGTTGAGTGACTGGGATCAAGTCCATCAGGACCCTCAGGGCATGTTGCCGTACTTCTCGTTCGGGGTCCCGGAGTCTCTCCCGGACTCCAGCGTAGAGGGCGTCCACATCTAGTCCATCTGAAATGAAAGAAGTCAGTTATCGAGCTGAAAATGAAGTTTCCTGACGAATATTGAACATCAGGTTTATTGGTTTTGGATGTATGACAAGTTGATATTCATCATACAGAGGACGTGGAAAAAAATTCTGAAAAAACATTAATCTGTGATTGAGGGTATATAAACATAACAAATTTTCATTGTTCAAGTTAGAACCACTTGATTGGGTAAAAGTATTGAAGAGGAATATTTTCAGATAAATTATGAACATGGATACATATATATAAAGAAATACATTGAGAATTCGCATTCTCTATGTGATGAAAGTAACAATTCTTTCTCGGTTTATTCAACAGAAAACAATTATTCTTCTGGCCATGTGCAACGACGAACATTGAATCATATATATTGAACACACACGATGAGAATTTGAATTGTTTTTTTCGAAAAATATAATATACGGAAGGATGGCTACAGAGTATATCTCGTGAAACTTTTCTGGTTCCCATCAATATTAGTATAAGTATTTTCGATCAATGTTGCTTGGATTTATAGGATAATTTTATTTCTATCCATTTTACACTCATTGAATAGTCCATCAATCAAATTATATGAATTTTCCATTCTCCCAAAGCTTAATTTAAATTTTATTTCCTCTTTGACAGATCGTATATAGACCATCATAGACCTCAATCTCCTTGATCTGCTATGAATTATCGGTCATATTCCTGAAATTATGTGAAACCTAAACCTAGTTTCATCAACTAATTGATCCAAGTATATGGAAAATATTGTCCTGTCACCTAATAATCTCACTATATCGATTTGCGATATCTACCCAGCTGATCTAACAATTTTTTTTGTATTTCCACTTTTTATTGGTGGATGAATAATTCTATGTTGTATAGTGAATTCAGGGAAACGGAAAATACAGCCTGTCCCACTAATCCCACTTCAATTGTAGTAATACTTGTAACAGAGATCTTGTAATTTGGGGAGTAGGAAATGGACAAAATTGATTTATTCTTGAATCGTCATTTTATGCCCACTATGATGAAACATTAATCCCTAAAAGTGATGGAACTACATGTTTTTTTTATCGCTTGGAGCGCACGAAAGGGAATAATCCCTATAATGTTCAAAGAACATCGTGCGTTCCTAGGGAGGATAGGGACAGGAGGTAGGTATTGGAATTTTTTTGAACTTTTGGAGATTATATGTTGTTGGGAATACTTCCACAGGCAATGAATTCCAGAGCCTAGCCGTTCTATGGATGAAGGATTTTTGATAAAGTGCTGTTCGACATCTTTCGAGGTTGACAGGCCGTATCTGCGCTTAGTAGATCATGAGAAGCTGTTGAGGTGTAAAGTAGCTTTTCGCACGGAACAAGAATCCGAGTTTTTGTGAAGCAGCTTTTGCGATGGATCTGACATGATTTTCCCATGAAAGAGTGTTGCTGATGGAAATACCGAGCATAGATATGGTGGGCTTGGTGGGGATGGTGGAGCCAGACATTACAATATCGGGCATACTGAGTTCCGCCTTTCTAGAGAAAATGCAGGCTTGAGTTTTGGTGGCGTTGAATTCAACTAGGTTGTTTGTTCCCCAGGCTGTGATATCCGCAAGATCTTCATTGACAGCATTGACCTGCCTGCGCCGTGAGTTCTTAGTTTCCTGGGAAGAAATGGGAATTTTGGAAGAGAACGCAGTATGGAGGGTACTATCATCTGCAAAACTGTGGATGGGGCAAGTTGTTACTCCCAACAGATCATTGATATGAAGCAGGAATAATATTGGTGCCAAAATTGATCCTTGTGGAACGCCGGAATTGATGCCAATGGTATCAGACGATACACCGTCCACCACCACGTGAAGCGATCTGCCTGAAAGAAAACTCGATAAGAGATGGCATAGCTGAGGTGGTAAGCCGTATGATGGTAGTTTGTGGAGGAGTCCTTCGTGCCAAACACAGTCGAATGCTTTCGATATGTCCAACGCGACAGCTAGAGATTCCCCGTGTTTTTCTATATAAACACTGTCTGTAGGTTAATGATTGACGATATATCAACTTTGCATTCATAACAGAATTTGGAAGCGGGTATTATCATTTTCTGAAGAAAATCATATTTCTGTCCATAATCAGTGATAATGAGTAATTGAAAGTTAGTAGCATGAAAAAGCTACTGGTATGAAGTAGTTTTGTGGAATTAACAACTTATCAAAAATTACAGAAATTTCGAAAAATTTAAAAAAATCAAAATCTCAAAGTTGCAATAGAAAGATAAAATTCGAGTCACATATGTAAAATTGGAATAGAAGCAACCTTTTCAAGTAAACTTTTTCGATATTCGAACAAATAAGCCTACTTTCAGCGATTAATTTGAAAAAATGTCACTTGCATGTAGCGAAAGTCACGTGACCTCGATTGAGTAGGCCATTTTCCATCTTTTTTGAAGCAAAACTCAACGTCCAACTCTAATTTCAAAATGAGGAATAAAAGTTTTTCCCATATGATGCCGACTTTATGAATGACACTGTGTATTGAAATAATACTCAGTTTTTTATTTTAGTGAAACGAGGAGAGGGAATCCCAAATAATTAAGTAAAATGATTCTACCTTTTCTAGAAAATTTTTTCATGGTACCTCATAATTAATTAATTTTTCGGATTCCATCATTATGCATATGTTTCAATAATTAGCAATTAGTCTTCATCTGATTTTCGTAATTTTTTTAAATCTGAAAATGCTTCTGGTGTTTTGTTCCTCCGTTTTCATTTGGTTTCATGCTCAAAATGTAAATACTTTTTGAACTAGATCATAACGAAATTTCGTGTCTGGGTATTTGGGAGATATGCCCAAATATGGAATTTGTTATCTTTTCTATTACACATCAAGGGTAGTTGAACTTCTAGCAAATACACTTTTTCCAATTACTCCCGATGAAAAGAAAGAAGATGGAAATTCCCTTCTACATTATTTCACAATACTCAGGCCGATATTATCTTGAGAAAATAGGCTTTCTAGATTATAAATCAGTTCAATTTTCTGCTGCATAGTCGTTTTTCAACTTTGTGTTGCCCCAAGTAATTATTTATGCGTGTTTCCACTGCATGCCATACTTTCTCCTATCACGATACACTCACCTGGAAGACGTTTGGTGCGTGAAATTATTTCCCAAAGCTGAGTCAAGGACAACTTTTGGCTAGCACTGTAGCCACTGTGATCCTTATCTAGAAAATCCTCTTTCACCACGCTAGTTTTATATTCTATCATTTCCAAGTTCAGTATTGTATTTATACACGAATTTGTGCGTGACTGTGGACTTTGCGGCACCTCTGGAGCTTACTCACCGGAGTTTCACGGAATACTGAAGAAAATTCGTTGGGAAAGAAAGCATTGGAAAAGTAGGCAACTGTCCAGTACCTATTATAGGCGCCGCGACGGTGTATAATGAGTGGTTTTCCTGCTTTTCGGTCGATAAATTTAGTGGACATGAGACCATACAAAAGCAGGTCAATTGCCAAAATATAATATAGAATGATTGACATTCAGATAGAATAAGAGTTATGATCCGCTACCATATTGTAGTGAGTTATTCATGTAACATAATATAAATGGTGCAGCTTACATAGATAGGCAGAGGTGGGCAATGAATGTGTCTCTCAAGAAACATATTCCATATACCTAACAGTCGGCGACAACTTCTTTTGCAATTAGGTACTATAGACTATAGAGGACAAGTATTTGATACTCATCTCTTCTATACCGGGTGTAACAGGATCATGATACACCCCATTTTTCTCCTTCAGTTTTGGAGATGAGTGATCGAAATTTGGAATGGCCAATTAACTTGATAAACGTCATGTTTTTACATAAATAAGTTTAATTTTTCACTGCCAGTTTCAACGGAAGTTATAATACCTCTTGATTTTTGAATGCAACACCCTGTATTTCATTGTATATTCTAATTTTGCATTATTTTCTGAATCCAATGATACTTTATAAGTGACATTTAAAACTTCAATATTGATTTTAATTTCATTTTTGATTCTCCATTTGAGTGTGCCATGACTATTCTGATCGAGTCTGATGTACTCATATCGACATGTGTGATACTAAAAAAAATTGAATCCTGTCAAAAATGTCAAATTTCTTGATTCATCACCAAATTAAGATAGAGAAAATGGTTTGGTGTGTCTGGTGTCTGTTGCACCCGGTATAGTGAGGTTATCCTTATATTGATACATAAAATTCACTATCCTCTGTCTATACAGGGTGTCCGGAAATTATGCGCAAAAAATCAAGGGGGTGATTCTACATGATAAAATAAGAAATTCGGTTTATATGTACTTGGGTCCGGAAATGCATATTTTTCAACATACAGTGTGTTAAAACTTTCTCAAAAGATAATAATAATAATAATAATAATAATAAATGCTTTTATTGAGAGGTTACATACAAGTACAGAAAACCTAACAAGAGGCAGGATTCAATATCTGCGCATGAAAAATTCATAGCAGAGCTTGCTCTTCCATCATTTTTTTTTATGAATATCTCAAATGTTCTTCCACCGATTTTCTTGAAATTCGGCTATGATATTTTTTGTCATGAGGGGCTGATATAGCCATAATCCAATTAGAATTATGAAATCCGGGGGGCAACCTGCCGAATATTATTGTCTATAAAATGTGCGCCACTGATTTTTTTGAATTTTGTAACTTCATAACCTATTGAACTAGAAATACAACATTTAGGTATCTTGGATTCATTTGATAATTTGCTCAATTTCCATGGAAAAAAATAAATAAAAACCAATTTATTGCATGAATTTGTGCCAAAAAATTCCTTCAAAAATTGGTGTGAAAATAAATGCGTGATCAATGTCCATAGACATAGAATGAATATGACGATTCATCTTGTTCAAATATTTGTTGATACATGTTTGACACACTCTACACTCTGTATATTGAGAACTATGTATTCTCGGTCCAGGAACGTGTAATTTTCGATAATACAAAGTGTGTCAAACATGAATTATTATAAAATATTTGAAGAAAATGAATCTTCATTCTTATTCTACGTCTATGGAAATGGATCACACATTTAATTTCACCCCTGTTTTTGAAGTAATGTTTTGCACAAATTCATACAATGAATTGGTATTTATTTTTTTCCACGGAAACGCAGCAAAATAGCAGAACAATTCAAGAGATCAAAATGTTGTATTTACTGTTATTCTTTAGGATAAGAAGATATAGAATTTGAAAAAAATCAGTGGTGCACATTTTATTGACAATAATATTCGGTAGGGTGCCCCCGGGCCCCAATTTAATGTTGATTAAATCAGCCCCCCACGACAAAAAATATCATTGCAAATTTCAAAAGAATCGGTGGAAGGGTATTTGATAATAAAAACCCGATTTTTTCTAAAAAGTTTAACACACTGTATCTTGAAAACTATCCATTTCCGGACTTACGTATATATGGAATAAATTTCATTTTTTCTCATGCAAAATCATCCCTTTGATTTTTTGCGCATAATTTCCGGACACCCTGTTTATTTCCGAATGCACTGATCAGGAAGGAACATTTCAACAATTTCTCGTCTCATTGTCAAGAATTTATAATTGATTTATCATAATACAAATTGTCGAAATTGGACCATTCATTGTTCAAGATATGGACGCTGCCACCAAAATACATAACTAAATTGAATTTATGGCGAATGCGCGTTTCATTAAAAATCATATAACATTGATTTAGGGATCACTTGGTTCTGGAATGTGTACACTTTCACAGCCACATTTCCTCTGATAGGACGGTAGAGAAACCTGAATCATTATTGGATAATTTTACGTTTTAGAGGAACTAATCTCTATGCAGCATTTACCTGAACTTGGACATAGCTTTCTGCATAGCGCCTTGCACTGCGGTCCCAAATTGTTCTGATGGAGTTTTTCATATTCAAAACGATTGAAGTATTACCAAAGGCCTCCATAATCTCAAGAAAAACTAAACTCTTTGCATCTTTATGCAAAAAAACCGACATAACAGACACAAAAGACTATGATTATGATATAATCGATGATTCCGCAAAAAAAAAATCGTGAAAAATTGTAATTCTCGTTTCTCTCATTTGTCAATGCTGCAATAGCGCAACATCCCTCTCAACGCAATATTAGAAACAGATAACACAAAATAGTTATTTATCAACACACCAAGGTAGTAAAGAATATCATTATTACCCAGAAACCAAGATTATATCCCGGAGGCTTCAGCATTACATTTTTTTCCACCACAAGCAATATATTTAAATCATTTCAGCTATGTGAAACCGGAATATATTTTTTTTATATGTTCTGCTTCCCACGAAAAGGGATATCCTGTAATGTTGAGAGAACATCGTGAGAACCAAGGGAAATGAGGTAGGAATTGGTGGTAATGTGTTCCAGAACCTCGCTGTTCGTTGGATGAACGAGTCTTTGGAAAGAGATGTTCTGCAAGGTCTCCAAAGTGACCACGAAGGGGTGCGAAGCCTCAACTCGACGGGTTAATCTCGCGGGGACTGCCAAGGGAGGTATAATTGTTGATATTTCAGAAGAGCATCGTCCATAAAAATATCTATGAAGTAGAGCCAGATCGCCAACTTTTCTACGGTGTTCCAGAGAAGTGAGTGAGTTTGTGAGCGAGGCATCACCCACGAGACGAATTGCCCTTTTTTGGACAGAATCCAACAGTTTCAGGTATGTTTGGGTGCTGCACTCCAAATATGGAAACAGTATTCCAGGACAGATCGGATCTGTGCCTCATAGATCATAAGCAGCTGCCTGGAAGTGAAATAGCTCCTGACCCGAAACAGAAAACCAAGTTTTTGGGATGCACTTTTAGCAATTGATCTCACGTGATTTTCCCAAGAAAGGTTATTACTGATAGTGATACCAAGCATCGAAATGGATGTCTTCAAAGGTATGGTTACTCCTAACTAGCTTATGTTGGGCACAGTGAGATCGGCTCTTCTAGAGAAAAGGCATGCTTGTGTTTTGTTTGCATTGAAATCTACCAAGTTATTGGATCCCCATCCAAGAATTATGCCAAGTCCATATTTATGTTGTCAACATTTCTCCCTCGTTCATTTCTGATTTGCCTAGCTGGTATTAGAGCCCTGGAAGAGGAGGCGGTAAGGACGGTACTATCATCCGCGAAGCTGTGTACTGGACATGAAGTTGCTTCCAACAAATCGTTGATATGGAGAAGAAAGAGTGTTGGTGCTAGAATTGATCCATGCGGAACACCAGCATTTATGATAAGAGAGTCAGATGAAACTCCGTCGACCACTACATGGAGAAACCTGCTTGAGAGAAAAATAGCTAGCAGGGAACATAGCTGGGGAGGCAAGCCATGAGATGGAAGCTTGGCGAGGAGTCCGTGGTGTCAGACTCGATCGAATGCCTTGGAGATATCAAGTGCCACGGCTAAGGTTTCACCATATTTTTCAATATGGATATATTCAATTCTTAGTCATGACCATGGACAGCATATATGACAAGTCGTTATTGAAAATAGTTATATTTATACACCAAGGTAGTGAAGAATAACATTATTACCCAGGGACCAAGATTATATCCCGAGGCTTCAGCCGAGAAGTATGAGGTCCCGTGGTAATAATATTCTCTACTACCAAGGTGTATATTGCATTTTTTCACCACTAGCAATATATCTCAGTCATTTAAGTTCTGTGACACCGAAATTAGTGATTCACACGAGACCAACGAGACGAGACTTTCATAAAGTCTCGTCTCGCCGATGAAATATGAAGTCTTGTCTCGCGTCTCGTACGAGAGTCTCGCAGATGTATCGCAATTTCGTCATGCATAATCTTGTTCCAGTCTAGTACGGGATATTTACCTTTACCGTCTTTCTAGGTATAATGTAGAAGTAGGAAGACAAAATTACAAAAATAACATTATTTATTGAAGAGTAACAACCTTACATATTTACATCATACATCTGAACAAGAAAACTGAAGTAGCCGGTATGCTTAAGAGATCTCGTGCCATCAGACTTAGAATGGGAAATTCAGAAGCATGAATTCTCCACCATTGCAATATATCTGTGTTTTTATTACACAGAGGCACAGAATAATATTTTTGAAGCTCCTGCATCCATACTCCCGTCAAAACAAAGTTATTCTTTATCTTAGACTATTTAGCACAGAATGACTCATTTATAGATTTTCAGGTAGTCATTCAATTTGCAATCTGTCGTTATTGCAGAATTGCCTTTATTTTCTGCCGCCATAAGAGATCATGGATTGTGTTTTTAAAGTATTTATGAATGAAATGTTCTGTCTATCTGTGCTGAATAGTCTGAATTCTTTCTGAATATGTTTTTATTATGAATGTAATTCTCAATGGCACGCAGAAATATTTACCTGCGAGACTCTCGCAGGAGACACGAGAAGTCTTGAACGAGACTCGGGACGAGACCAATAAAAGTCTCGTCTCGTCTTGTTCGAGTCTCGTCTCGAAAACGAGACGAGACCATGCGAGACTCTCGAAAACGAGACTCTCGCGGGCACCACTAACCGAAATATAGACCTATTCTCACTATGAAAGCACTATTTGCAATAATTAGTCATGACAGCATATGACAAGTCGTTATTGATAAATGCCTACTAGATTCGAGTGCCATTCCTGCGAATATCTGATCAGAACAGTGCATTCGAGTTAATTAAAGCAGAGGTGGCTATGTCTTTATTGACTAGTGCTTCATGGAATGACGAAAACTACCTTGGTAGTAAAATAAATTTTATGCACTAGCGGGCCGTAAAGTGCACTTTACCGCCCGGTTTTGCGGGCGTTAAGTCGCACTTTACCGCCCGCTGTTCTCAGTCACCTTATATCCACATATCAATTCATGAAAAACCCTTGATCATATCACTTCTTTTTTATCCGAATTCATAGTCTCGCTATTAATATTATCACTAATTTTACTTTTCAGTCAAAGAATGACAATTCAGCTCGTTTATTGGATGTATATTGCTATTGACAACAACCATCAGATTGATTGACAACGTCAAAATTAAATAAGGTTTATAAACTGGGTATGCATATTGTAAAACTCTGAAGAATGAATCTCTTCTAGAGCTGAACGAGTTTTACTATTACGATAATCGCAATATTCGTACGATAATTTTCATATGTAAATCATCCATGAACATCACGCTTCTCTTGATTACTGAATTAATACAAAACAAATTAAATTCTGGGGAATATTAGTTTGTCGAAATTTATAGTCATTACTTATGAGTCAGAAAATAAACCACTAGTGCATAAAATTTTGTATGTATCTCGTGCGTGAAATGCGTTTATGGCCTTCAGCGTGTAATGGCCCTCGGCTAGCGCCATCGGGCCATTATTCACGCCACAGGCCATAAACGCCTACTTTAAGCCCTTGATACATAAATAACTATTACGCATCGAAGAAGAGTGAATGATGGTAGGGTTTATAGCTATTTGTGGAAAAAAGCTTACATAATTATGTAAGATAATTCATGCCGTTAGAGACAACTTGGACTTGTTGAAGATACTTGTTTCTTCTTGCTCGATCACTTGAAGTTTGTGCATTAAATTTTTGTACCAATTAGTATACTCCTATTTGATGGATCCATTTTCAGAACTAGAAATATTCAGCAATTTTCTCAATACATCCTAGATTTATTTGGTTAGCATAGTGAGCTCAGCCCAATATGAGCACCTAATTCATCGTTTCGGTAAAATAATCTGAAATCCACTCTGGTAGGTATATACGTATATATACTGTTCTTTTTGACATGGAAAATACAAGACAAATCACAGCCTAAAATGTGAGGATTATACATATTTTACCTACAGCCGTTTCCAATAAGTGTTCGTTTGATCGAGTCTGATCTTGTCTGAGTATGATCTGGTCTGAGCCTGATCTGGTCTGAGTCTGATCTAACTGACCTAACCTCAGATGGCTTGACTTTTAGAATATACAGTGCAGGGCCGCACTAAACCTGATGAAAACACACTATTTCTGCATAACTTAATAACTAACAGAATTTCATCAGAATGTGTCGAAATAAAGAATATTTGAATATAGAGTTGCTTGAAGATCAAATAAAGAAATAAAACATTGCAGTAATACTATATTTTAACAGAATATAATACTATAACATTGAAGAACAAAATAAGAGACACAATATCTTACTCTTTGTCATACTACTATCTTCCAAATTAATAATAATTTTGTATATAGATTCTATGATATTTATATACATAGAACGATAAGAGTTTTCATTTTTTATAACGTGTTCAGTATAGTTACTCCAGTTTTCAACGGTTACATTTTCGACCTCTGTTTTTATCAGTACAATTACACTAGGAAACAATAAAGCTGATGTATTATTGTGGGCGCGTACATGCATTAGACACAAATTCATGCCATTTCAACTCGATCGGATTAAAAATGCAGTAATATGGCGGAATCCGAATTATTTCGTTACTTGCTACCTCTGCAACTCAATCGCAAACGTATTTTTTTTTTAAATTGTCACATTTCAAAAACCAGCCATATATACAGGGTGTTAACAAATAAGTGTCACAACGGAAAACTGTAGATTCCTTATGAAAAAGAAAACAGTTTTTTCCTTTTCGAAATCTTTCTCTGGGCTTCCGTTTTCAAGATACAGGGCGTCAAAAAAAATTTAAAAAATCAGTTTCCTGCCACTATCTCAGGAACCGTTTGAGCTACGGAGTTAAGCCTTCGTACACACTTCATCATCAATAATGGCTACTTTGAAGGCTCTTTATCAATTCCCTTGGACATGTCAGTGGCGGAGAATTCAACGCCTCGTATGGGTTTAACCCAAACATTTATATGCCACTGGAGAAATTGTAATTCTCGAAGTAGATTCTAAAGCGCCAATATCTTTCACACAAAAAACGTCCTTTTGTCTGAATGCTCTAAAGTGAACAGTTTTCGCGAAAAATGGCTCTTTACGAATGAAACCATACAAAATCCTGGTATCTCCAAAAGTCGCGTCTTAAAATCCACTGAAAATAAAAACCTCGATCAGAACTATATCGATTAAAACGTTCAATCAAATGACAGGTTCTTGAGTATGCTGATTTTCAAATTATTCAGTTCATTGAGTGTTGTAAGTTGTTTTAATTAAACTAAACATTTTCGATCTTTTGACGCCCTGTATCTTGGAAACGAAAGCCCGTAGAAAAATTTCGAGAAGGGAATAAATGTTTCTTTTTTTATGAGGAATCTACAGTTTTCCGTTGTGACACTTATTTGATAACACCCTGTATAATCTATATATTTTCTTTATGTATTTTCATGATGAAAATAAGTAGATGGTGCGCGTAGTTGGCCATTTTTACGTATTGAAAACTTAAGGAAAATCACTGGACTGCTTACTGTGATTTCTCTACGTTACATCGAGCGAGACGTTAAATCTATACTCTTCTGCTAGATGGTGATGCTGCTGTTGGTAAAGCTAGAGGTTGAAACAAATTCATGTTAATAAAAGTCTTGAAAAAATAACTTTCAGAAACGTTGGATTATTGTCTTTTTCAGATGAGCATTTGTTAGTCTATTCATATTTTTGATGACGTCATCAGTCTGTATTACATTAAGTATGGATGGAATCTCGACCTTACTCTGATGATATTTCTCGGAAATAGGTACGTCATGTAATATCAGAAAAAATAAAGAAAAAATATGGCGTCCATCATGCATAAGTACACACAAAAATTATATATCGGGTTTTCAACAATAATTAGTATGCCACGCGACCGTTTTTAATGTGGCGTCGCTTTTTCCATCCATGGTGAAGAGATACGACATACCATTGCATGTATTCTTGGTTGCATGGTGATCTGTCTCGTGGTTTTCAGTCATTGTTGAAGACTCGGTATAATGACGACGTCATAGCTCGAACAGTCAAAAGTATGAGTGGTCAAAAAACGCGCAACTGAATATGAAAATCTACGTGTCTGAGCTTCTCTCACTGGCCATATCTTAGCTTTTAACGAATTTGTTCCAACCGTCACGTGTTCTCGTGCTCACAGTTACTTTCAAGAATTTAAAATTGCGTGTCTGCACGGACGACGCATTAGTCACTTCTAACTTTGCAGCGCGCGTCTTGCGTCACTCGCTTCTTCCTTGCGTCTTGCACGATAACCTTTGTAGCAGGTCAACGTCACAAAGAAGAAGAAGATAACCTTTCTAACCTTTAATTTATTTAATCATTTTGTTTTCTTTTTATCATTTCTCCACTATACGCGTTACTGGAGTAAATAATGTTAGTATCTAGTTATTACTGAGCTTTTTAGACTTGTGAAATTAGTGGTAGAAATAAATTAGCAATGAGGGAGGAAAGTGAAATTTTGAGGTTATATCGGACACCCGGCTGTACCTCAACGAGAAAATGTGAGATTTTATCGAAGTTGAAACAAAATTGCATATATTTAATCAATATTGATACAGAAATATGCTTCCACGTTGAAGTTACCAGGTCCCTTAGCAAATCAGAGGAAGATCTGTTGAAATGGGTTCTACAAGACCCTTTCTACCCGCAGAAGGTATCAGTAAATCCATTTCTACAACCTCAAGGGCACAATCAGCTGGTGGAGGTAGGACCTAGGTTCAATTTTTCCACTTCAAACTCCACCAATGCTGTTTCAATATGTCATAGTCTTGGCTTAACACAGGTCGTGAGGCTAGAGGTGTCTCGCAGGTATTTGTTGATATTTGAAAGTGCAAAGGAGGTCACAGAAAAAATAGTGAATGATCTTGCCTCAATGTTATATGATCGCATGACTGAATGCCGATACACTGTACAGAATATACCAAAAAAGAGTTTCAATGAAAATCTCACAAAAAAAGAGGATATAAGAGAAGTAGACATTTTAGGAAGAGGTGTAAGCGCTTTGGAAGAACTTGATCAGGAAATGGGACTTGCTTTTGATCAGGCTGATCTGAAGTATTATACAAATCTGTTCCAAAATGTGTTGAAAAGGAACCCAACAAATGTGGAATGCTTTGATTTAGCACAATCAAATAGTGAACATAGCAGGCACTGGTTTTTTAAAGGAAAAATGGTTATAGATGGGGAGGAATATGAGGAATCTCTGATTGATATGATAATTGATACACAAAAAGGAACTAATCAGAACAATGTTATCAAATTCAGTGACAATAGTAGGTAAGGGAACTCTACTCATGAAATTTCTAGAATTGATTGTGAATTTCAATTATTGAGATGTATAAAATATAACAAGTCAAGTCACTTGATAATATCTCAGATGATATCACTTATGACCTCTACTTGAAACCCTCCACTGGAGCTTTCATTCAAGTGCAAAGTACTCATCAAATATAAAACATACTCAGTCTATATGCACTCAACTTTTCTGAATTTTTTTTTTAATATCTACTGAATTGATCTTCTATCAATTTGTTTAATTTTGGATTATTTGAGGTAGATAGATAGATTTTCAGTAGGTAGGTAATTCAGATAGGTAGTAGGTACTTTTATACTCAATTCCATTCCAATTCAATTTGTATCAGTTATAATTCTTTGGTAATTTACTTCTCAATTATTGTAGAATGCTTAGTCCAAACAAGTGCACCTAAGTTCAAGCACCTGTATGTGCAGGGAGTAAATTCACATAGTTTCTAATACTGACTTATTTGTGAGTAATGTTATGGAGTACTATATAATTAATCTGTTAGAATATGTGATGTAGTGTTGGTTTAGGAATACTTCAGCTGCTCTCTCAGTTGCCCTAGATGAGCTCTTAGCATTTTTGTCAAATTCATTATTGTGGGTGAAGTATTGTAAATGTTTCATCCTATCACAGTGTTTCATGTGCATTGGAATAAATGAAAGAAATTAACCTCTCCTTTCCATCATATTTGCAAGATGGTATATTTCTCAGTCTAATTACCTTTTTTTTTTCGTTGTCATTGATATTATTTTGGTTTTCTAGTTTGAAATGAAATAAAACTTGCCAATTGCATGAAATATAGGGATCTGACCAAGGATCTGACATTATTTGATATTGAATTATACAGCAATGTTGAGTAGAGTTTATTCTTGTGATTCATTATTTTTATAATATAAAATATAAGTAGCTAACCCGGCAAACACTGTTTTGCTATATACTTTCATTACTAGAAAATATTTCTTTAGTTGAATATTCATCAACACACTTTTATTATTTTGTTTTCTTCTCCTGTTTGGTTTGGCTATCCATAAAAACGTCAGTTTTTCAAACTACTATTTATTTTTTGATTTTTTTTAGTTCCCCAGTTCCCAATTTTGATGAAAGAATTATAATCTGCGAACCCAAAAACGTTCAGATACAAATTTTGAATGGAATCTGATCATAATTACAAAACTCGGCTGCCATATTGGATCCGCCATCTTGAATTTCCCAATGTTGACGAGAGAATCGTAATCTTTGACCTTGAAAACCCCTAGATACTGATTTTGAAAAGAATCGGATTATAATTACAAAACTCGTACGCCATATTGGATCCGAGATTGGATCCGTCATCTTGAATTTCCAAATCTTCACGAAGGAATCCAAATCTGTCTACACAAAAACCCCCGGATACCAATTTCAAATAGAATCGGATTATATTAGAAAACTCGTTCGCCATAGAGCCGAGATCCGACATTTTGAACTTCCTGATTATGACGACGGAATCATAATCACCGACTCCAAAAATCACCAGATACCAATTTTGAATAGAATCGGACCATAATTACGAATCTCCTTCACCATCGAGTTCACCATATTGGATCCGCCATCTTGAATGTCCAAATTTTGACGGAAGAATCATAATTTCCGACTCCGAAAACCCCCAAATACCAATTTTGAATAGATTCGGATTATATTTAATTGAAAACTAGTCCGCCATATCGGATCCGCCATTTCGAGTTTCCTAATTTTGATAAAGGAATCATAATCTCAGACCCCGAAAACCCCAGATACCAATTTTGGATAGAATCGGACAATAATTACAAAACTCGCCCGCCATATTGAATCTGCCATTTTGAATTTGCTGATTTTGTCGAAAGAATAATTATCTCCAACTCAAAAAATCCCCATGCATTAATCTTGAATAGAATTGGATCATAATTAAAAAAACTCGTCCGTTATATTGGATCTGCCATTTTGAATTTCCTAATTTTGACGAAGGAATCATAATCTCCGACCCCAAAAACCTTCAGATACTAATTTTGAATAGAATCGGATCATGATTGAGAAAGTTCGTCCTCAATACTGGATGCGCCAAAAACTCGTTCGCCATATTGGATCCGCCATACCTTGAAATTTCCAAATTTTGACCAACGAATCATAATCTCCAACCCCAAAATCCCCATGATACAAATTTTTGAATGGAATCGTATCATAGTTACAAAACTCGTCTGCCATCTTGGATTTCCAAATTCTGATGAAAGAATCATTATCTTCGACTTCAAAAATCCCCAGATACGAATTTTGAATAGAATCTGATCATAATTAAAATACTCGAGTGCCATATTAGATTCGCCAATTTGAATTTCCTAATTTTTACGAAGGAATCATAATCTCCACCGTCGAAAAACCCCAGTCATCAATTTTGATAGAATCTTTCCATAATTACAAAAGTCGTCTGTCATTGGATCCGTCATCTTGAATTTCAAAATTTTGAATTATAATCTCCGACCCCAAAAACCCTCAGATACCAATTTTGAGTAGAATGGGATCATAATTACGAAAATCGTCCGCCATATTTGATCCACCATCTTGAATTTTGAGATTTTGACGGGAGAATTATAATCTCCGACCCCAAAAACCCCCAGATACAAATTTTGAATGGAATCTGATCATAATTAAAAAACTCGTCCGCCATATTGGATCCGCCATCTTGAATTTTCGATTTATAAAATAGATTACGACCGGTTCTCATACCTACCGAATACGCACGAAAATGTTCATACACCGTGAATGGGACAGGAGAATTTTATATATCAGTTTATTAGATGATAGGCCTGTTCGTTTGTTCTTGCTCTACCTGCTAAACTCGCTTTTTTTATGACTCTCTTTGTTAACGTCGTGCCATGAACAGAGACAACTATATGAAACAAATCAATTTTAGCAAGTTCAGCAATACAAACGAACAGGCCTGATATATCTTCTCAATACCTATTGAATATTGTTCACCGGAAAACATTAGATTCCAACTAAAAGCTAATATTGTTTTCCTACGACCACCTATGAAAACAGCATAAAACACACCACTTTGTGTTTTAGAAAGTAGCTCATTTCACCATAGTGATGCAAAAGTTCGAAAGTGATTCTCACGTGTGTTGAAATATTAAAAAAACTCACGCTCACCACACAAGGTTTAGGAAGGTATATGATGCTTACTTGGTAAATGAATCACTATAGGTATTTATTATACTTCCATTTGAATACATTCATTTTCATTAGTTTATAATTTTTATTATTTCGCATCTTGATCAGGTTCATGTTTCTTTGTCATTCATAATAAATTGATAAATCATATATCGCCATACATAAACTCGTTGCTGTCTACAACAGCGCTTGGGTCATCTATCGGGTGAGCTTGTAACTGCTAATGTTAATGTTAAGTTATTGCGAGAGTTATTGTTAAATTAATGTTGAGCTAATGGTTGGTTAATGTTGAAGTCATGTAAAGGTAAGTTTACGTTATGGTCAAGTTAATGGAAAGTTAGTGTCGATTTAACATGTTATTGTCGTTAATGTTGACGTAATGTTAGGTTGATGAAAAGTTGAAATCAAGTTAATTTCAATTGAAAGTTGAATCAATGTCAATGTATTGGCAATTAAGTGTTTAATGTGAAGTTAATGTCAATTTGATATTGAGTCAATGTTAATTTGAGTTTAAGGTAATGTTAAGTTAATTTTGAGTTAATGTTGATTTAATGTTGAGTTAATGTTGAATAATTATTGAGTTGATGTTAAGTTGATGTTAAGTCAATGTTAGGTTAATTTTGAGTTAATGTTGAGTTGATGTTGAGTTAATATTAAGTTAATTTCATGTTGAGTAACTGTTAAATTTATGTTAAGTTGATGTTGAGTGAATGTTGAGTTGATGTTAAGTTGATGTTGAGTTAATGTTAAGTTCATGTTGAGTCAATGTTAAGTTAATGTTGAATTAACGTTAAGTTAATGTTAAGTTAACGTTGAACTAATGATGTCATTTAAAATATTGGAGTAAAATTAAATAATAATTATAATGATATCACCTTAATGTGATCGAATATGATTAGAAACATGATCCCTACTATGGTCTTATAAACACTAATGACATATAATATAAATATTTGTGGTCTTAGGAAAATTCGTGCACAAAACTCGTTGCAAAGTGCATTTCTCGCGCGAAATAGGTCACTTTCCACAATAGTTATAGAATATACTATTTCCGTCGACCTCGTATTAACGACTAAGTTTAATGTATATGAAATCGTTCATTAATGACCCCTATTAATGAACGATTTGTCTATTAATGTACGATTGTTTTATAGGCAACCAAACATACACCGCGTGCATTCATTGTTTATGCTATAACTAGCGGAATCTGCATTTAAATCGAAAATATGGATTTCATCGACGATTTTCCGTTAACGGTTTCGCCTTTCCAAGTTTCTGACACGATTTTAATACCTGTTTTCTAACACAAGGAATTTTTTTCCTATGTTGATCATTTCGACAAATGTCAAATGACACTAATGTCAGTAACAAGGCTACTGGGTGATTCTTAGCAGTTTCCGGATGGATGATGACTTCGCGAACCAAGTTTTCTTCATTGCAGGAGAAATGAGAAATATAGTCGACGGAAAAATTTTGTAACCAACTTTTATATTAAAAGGCGATTAATGATCTCGAACATTAACGCACTCGCTTCGCTCGCACGTTAAAATATCTCGATCATTAATCGCCCTCATTAATACACTAGTTGGTTAAATAACTATTTCCGTCGACCTCGTATTAACGAGTAAGTTTAATGTTTATGAAATCGTTCATTAATGACCCCTATTGATGATCAATTTGTCTATTAATGCACAATTGTTTTATAGGCAACCAAACATACACCGCGTGTTGTTCATTGTTTATGCTATGACTTACGGAATCTGCATTTAAATCGAAAATATGGATTTCATCGAAGAATTTCCGTTAACCAAGTTTCTGAAACGATTTAAATCCCTGTTTTCTAACACAAGGAATTTATTTTCTATGTTGATCATTTTGACAAATGTCAAATCTCACTTATGTCAGTAACAAGGCTACTGGGTGATTCTTAGTAGTTTCCGGATGAATGATGAATTCGCGAACCCAGTTTTCTTCATTGCAGGAGAAATGAGATATACAGGGTGTTTCAGACTTAAATGTACATACGATACCTGTAGATAGAGGACACTTCGGTCGTTCCAAATCACCCCCCATCGATATGTCTACCGTCTTTGATAACTGAGATACAGGACGTTATCTTGATATGGGCAAAATATTCATCTGGTTATAACTTCTGAACCACTTTGTATAATCTATCCATACTTGGTAGAAATATTTCACTTATATTACCCATCAAGACCAAAAGAAAATCTGGATCAGAATCCAGGTCCGTCTTGAGGAAAAACAGAAATTTTCTTTTATCTCAAAAACAACACTCTGTATGGCAAAATTTTATTGATCGGTTTTGATATTTGGAATGAGCGGAGAGAAATGAATGAAGTGACCTACTTTTTACGAGTGCGCATCCAATTTGAAAAATGGTTTATCATCATGTTTTGAAATATTCAGCTCCATTTCGAGGCATTTTTATTGAACTCATAATTCAAAACCCAATTTTTATATAGAAAAATAACAGTCAAAGTTCAACATCATTAGAGTCAAATTAGGTGAACTATCGATAAATTTGTTTGTTAAACAGAATAATTTGTCGATGATTTTAAAAATTTTCGAGGACTCATTTTATACTTTACTATTTATTCATAAGCTGCGGTAAAGTAGGCTGTGAAGAAAAAATTAAAATTCTGACAGTTCATAATTGCTATAATAAAAAAAAAATTATTTTTTTAAAGAAATTATAAGCATTATAGTTGCGATATTATTGGTAAAGTTATTGTAGGCACAATTATGAACACTTTGAAATGTAACAACCCAATACCAGCACCAGAAATAATTATCTTAACATTACCAATAATATCACACTAGTGATTATGACCTGTCAGAATATCAGATTTTTTTTGCACAGCCTACTTAACCGCAGCTCGTGAATTAATAGTGGAAAATAAAATGAGCCCTCAAAAATGTATGATACCATAGACAAGTGATTCTGTCACAACAAATCTATCGATAGTTCACCTAATTTGACTCTAATGATGTTGAACTTTGAAGACTGTTATTTTTTTGTATTAAAATTGAATTTTGAATTATAAGTTCAATAAAAATGCCTCGAAATGGAGCTGAATATTTCAAAACATGATAATAAACCATCTGTCAAATTAGATGCGCACTCGTACAAAGTAGGCCACTTATTTCATTTTTTTCCGCTCTTTCCAAATATCAAAACAGACCTACAAAATTTTGCCATACAGGGTGTTGTTTTTGAGATGAAAGAAGTTTTCTCTTTTTCCTCAAGACGGACCTGGATTCTGATCCGAATTTTTATTTTGTTTTGATGGGTAATATAAGTGGAATATTTCAACCAAGTATGAATAAATTATACAAAGTGGTTCAAAAGTTATAACCAGATGAAGATTTTGCCAAAATCAAGATAACGTCCTGTATCTCAGTTATAAAAGACGGTAGACATATCGATGGGGGGTGATTTGGAACCACCGAAGTGTCCTCTATCTACAGGTATCGTATGTACATTCAAGTCTGAAACACCCTGTATAGTCGACGGAAAAATTTTGTGACCAACTCGTATATTAAAAGGCGATTAATGATCGAGATATTTTAACGTGCGAGCGAAGCGAGCGCGTTAATGTTCATTAATATTCTATACCTTTTCAACTTCAATTTCGGAATCGGTAAGTTATATTTCGGAAAAAGTAATCTCGATTTCAGAATTGGTTAGTGCGATTTCAGAAATGGTAAACTCAATTTCAGAATCGGTGAGATGAATTTCAGAGAAAGTCCATTCAATTTCAGAAATGGTAAGTTGTATTTCAGCATTGGTAGGTTCAATTTCAGAAAATAAATCCTTATATTTGTTTGAAATGTTTCCAATTGCATGCGAGATTAACAAACCATATTTACAATATTCAACTTTCCAAAAACAATTCAATAACATAATTATAATCTCAATTTGATCCACAGATGTCTTCCATCCGAATCGCAGAAGGATAGTAGCGTTGCACATGATTATAAGAATGCAAACACATTTGAGGTGTTCATTTTCATCAAATGATCTGCACGACATTCTTCAAGACATCGCGGTCTGAATTCTATCTGGTTGAGCAATCTCTTCGGATCCCCAGCTATGACCCTTTGGCGATGCTCTTGCAAAAAGGTGTTCACTTCTGACTTGAGGGCACTTCATATATGTTCAATCGAATTCAACATAGGGCTGTAAGGTGCCAATCTGCAAAATATAACATCTTGAAATTCTTCCTCCATGCATATCTCTTCTATTCTTGAATGTGCAGGTGCATTATCCAGAACTACCACTATGATATCTGCAGGATGTCCATTTCAAGCGCACGCTCTCAAACACCGTTTCATCTTCTGAAATTGAACCAACCAATTCTGAAATACAACTAACCATTTCTGAAATTGAATGGACTTTTTCTGAAATTCTTCTCACCGATTCTGAAATTGAGTTTACCATTTCTGAAATCGAACTAACCAATTCCGAAATCGACGTTACTTTTTCCGAAATATAACACCGATTCCGAAATTGAAGTTGAAAAGGTACTATTCCCTCCCTTGTATAATAAATGACTGGAAAAATTCCCCAGTGCCATCAAAGGCTTCTATCACCAAAGCCTGCGCCCATCGGCCTCGGGAGCAGTGAGCGAACTCCGAGAGTTGCCCACCCACTCCCACCTGATCTTCACTGCCGAAACTCACAACTTCCCCACCGGCGTGGCCCCCTTCAGCGGGGCCACCACTGGCACGGGGGGCCGCATCAGGGACGTGCAGAGCGTGGGCCGTGGGGGGTATTGCATCGCGGGGACTGCCGGGTACTCGGTCGGTAATCTGCTCATACCAGGTTCGTACTTTTCTTAACCTCTATGATATACAGGGTGTCCCAGAACAACGTACATTCAATTCAACAGGGTGAACTAGAGTTCAAAATAGGTCGATTGGGACCAACTTACCTCTATACGAAAATGCACCGTTGGGCCGTGAGAGGGCGATGAATGGATTTTTTTTTCAGATTTTATTGAATATTTCAAAATCCTTGGGAGGTAATGATCTGAAATTTGGAAGGCAGTCAACTATAAGAAGTGTGCATAGATAACAGGTCTCATCAATGCAATAGATATACAGGGAGATATAAATTTAGCATTCTGATTGGAGAAAATCCATAGAACTTTTTTTGAGTACGCCACTGACCATATTTCAATATCTACTTGAATAACAAAATCAATTATCTATGTTCTTTCTCACCACATTTATTTCTAATTTCTGCTTGGTTTACGAGATATCTGAAAAAAATTCTTTCGGAGTCCCTCCATATCATCCATAGTCCAAGATATCAGAGTTATTGTGTTCTGCAGGTTTCTTTCTCCTTCATGTTGATATTTTGGTCACATATTCATGTTAATTATTTAATAACCTTTTCATCATGCAGGTTGGCCCATTTTCAACTTGACAGGGAGATTTTGGATGATAATAGCGTAGATACGAAAGAATGCTCAGATCGGTAAACATTGACATTGACAACAGACAAAATAAAATTTTTCTGAACTGAACATTTTCTAGGAAAACTATGAATAGTCGGTGAATTGGGCGTCCTGATTCCGAATCCGAAGTGATTTTTAACCTATCAAGGCTAGTTTTATCAATGTGAACAAACCCTCTCTAATTTTTCTCTCTCCACTTATTCAAAAGATCCAAAACTGATTTTATGAACTTTTTCCTTCTGGTTTTCATCATATTATTGACAGAGTGTTGCAATGCAATGTCTTTCAGATATACATGGTATGCAGAAATATTTATTTTAGAAGGAATGAGGAGATATTTTGATGAAGAATCCCTCATATTATATTATAATAATAAATGTGTTAATTGGCCAGGCATTAGATTGAATGATAATATATACAGTTGTTTTGAAAAAACGTACAAGTATATCAAAGAGACTATTCCACTCTTGATCTCCAAAGAATCAATCAAAATATGCCATTTTCACGGTTTACTAAAATTTATTAGACTTGCTCTACCAATACAGAAGCCGAGTTGACCCACACGAGACCAACCTTCCTCGTTTTCAGCAATAAAATTTTGGACATTTAAAACGTCAATCATCTTGGAAGCCAGAATGATGGATGCAGTGTACGCAACTCTCGCAAGCCGCTCGTTTATTGTCTCAATCATAGAATACTCATACGAATACAACTTGTGAAACCATTTTCGTCGATTGACATACTCCAGCGTGCTGCTTTGATTTCGCTCATGACATTGTTCCAACACTTCTCGCCTACTGCTCGAAAGTTTTGATAAACAATGTCATTCGGCGAAATTATGAGGTAACAAGCTGTCGTAGCAATCCCCGAATATTTCCGGCAAAATAGTATCGCTTGACTATCGGGAATGATTGTTTACCAAATGTTGACAGTAAAGTTGTGTTGGGTTCTCAAAGACACAATACGCATTGGCTGAGCCAGTTTTACACAACTAGAAATAGGATGCCGTAAACCCCTCTTTCTAATCCTTGTACGCTTTTTTATTGAATATGATACAGTGTGTCCAGTTTTCGATTCTTTTGCGTGATATGAGTGAAACCTGTTTGAAAAATGATATAGAATTCACTTTTGAATTTCTTCAAATAGAGGGAAAACAAAGAACATAATAGGGAGTACACATGATTAAAAGTCGCCCTGTTGAAGATGGCATATTGTGCAGGAGAAACTCTCCAATTGCATAGAAACAATGCACCATTAAAACATCATGGATCTTCCTTTTTAGTTTAGTTTATTTCAGACTTTCATAGCTGTGAGATTTAGGCTTAGCACTGATATATCTATAGGAATCTAGGGTTTACTTGATTCTGCAGAAAGGTATAAAAATCTTATCACAGTTTCTAGTTGAATAAGTGTGAATAATAATGTGCCCTCATCGAGGCCCTAAGACACATTTTTTTTTAATGAATAGAGAGAATTTCATGATGTGATAGCAGGGTAATTGCAAAATTGATAATTACTGATCTATATGTATTATGCATTAGAAGACCAGTTCTCATTGTATTGGGTATTCTATTTTTGCTCCAAATCAATTTATTACCTTTGGTGGTCATGATTGCCTCATTATTATCATCACCATGTTTCTTCAAATTTCAAAATTCAACAATTATCATTGACCATTGCAATAACAAACGCAATTCACTGTTTTGTTTGTTCAGTGTTATGTGGTAATTATTCACATAATATTTTAATCTTCTCTATTAATATTTATCTCATTCAACAGCTTATCAAAAAATACCAATTTTCATGTCTGATATTATGATATATTTAGAATGTCCATATTACATATGGAATAATCATTATTAGGAATAAGGATACATGAAACATTGAGATGGAATGATTTTGAAAATAATGATTGAATTTTTACGTAATTGTTAAATACATATTTTGGTAGCTTATTTGGTTTTCAATAGGTTCATAACAGGTAATAACATGGTTTCACAAATAATAATAACAAATGCTGCTACAATACATGGTTAAAGACAATGTTTTTAAATGAATCAATGGCTGAAAATAAATGCCTCCCTAGACGCCACTGGAACTATTGAACAAATTCTGATGACATCCCAGGAATTATTTCGTTATCACATGAAATCCTACCGAATTTCAATGAATTGAAAACGAATATCCTCAGATAAATTATAACATGAAAAAATGGATATATCTCACAACGATATCTATGGAACACACATGATAAGAATTTGAAAAAAAGTCTTCTGATGTTGATAACTTGATAATGAATTTTCAGAAATTGATTTTTAGGAGAATCGTTTTAATTTCATGCAAGGCGTGTGTCCAAATGTGTGCCCCTCAAGGTCGAATCGAAAGTTGGAATTGTGCTTTTTAACTCTCTACAATTTAGGATGATAGACTTGTTGCTGACTGAATAGATAGATATACCAATAATTTTGAGCTGTATTTTTATATAATGTGTATTTTATGTGTATATTCATATAGCATAGTGAGTTGCATATTCTGTGCAAAATGTCGAATTATCACGCCTTTACTGTGAATTTGTGAACTCTGACTTGTTTGGTTTGCCTATGAAATAAGGAATTGTAATCTTATGAAATCAATAAATTCTATTTCTATTTCAATACCCTTTTTCATTCAATTCAGGATACAATTTACCATGGGAGGACAGCTCTTTCGAGTACCCCAACAACTTCGCGCCACCGTTGGAGGTACTGGTGGAGGCCAGCAATGGCGCCTCCGACTACGGAAACAAGTTCGGGGAGCCTCTGATTTGCGGTTTCGTGAGGTCTTTCGGCCTCCAGGACGCTTCGGGAGAGAGGAGGGAGTGGATCAAGCCCATTATGTTCAGCGGTGGTATGTAATACTACCGTGCTAAGTGAAAAGGTCGTATCTGATGAATTGTTGATTCTTAGATATTGCCGTTCTTCTGTTTTTATTCATTTATGTATTTATTCAAAGTACACCACAGAATATAATAAAATTCCGAATGGTACATAAAGTATAAAGTAACAAAAAACATTGAAATCATATAGTAGTGGTAATTGTAACGGTTGGGTACTTTCACAAAAGATACAAAATACACATAGAACTATGTATGTACAAATTCATACTGCAGCTTCAATGTTGCTTGTGATTTAAGGCAACTCAGTGGAATATTGAAAATAACAAGGGAAGAAAAATGCTCATTGTAATTCCTTTCAAGTTTAGATGTGAATGCAGTGCTGCCATAATTAGTTTCTGTGATTGTGAATGGATTTATCAAAAATTTTGTGCAGAAACAAGATCAAAGCAAGTTTGCGTCTGTCATCAAGAGTTTGAATGTTCAATATTGTGAGCCTCGTGGTAGCATCGAATCCATGAAAAGATATTTTCACTTTGTAGATTATGAGATATGAAAAGAGATTCTAGATTATTGCAAGTCTCTCCTTGTGAGCAAGATAAAGTGGCGACCAGAGTATACTGTTGTATTACAGAACACTATGTACCAATGATAGATATAATGTTTTTATCGATTCAATATTGGATATATTATGAGTAAATCTTTTCACAAATCCAAGCATTCTCAAGGCATTATTACAAATACTATATAAGTGACGATTGAAACTGAGGTCTTTGTCAAATAAAACACCTAAATCACTTATATAATCAACAGATTGCAAATTGACATTATCAATAAAATAATCACATACAATTGGATTTTGTATTTTATAAAAACGCATCACTTTGCATTTTTCAACATTCATTTATTTAGTGTTGAAAAGGAATATTCTCAGATAAATTATGAACATACAAAAATGGATATAGGTATATTTATATAAAGCAACACATTGATAATTCGCATTCTCTATGTGATGAGAATATCAAATCTTTTTCAGTTTATTCAATAGAAAACAACTACTTTCCTGGCTATATGCCACGACGAACATCGGATTATATCTATTGAACACACAGGATAAGAGTTTGAAAATAAAATATAAAATCTTCTGAAATTGAGAATTTGCATTCTCCTTCAGACAAAAATATGTATTGATTTATATAAATATACCTATATCCATTTTTGTATGTTCATAATTTATCTGAGAATATTCCTTTTCAACACTTTCATACCCAATCAGGGGGTTCAAACTTGAATGATGGAAACTTGTAATTATTATTGACCTCTAATCGCAGATTCGTGATAGAGTCTCAATTCAGAATTTCTTTCCACGCCCTGTATGATGAATGTCAATTTATCCTACTTCCAAAAGCATTCATTTATTTATTATTGAATCAGTACCATCCATGATTTCAATCTGAAACTCATAATAATCTGCATGAGAGTTTTTTTTTATATCATGTGGATGTCATTGTTTCGGAGAAACCATCAACTATACCGACTGAACTAGCTAAATGTTGTTACATGCATTCTTCTCATTGTTATAACTGTTGGTCTCCGAAAAGTGCCTTATCGCTATAAATTGAAGTCCCTAGATTCTGTGTTATTACACTATTTCTATTTTCCATCTACGGCTATGATTGATTTGACAGAAATTGTAACCTCTAAAATCGTATCTGACAGTCAGGCGCTATTAGAGAAATTTAGAAGACAAAGAGCAGAATATATGTCTTATCCTTTTATTCACTCAAGCATTGTAATTTAGTGAATAGAAAAGGACAGAAGTTCAGCTGTGTCCAAACTCTTATCTACTAATATCATCCAGTGACTCTACCTATACCTACCTACCATATTTTGGAAAGAAACAAATTCTGAATCCATCAATAGTTAATTATTCACTTGGTTCTATTTCTATTGATTTTAGTACAAGCATCACTGCCTTCTTGTCAATAATATTGAGAAATAAGAGAAGTTATGCGGGGAATGAGGTATTTTTAACTTGGCAACATTTTGTTAGCGCCAGTTGCTTCTTTTTCTTTTGTAGACGTATTTGCCAGATTGACAATTGAATTTTGCGGAAATGAGTGCTTGAAATATAGTAACACTGTTCAATTTGTTGATTATAACAATTGGTCAACGAAATTTCAACATACTAAAACCAAACTGAGTACATGAGAAGCATCTTGCTGTTAGATGCCTGCATTACATTTTATCTTAGCTAATCATGTAACTAATGGAATACTTTTGAGTTTAGAGTGAATTGTATGTGATCAGTATTGAATCACCAATCAACTAATCACCTCCTACATAGTTATTTCGAATAATTACATTGCTTGCACCATCTTGCACATAAGATCAATTCAGGGATTTTATAGAGATCTGGCAACAGCGGAGTGATTCCCAGCTGTCAGAACTCCAACCAATCAAATTGCAAGAAGACGCTGACATCACAGCTCAGAAGCGTTTCAATTCACAGGTATTGAAATAGCATTTTCAATATCAAATAATTCATTTGTCTTTCGATTTTCTCGATAAATATGTGGTCAGGATAACGTTTTAACTTTCCCTTCATAACATTATAGCAAGAAAAGGTCCACTTTTACGATACTGGAAAGGCCCATTTTAATAAAAGACAGTTACCCGAGGTATACACTTTACCCGAAAATATTTTATCAGGATTGGGTAGCATGGAAGCCGATATGACGGAAAAACTAAAGCCCGAAATTGGACATCAAGTTATCAAGATCGGCGGCCCGGTATACAGGATAGGCGTCGGTGGTGGGGCTGCCAGTTCTGTGGAAGTACAGGGGGATAATAAGGTCGAGCTGGATTTCAATGCTGTGCAAAGAGGTAAGTGAGATTTTACACGGCGATTCACAATTCACTTCTAAATCGATGTTTCATTGGGTCAAATGCATTTTCAGATTTTTATGTAGATCAATACCTATTCTAAAATGAGAGTGGTCAAGTATGGAGCAACATTAAAATTCCTTTTGCAAAATAGTCAATCAAATACTGAGTTGCGACAATATCTCTCGGGAAAATATTGATAATGGAAGATTTGCGTATTATATTCCATCCAGAAAAGTGAAAATGTTTCGAATATTCGGGCACGATTTCCGAGCTGTCAAAGGTGTTCAATTCGCTAAACAGTCGTTAACGATGCAGAGGAGCTGTCGATTCGAAACCGGCTTGGGTGAGCATTTTTATTGAAAATCTGTGATGTGTTGTAATACTGGCAGTACCTCAGGGCCCTAGAAGTGGTTCGTATTCCACTATAAGCTGTAGGTTCCGCTCTTCCTAACCCAGCACAAGTTTCGACTCTTAGGGAGTTTGTCTTGCTTTCTATAAACATGTATATAAAGTGGAGGGGATCTCAGTAACCGCTTAACCGAAATAAAAGGTTGCATGGAGATTTTGTGAACGCCATTGTGGAGCTGAATGAGTGGCAATGAGAAAGTGTATTTGTTTTTTTCTGAGCCTTGCAAATAATTTCAGAAAAAATCAAAAACCAAATCGCTTAATTTGTTTTTTTTTTCGAATATCTCTGGAAGTAGACAACATTTTCGGGATTTCCCAACATCTATTTTTATTGATCCCTCAATTTCCCTCATTTGACTTTTTTGTTACCCCCACTGTTACCGAGATCCACTACTGTTCATTTTCATCTTGGGCACAATGTATTATAAAAAAACTAGTGTGCCTAGGATCACACATCGGAAGTAATAACCCCCACCAGCCGCCGTCGATGGTACGTTGACTGTGACACGAGTTTGCCATTCTACTTCAATCTCAGAAAGTTGGATTCCTGCACTCTTTCGATTTCTTCCCTCTTTGGATTACTTCCTTCTTTGGATTCCTTCCTTCTTTGGTTTCCTTATCTCTTTGGATTCCTTCCTTCTTTGGTTTCCTCACTTCTTTAGTTTCCCTACTTCTTTGAATTCCTTCCTTTTTTTGGTTTCCTTACTTCTTTAGATTCCTCACTTCTTTAATTTCCTTACTTTTTTGGTTTCCTTACTTCTTTGGATCCCTTCCTCATTTGGTTTCCTTACCCGGAGACCAGATACCCCGAGAGAGACGCGAGAACCCATAACAGTCGCCGTATGCAAACCAGTAGATCTACTGAAAATTCAGTAGAACTGGCAATTTTTGATACGGTAACCGTTATGCGAGTTTGTCGTCCTACCCCATCCCAGAAAGTACATAACGCCAGTGCTGAAGCCTTTGAAAATGGTAAAAAACAAAAAAATATATATAGAAGGATGAAACTCATTGGAAAAGGAAGAGAAATCGTTAATCATTTTTCCTATAATTTACGGGCATTCTGAGGTCGGGAAGTGGTAGAGGGTGAGCTTTCAAGGGTAAAAAACGGATAATCCCGATTTCCGGCAAAACTAGTCCTGTGGAAAAAGGGTGAATGACAAAGTTGTAGGTAATAACAAGATCAATAACTTTTGTCTCCACACTTTTCACATTACCTCAAAATTTATGTAAAAATTCAAATAACCAAGTTTTTGATTTTTTACTTTTATCATTTACAACTTTTTTTTGAAAAGTTACCTCTGTATGTGTTCGAGACATAAAGAGGTAGGTTTTCACCAAGTTTCGTGATGAAACAAATTGTAGAAGAATAAAATAAAAAACCTAATACTTGGTTATTTGAATATTCCTCATAAATTTGAAGGTTATGTGAAAAAAGTGTGAATACAAAAGTTAATGATCATTGTATCCACTTATAACTTTGCGATTTAACTTTGTTATTTTACCAGAAATCGAAATAATCCATTATCCTTAAAAACTCACCCCCTTCCACTTTGCGACCTGAGATCGCCCGTCAATTATGTTTGATCTCATCTTTGTTATATTCTCTTCTGATTCCAACGGGTTTCATCCTACAATAGTTTTTTTTTTCGGTATCAAAAATTATCGACCCTGGTCTACTATAGAAGTTATCACTTCAAAATTAAGTTGGTTCCCAACTTTGAAGTAGCCACATACAGAATATCGAATATTTTCAGGTGATGCCGAGATGGAACAAAAACTGAACCGCGTGGTGAGAGCCTGCCTGGAACTGGGCCCCAAGAACCCCATAGTGAGCATCCACGACCAGGGGGCAGGGGGCAACGGCAACGTATTGAAGGAGCTGGTCGAACCGGTCGGAGGCGTCATCTACGCCGACAGATTCGAACTGGGCGATCCGACGATCAACGTGCTCGAATTGTGGGGCGCCGAATACCAGGTAGATAACGGCAAGAAACATTTAAATCATGATTCAAATCGACCGATTTTGTCAATTTCTGATAATGAATTATTGTTACAATCGTTACAATTCCTAAACCCAACATGGACCATTCAGTTATAGGCCAATTACATTGCTTCCAGTGCTAGGTAAAAACTTTGAAAAAATTATAAAAAATAGGCTACTGACATCAATAGGACCTCATATCCCAGGGTATCAGTTTGGATTCAGAAGTCATATTGTTCTACAAGTCACCCACTTGCAATACTCACCAACAATATGGAAGCGGCTAAGTTCACTAGCGACAAAACGGCAGCAATATTTCTAGACATTAATAAAGCATTCCACAGTGTATGGACGAAAGGCCACATATTCAAGCTAGACTCCCTCAACTGCCCGAAATATCTGATAGACATAATAGACAGTTTACTAAGTGAGAGGAATTTGAGAGTGAAAGTTCAAGACAAATTATCACACGAATTCACACCACAACAAGGAGTTCCACAGGGATCACCACTATAACCCCTACTCTATAACATATACTGTTCAGATATATACCACATGGACCCACAATATTTCAATTTCGATAATTACATACTACAATATGCAGATGACACTGCCCTAGTCGCACACGGCAGAAACTTAAATTCAGCCATTGAAAAACTCCAACAATTAGGTAATAAAACAACGGCATGGTTCAATAAATTGCGACTAATACCAAATCCAAGGAAGTCACATTTAGTAATATTTTTCCATTCGGCATCACCTGCATCTCCGGTTGGTATTTCTTTCCTTCAAACATTTTTTCAAACAAATTGTCACTGACAAGCTACTGGATTTTAGGAAAATTTGTTAAACGCAGTGACATTTTGGGGCAAATCATCTGATTTGTCCCACTACCAATATATTGAAATACTACGAATATTTTTATTTTATAGAAACGAGGAGAGAAAATCCCAAAAAATCAAGTAAAATGAATATACCACCTCCTCGATTAACCTACAGACAGTATTTTTAAATATAACTGGAAAACTGAAAACAATTTTGAAAATTTTCGATGACCGATTGGTATGACCCTCTGAATGCGCAACTTTTTACCCATTTAACCGAATTCGTATCTGAGATTCCCTTGCTGTGCAACCTTGGTCACACTGAATTTTGAATATCAATGTATCGTTTTTTTTTTTTTCGTTCAATATCGGTACTCACCGACCTCTTATATCAGGAGAACAACGCCCTGCTATGTAAAACCGAAGACTTGCCGCTGCTGAGGAGCATCTGCGAGAGGGAGAGATGTCCGATTAATGTTGTGGGAGAGGTTACCGGAACCGGAAGGGTGGTACTAGCATTGGACGAGACGGAATCTCAAACGCCGTTCAATTTGGAGCTGGAGCATGTTTTGGGTGAGTTATAGAAATATCAATGTTTTATTTATATTTGTACATCATGGAACATTGTAATGGTCATTTGAGATATATTCCTTATAAAGATGCATCAATCAAACTTCTGAAATTGCGATATTACTAGTTATTTCATTGATTTCAGGAGATAAACTGTATGATGAGTTACTAATCCATTTTCATATTTGTCAATCAGTGCAATGATTATTGGAAAACAAGAATTCCATCAAGTGAATCTTATGGAATTTGATAATCTTCGCTTATTATGAGACATTAATATCGTACATACCAAGGGACTGTTTTGGTGTAATAAAATATACCCTTCCACAAAATGTGATATCGAAAATTTCTATAGAGTATCTACTGCAGCTATTATTCAAATTTCGACTACTCATGTTTGACTCTCGCTCCGACGAAGATATCATTTCATAATCCTCATATATATTTGTATAATGTTCAAGTAAGTACTTGTCTGTATTTTATTTTTCGCTTGTATCTATACTGTTTTAAGTACTCTGTATGCGTTTCTCAGACCTTGTACTCTGTGGAATTGCATGAACTAAACTACCCAACACTAATTTCGTCGCACCCCAAAATTTTGCCTCTGTTGAAATATGAATTTTTTTTTCTGCTTTGAACGATTTGAATTAGGATTACACTGTTCGCTAGCCCAGTCCTTCAGCTATAATCTGGTGGTCCTTCAAAACATAAGATTCTTCACATAAAATCGCTACAGGGTGTCACCTGAAACTATGCAAAAATTTCGGAAATTTCGAAAGTATCCCAAATGAAGAAAATCTTTTTTCTTAGCTTTGATAGTAGAAGCATGTAGATGATTTCATTATCTTGGTACAGTTCTCGAATTGTCGCCTTATCTCTTTTATTCACAGAGTGATCTCAAAAATATCAATTTATGGTTTTGCAGTCATAACTATTTCCCTCTTGAACCCATTTTTGAAATCTCAGGCTGATTTTGAAGCCTAAACTTCATGTGAAGAGATATAAAGATCAGAATTGACTCAAGCTGAACATTATACAGTGTGTCTCACTTCTAATGGAAGCACCCCTATATCTTTCGTTATTGTTGAGTTAGGATTCTGAAATTTGCAAGAGCGGTAGATATACTGAGAATACACAATATGACCAAGTGGAATCGTCTCCAGTGATATTCACTGCTTGCCAACAGCCATGGAACCATCCACAAAAATGATATAAGAAGGCAAGATAGGTTGAAAATCACTTCGGATTCAAAATCTGAATGTCCCTTTCGCTTCCTCCTGTAAATTTCAGAACGCTACCTCAATAATTACGTGAGATACGGGGGTGCTTCCATGAGAAGTGAAACAACATTTAATTCTGAACAAATTTTTTTTTTGAATAGTCAGTTGACGGACATCCTGATTTAGAATCCGAAGTGATTTTTAACCTATCTTGACCCCTAATAACATTTTACGAAAATTGTGGTGGTTCCATGGCTGTTGGCGAGCAGTGTTCATCACTGGAGAGGACTCCACTTGGTCATAGTGTTTATTTTCAGTATATCTCCCGCTCCTGTGAGTTTCAGATTCCTAACTCAACAATTACGAAATATACAGGGGTACTTCTATTACAAGTGAGAAACACTGTATAATGTTCATCTTGAGTAAATTCTGATCTGTATATCTCTTCATCTGAAGTTTCAGCTTGGAAATGGGATTTCAGAAACGGGTTGACAAGGAAAAAAGTTCTGACTGCAAAACCTGAAAGTTAAATTTTTGAGATCACTCTGTAAATAAAAGAGATAAGAAGACATCTCTAGGTAATGAGATCATCTTCATGCCTCTGCTGTCAAAGTTTTTGTTCATTTAGGATCTCTTTGAAAATGCAAAAATTTTCACAGTTTCAGGTGACACTCTGTGGCGATTTTATATGAAGAGCCTCATGCTTAAAAGAAGTACGAGATTATAAAAGACTTATCAGAACTCTAGGACTCATCAATAGTAATAATTGAGAGATGTTGTTCAGTACCCATGGATGTATTCCAAAGATATTATCACCTCCAAAAGTAAGAAAAACTCTTAACGAGTTCCTTTTTCCCTTAGTTACTCCGTGGACATAAGGCTTTCTTTATTAGAAATGAAAGTGAATTTTACTATCATCAGATCACAATGAAACGTTTCAAATGATGAAACGATTCAAATGATGAAACTTTGGGTCAGAATAGTTCCTCAGATTCAGTTCCCACTTTGAAATGACCCTAAAAATATGAGATATCGATAATATCAAACAAATGAGCCGGCAGCCGGCACATATTCTCGTTCTCGTGTACTGCACCACGAGGCGATCAAACGCCCTTAGCCCGTTGTCATTGCACACTAGAATGTCAGGTTGCAGTTGCAGGGAACTGGCTCTCACTGCCGAGAATCCCGAGATTGTTTATGGAAGGTTTCAGTTTGCATAAATATCAAAATTCACTCGAGATACTCTAAAACATTGCAGGCACTTTCTGAAATGGCACACTTATACGCCTTTTACAAAGATAACCTTGTATTACAATCGCTTTGCTCGTCGTACTCTGAACAATTACTGCGGAATTTTATATTTTTCTAGACAAAATGTCTGACAAGGTGTTAAATCTCGATAAAAAGAATTTCAGAAACAGTGTCTCAATGCTTTTTTACTTGAATTGTAAAGATGGAACTGAAAACTCGAGCAAAGGTAATTTTCACGTTACACCATGCCATGTACAAGAACTTCGTGTACCAATCACAATATTCCTGCAAAGTAAAAGCTGCCATATCGACACTATTCGCGATAGAAAATAAAACGTTGCCCCACCTGACGGCAGCAACTTGAACACTTCTGAGCGGTTTGTTTTGATATGAAATGAAAACAAAGTAAACATGCCGCTTTGACAGCTTTCAAGAACTTCGATAGATGGCGTACGCTTATTTTCTATCCATTCCTAACTTGATTCCTGATAAACACGATGAATTGAGGGTGGTTGAACAACCTCTACCCGATATCATTTGCACACTAGAATGGCAAGTGGCAGTTGCAGGTGGCTGGCTCTGACAGCCGGGGAATCCCGAGGTTGCTCATTGGCGTTTCATTGCATGTTTTAGCTTGAATGAGTGTCATAAATTCACTTGAAAACACTCAGATACATACATGGGAAACGGAAACTGGTATCCCAAACTATAACTTTAAGAAAGGGGATTTTATTAAGATGTATCACATGCTAAATCAGTGTAACAGGGAGAACTTACGTAACTTGGAGAACCCAGATGAAGCAGTAGATAGTTTTTATGACACTCTCAATAATATTTTTGATGAATGTTTGCCAAAAAAGAAGTCATTTAGTAACATGGAAAAATTTCCTTTTTGGTATAGTCAAGAACTCAGACTGAAAATTAAAGAAAAAAATAAGTACTACAAGAAAGCTAAACATTTGGGTATCCATCAAGCAAAATATATAGATAAATATCAATCTCTTAGGAAACATGTAAAAATGCTCATCAAAGATTGCAAAAAAGAATATCTGCAGAACATAGAAAATAATCTACAAAATAATCCAAAAGAGTTTTGGTCCTACGTAAAGGGCAAAAAGAAGAACGAGGGAATATCACAAAGTTATAGATACAATAATCAATGTTTTGAAAATGACAGTTCTATAGCAAATGCTTTTGCAAATTTTTTCAAATCAGTGTATAATGATAATCAAGAACCATCAAATATGGAGTACATGATCGATCCCCATTTAGAGAACCTGAACATAGTTGAAATAAAGGAGCATGAAGTAATGGATGCAATAAAATGCTTGAAACCAAAAGCGTCATCCGGCGTAGATGGAATCCCATCATATTTCCTTAAAGGATATGCAGAAGTGCTAGTAAATCCACTTACCACTATCATTAACATTGCGATAAGAACAAATAAATTTCCCAACCTGTTCAAAATAGGGCGAGTTACACCTATATATAAATCTGGAAACCCTAGGGACATTATGAACCATAGACCAGTTACAATCCTTTCTGCGCCTTCCAAAGTTTTTGAGAAAGTAATTTACAACAGGCTCTACAGCCATGTAGAAAACATAATTTCTCCAGAGCAACATGGATTTGTCAAACATAAGTCAACCACCACTAATTTGATGATTTATAGTCATGACTTAGCACTTGCTATTGACCATGGCATGCAAGTGGATACCATTTACACTGATTTGACAAAGGCTTTTGATAAAGTGAATCATAAAACATTAGTAAATAAACTTAGAAAACTCTCTATACATGAGAATCTCATATCATTAGTCTGGTCATACCTGTCTGATAGATCCCAATTTGTTCAATTCAATAAAGAAAAATCAGAAGTATTCACTGCACCATCAGGTGTACCCCAAGGGTCCATACTAGATCCATTACTATTTATTTTGTTTGTGAACGATATCGGTGAATATATAACATCAAAATACTTACTTTATGCTGATGACCTGAAGCTATACAGAGTAATCAGGGACGACAGTGACAGACTTTTACTTCAACAAGATCTCATTAGGATTGCCACTTTCTGTGAGCTGAACGACCTGTCATTAAATGAGAACAAATGTAAATATATATCATTCAGCCGTAAGAAAAATCCTATTGAGACAGAATACTGGGTGAATGAAACTAAATTGGAAAAAGTAGAAAACTTCAAGGATCTAGGAGTAGTATTTGATAGAAAATTTAGCTTTAATACACATATTGCAAAAATTTTAAATGATAGCCTGAGAAATTTAAGTTTTGTTCTAAGGAATTCATACCATTTCAACTCTAATATCGCAATACTTTTATACAATGCCTTTGTAAGACCAAAATTAGAATATGCTTCAGTCATCTGGAATCCACATACCGTTGTTCATTCAGAAATGATTGAGAAGGTACAAAAAAAGTTCATGAGGAGTCTTTATTACAGGAAATATCGAGTATCCACTTTAATGATTTCATACAAAACTCAACTATCAGAATTGAATCAAAACACACTACAGCTCCGGAGAAATATCGCGGATGTGCTATTTGTATCAGACATAGTTAATGATAAGCTTAATGTACCTGATTTACTCTTTGCAATAAAACTACATGTACCTGAAGTAAGATTACGTAAGCGAAATCATATTTTTTATATAGATGTGTCATCCTGCTCACCTTTTGTAAGATGCCAGAAATCTGTAAATGAGCATATTAACTGCTGGGATACTGACATTTTCATTTCTAGTAGTAGCAGAATAAAAGGCACTGTTGCTAATTATTAATTATTTTCTACTTAATTGTATATTTTCCACTTTTTATAATAATTAACGTGACCATGTTAGTGGACTGTGTTGTGAATCTTTCTTTGTTTTTAATTTTTTTAGGTAATTTCGGAAGTAATTTCAAGTGTGTACTGTATGTGTACTGTATGTGATAAAACTGTTATTCTGTAATTGGGCTGAAGCCTGTTGTTTAAGCAGTATAAATAAATAAATGAAATGAAATGAATTGTTCTGTAACTCTGCAGTAACATTTTTTTCCATATCCTCACATCCCCACATCCATCACCTTGTTACAATCTCTTGTGATACTCTAGCCAAGCAACAATATGCTTGAAACACTCTAGGTCTCATCGAAAGTCTAAGACTCATTTTCAGTGGCTATAATCGAGAGACGTTGAAATTTATTACTCATGAATTCCCAAGAATTTATAACCTCCAAAAGTTCAAAAATTTCAGCAAGTTCCTTTTTTACATTGACAAGAACGTTCTCTATCAGAAATGAAAACTAATTATACTATCATTGGATTACAATCAAATGTTGGTGTACAAAAATTACGCGGGCTCATTTCCCACTTTGAATTGGCTTCAAAAATATATGATATCGATTATATGAAACAAATATTTCGACAAATTTTGTTACATTTTCAGGAATACACTCCCGCAAATGATGAATGTACTGCATCATGCAGTCGTAAGTATCAATCACAATATTCCTGCGAAGTAAAAGCTGCCATATCGCCACTATTCCCCACTCAATCCCAGATATACACGAAAAATTTAAGGTGGTCAAACGACGTCTACCCGTTATCATTGCACACTGGACTGGCAAGTGGCGGCGGTGTTTTATCACGGCTAAACCAAAGTTTGAATAAATTCACTTGAATTGCTCTGCAACTCTGCAGTCACTTTCTCAGATGGCAGACATATATGCCATTTTTTCACATCCTCACATCGATTTCCTTGTTACAATCGCTCTTCATACTCTTAGCACGGACTGTGATTAAATACTGAATTTTATACTATTCTTCTAGGCAAAATGCCTCGCAAGGTGTTCAATCTAGAAAGGAACACAGCCATATACAAAGAGCTCGTGTTTCCCGAGGCATTATCCATCTTCCAAAGTCTTGACAGGGTGCTGAGGCTGCCTTCGGTGGCTAGCAAGCGCTACTTGACGAACAAAGTCGATCGTTGCGTCACTGGGCTGATAGCCCAGCAACAGTGCGTCGGACCTTTGCACACTCCTCTTGCTGATGTAGCTGTCACGGCCATTTCTCATATCGGATATGTAAGTAGTGTGTACCAAATAGTAACTTGGCCGAGCATATTCCATAATCTTGAGATTTTAGTTGAGGTTATGGTCGTATGTTTGCTGTGAAAGTCCATCCCTAATATGGGATCCACAAACATACAACTAGACAAGCAGATCATTTTTCTGCCGAGAAAATCAAATCAGATATTGGTAAAAAATTCCATCTATCAAAATGGAATGATACAATACAATTCACTACCAAATAACTTGAAGCTGATTAATAGGATTGAACAATTTGAAAGGGAATCGAAAAAACTTTCGAATTTAGAATTGACTCGGCCGTTACTTGATGGAAATCCATGCCAAATATAAAAACTTCACAAACAATAATATTTCCACAAAATTCCTAAAAACAACAAGTTTTGCTAACACAGTAGCTTCGTCAGGTGATATACTCTCGGATATACTGGTACAATGAACTAAACCAACCTTGGCTTGCTTAGCTTTTATACAGGGTGACCCAGTGTTAAACCGCCAAACGTTAAGGGTCGGTTATTTGAGCAAAAATAAGACTTTTTTTCTAATGAACATATGTCCTAACTTGCTTTGTTTTCGATATACAAGGTGTCAAAGTTTTCAGAAAAAATCGGTTCTTCATTGATTACGGCTTGAACTTACGGCAGATTTCGATGAAACTTGGTATGCTTATTTGTGGTGAAACGGAGCTCCTATTGATGTAATCCGAATTAAATTATTCCCATTGGCGTCCCAGAAAGTAATCAAAATGATATAAGGATATTTTTGTTTTATTATTTTATTTTATTAGGAAACTGATAACGTCCAAGAATCACATGAACTGCTCAAAATGACCACCATCTTTCTCGATGCAAAGTTCGCACCTACGGACGACTGATTCTGCAGCTGCACGGCACTCTGCTGGTGTAATCTCTCGGGCTGCATGAATCATCCTTTCCCGCAGAGTACCTTCGTCGTTGATGGGCTCCTCATAAACTCTGGATTTCATTGTACCCCATACAAAAAAATCCAAAGGGGTGAAGTCAGGAGAGCGCGCAGGCCAAGGAAAGGGACTGTCTTGACCTCGACCTATCCATCTTCCCGGAAAATAATGGTTCAGCCATCGTCGTAGGTAGAATATATTGAGCAGGGCATCCGTCCAACTGGAACCATCTGTTTGCTCTATTGATTATAGCCATGTCATCTAAGACTGGTTCAAAATCGTCTTCCAAGAAATTGAGGAATGCTAGACCATTAAGTCGCGAAGGTAGAAAATATGGGCCAATGAGTGAGTTGTCGCATAATGCCATCCAAACGTTGCATGAAAATTCATGTTGAAATTTATTGACTTTTATTGCACGAGGATTTTCGTTCACCCAAATTTGAGTATTATGTTGATTGAAGATACCAGCCCGGGTAAAAGTTGCTTCGTCAATCCATATAACCCTCCGGGAGAAGGAAGCATAATTAATTATTTGCCCCAGGAATCTCTCGGAAAATTCTCTTCTTCGTTGGAAATCATCAGGTAACAAATTTTGAACTTTCTGTCCTGTTCACAGTGCTCCGTTTATAATAATAATAATAATAATAATAATAATAATAATAATAATAATAATATTTATTTCATCCTTTGAGACATTACAAAATGTATAGGACAAGTCAAGCGCTTACAAAATGGTTTAAAAGAGAAATACATGATGAAATACACAGAATACAATTATTGTCAGTAAAAATTAAAACAAATGGCAACAATGGCTAAAATGGCTACTACAAGTCATCCTGCAGATATTCATCTATACTATAATAACATTTGGTAACCATTAAATTTTTTATAGTTCGTTTAAAAGAAGAATTGGAAATTATATTTTTAATTAATGTTGGAAGATGATTGTATAATTTCATTCCCATATATCTAAAACTATTTTCTAGTTTTGTTGTTTTGTGTTTGGGAATGCGTAGGAGATCTGAGTTTCTGGTGTCATAGTAATGATTTGAAGAATTCAGTTGGAAGGTATTGATGTTATTTCTCACATACAGAAGACAGTGATAAATAAACACGCTGTAGAAAGACATTATTTTATATTTTATGAAGGTGGGTTTACAAGTTTGTTGATATTCTAGACGGAACATCTTTCGAATGATCTTCTTTTGTGTCACGAATATTTTAGTTACATCGACTGAGTTACCCCATAAAATGATATTATAACATAAGTGACTGTATACTAGACTATAGTATACATTAATTATTGCACTGGTGGGCATGGTGTCTCTTATTCTAGATATCGCATAATATGCCTTATTTAATTTGGTGTTAACAGCGTTAACTTGATGTATCCATCGAAGATTGGAGTCAATATTCAAACCCAAGAACTTTGTTGTTGCAGTTGATTCAAGCATTGTTTGGTTCTCAAAGTTTATAGTAAGAGTACGTAAGTTGTTAACTATATTATGGGAATGAAAATATACGCATTCTGTCTTCTCAACATTCACCATCAAACAGTTGGACTTGCACCAATTCACGAAGGTTCGTACAGTATCCTTGATAAAAGACATGAGTTCCTCCGAGGTCTGTGCAGAGACTGCCAATGATGTATCGTCTGCATATATGGTTAAAAGGTGATGTTTCAAATGTATTGGTAAGTCATTTATGAAAAGTAAAAATATTAAAGGCCCCAACACAGATCCCTGAGGAACTCCTCTGTCCATAGTGTAAGATTCTGATATGGCCTCCCCTACTTTTACTAGCATCTTTCTATTGGTTAAAAAATCTAATATCCATTCAAGAAAAATCCCTCTAAATCCTATATTGTATAATTTATTTTCAATGAATTTTATGTCGAGACAGTCGAAAGCACGTGATAGATCAAAAAACAGACCTGCCACGTGCTTTCCGCTGTCCAGTTCCTTGTATACGTATTCGAAAAAATTGCATGCAGCAGTTTGTGTTGATTTATTTGCACGAAAACCATGATGGTGCGAGGCTATCAAATTGTTTGAATCCAAAAAATTTATCATTCTGCTATAGACAATTTTCTCGAATATTTTAGATATAACACTCAGCACCGAGACTGGTCTATAATTTGAAACATTTTCAGGATCATTTTTTTTATGAATTGGGATAATTTTTGCATATTTGAAAGATGTAGGAAATTTGCCCTCTATAATTGAAAAGTTAATAAGATAACATAAATGACAAGAAAGAGATTTGATGCCTGCCTTCAAAATTTTGGTTGAAATATTATCGATGCCCGTACTAGATTTGTTTGGCAAATTCCTAATTGAAGAGAAGATCTTCGCGTGCTACTGGAAGGCATTTCATTGAAAAACTCTGAGATGTTTTGTGTTCTTCTTTCATTTTGAAGAGGTGCAAAAATTCCATCTGCTCGAGTTCGCAATACGGTTGACCCTGTTTCTCTAAGACGTTGAAAAGTAGTGGCGAAAACTGATCTGTCAGGCACTCTTCTTAGAGGGAATCTACGGGCATATTCCGCTACTGAAGCGCGCGTATTACCATTGCAGTACCCGTAAACGTACACAATATTCGCGCATTCAGCTGTACTGTAAATACTTGGCATGATGATAATGATGATTCCGAAAAATCAAGCTTGAACGCACTTAAAATACATTAAAACTCGAATTAATAAATTCACAAGGCACATGTTGTCAGAATTTGACACAAACAAACCCCCAATCATTGGCGAAATTGTGCTCGGCTACCTTTGATCTGATTTTTGTTGAAATGTGCTTTTTCCTGTTGAATTCTAGGAAATGGTTTTTTTTTTTTTTTTTCTCACTAAAGAATCGTGGTATAAGAAAACAAGAGACGAAGAGATATTTCTGATTGCTTAATCTAATGAAACAATATTGAATATACGAAAAAAAGTCATACAATGACTTGTCCTAATATCAGTTAGATTACCCTTTATTACGTTATCAGTTTCCTAATAAAATAAAATAATAAAACAAAAATATCCTTATATCATTTTGATTACTTTCTGGAACGCCAATGGAAATAATTTAATTCGGATTACATCAAATGGAGCTCCGTTTCACCGCAAATAAGCGTACCAAGTTTCATCGAAATCTGCCGTAAGTTCAAGCCGTAATTAATGACAAACCGATTTTTTCTGAAAACTTTGACACCTTGTATATCGAAAACAAAGCAAGTTAGGTTAGGACATATGTTCATTGAAAAAAAAAGTCTCATTCTTGCCCAAATAACCGACCCTTAACGTTTGGCGGTTTAACCCTGGGTCACCCTGTATATCCTACTTTCCTAACTTGAAGGATTAGTTACCTATGGACAGGTTCGATAAACCTTCATTTTCAGAAATCAGGCAAATTATCTAAATTAAAATTTTATAATTTATATTTAAATATTTCAATGTAGATATTGTGCCTTATAATAAGTATGATAAACAGGCTAGTGAATGTCCCTCTTTCAGAAGTCAATATCAATAAAGAACTCAATATCATAAAACACATTGCAGTCAACAACGGATACAGCGTTATTTTGATAGAGAGTATTCTTTCTAAAAAACTTCATAATAAATCTATTCAAGAAGTTTATTCTACCATCAAGAATAATAATCAAGAATAATAATCAAAATTATAGAACTTTAACCTATTTTGGATCATCCACTGAAAAATTAGCTTCATTTCTATATAAACAGGACTCAAAAGTAGCATATAGAACAAATAACACGTTGGGAAGGTTTATCAAGAATGATAAAGACAGAACTTCTAAATTCTAAAAATCAGGGGTATACAAACTCAACTGTGGATCTTGTCCTAAGGTATATATCGGTCAGACAGGTCGTACGTTTAATCAGCGCATTGATGAACATAAGATGAATTTTTTGATAAAGAAAACAAATTCAACATACGCCAACCATATTTTAGAAGGAAACCATAGTTTTGATGATAATTTCGAAATTCTTCACGTAGAAAATAATGGAATGAAACTGTCATTCAGAATCATTAGGAATCAACAAAGTCAAAAATTCTGACTTTTACTCAACGATGATCAATTAGACCTCAATAGTTCACCACTGTTGAATTTGTTTTCTTAGTAAGTAATAATATGTATTTGATATCAACCCTTTCAAGTTAATCCGGTACACCGTATTTTAATGTTGGTATTGTGCCTAATTTCCGAAAATGGAGCTTTATCGAACCTGTCCACAGGTGACTAATCCTTCAGTTTGGGAAAGTAGGATATGTAAGCAAGCCAAGGTTAGTTTAGTTCATCTTACCAGTATATCATCTGACGAAGCTACTGTGTTAGTGAAACATGTCGTGGGTTTGAGAATTTTGTGGAAATCTTATCGTTTGTGAAGTTTTTACAATTCCTAACATGATCTATATATTAGTCCGAAACATGTCGTACCATTTATTAAAAATTGTGGAGATGATTTAGAGTCTGATCACTATTACTCTACTCAGAGATACTTATGTGGAAATGAACATCACCATTAAAATAATATTAGAACAATATTTATTTGTATGATTGAGAAAACAATATTTCGTGGATTTGATTTTTGGAATCATGATGAAGCATTGTTTTGGCAATCTAGTAATTCCTATCCAAAACTAAGGTCAAACCAGTATAACGATATGGTACTATAAAGTACTACTCAAGGCGACCAGATGGCGTTTCATGGACGTTTTTGACGTCAGTAGATGACCGAGGTGACTTCATATGACGTGCATCCGCCATAGCCCAATCACGTCCTATTACTCATTATTGTTTACATCAGTCACTCACCTATTAAGTACCAATCTAAATATGAATGAACCTATATGAACATATCTGATATTGAGAAAACAGGAAATCTGAGCAAATTTTTGACGAATTATCTGAAAAACGATTGACTTGATCTTTAATCGTCATGGATACGTCCTTGCAACGTCATAGAAGTAATATTTCAATACTTCTAAGTGACTGAAAAAATGGAGTTGGTTGGTGTCCAGGGTCACTGTATCAGCTGGTTTCAGAACTACGTAGCCAATTGAATGCAATCTACTTATCTAAAAGAATGTGAAAGTGATCACACACATTTGAAATGTGGTGTACCACAAGTCTCGATCCTGGGCCCCACTCTCTTCCTAATATACATAAATTCCATGGCAAACTTGGAAATTATTGGAGATGTTGTACTATATGCTGATGATACCACAATTGCATATTTCGGTGAAACTCATAGCCCAGTTTTTGAGAATATCAAACGAGATTTATCACAGCTGACAAAATGGCTACTCTGCCATAAACTTACATTGACTTTAAAAAAATCATTTTTTATGTGAATAACCACAAAAGCACTGTACCTGATTATGTTAAGAATGAAATAACTTGTCAAAGTGGATCACTTCAATATAAAAATGAAATTAAGTTCTTGGGACTGATAATTGATACAAAACTATCCTGGCAAGCACATCTAGAACATATTAGAAAAAACATGTTGGGCCAGTGGGTATTCTGAGAAGATTAAGCTACTCTGTCCCAAGTTACATTCTGTGATCTGTGTATTTCTCCCTAATACATTCACATTTGCAATATCTGACAATAATATGGAGTAATACATATGAGAGTTATTTAAAACCACTTAAAATACACCAAACAAAACTAATCAATTAAAAACTTATATAACCTGCCATCAAGATATTCAACTTTGAATCTATATGAACATTACAATATTAAATCGCTAGGAAGTTGATATACTTTTCAAGTCAATGCATTCATACATCAGATAGTAACTAGTGCTAGACATTCACAAATCACATTTCAATCTAGAGAGGAAATTCATGGATAAAATACTCGAAACTGTAGACATTTTCAAGTCTCAGGAGTAATGATGAACTATGGAATCAGTTCAATATTTTATAAGGGAGTATCAGCCTATACCATCAAATATAAAAAGAGAAGGTGTAAAAAAATTCTAAGCTTTGTCGAAGTCTCACATTCCACTGAAGTTATGATTCGTACAGTTAGTATTAGGAGATAAGGAGGTTGGATTTAAGGGGAAAACAAGTAGATACTTGTATATAGCATAAATTATAGTTCAGTGAAAAAGGTTACCCATATATTACTATTGTACAAACTAGGGTATATTCACTAAATTGATACAGGTTTGAATCAATAATCTAATTATTATGTCCGATATTATGTAATTTGTAAAACTATAATGACTTGTAACTAGTAAGAGAGGTGGTCCTAGATGACATTTTTATGTTTTTTGGAACGCAATAAATTCATTTATTCATTCATCATCACGTCATGAGAAGTATCAACTAATTGATACGTCATTCTGATGTGATCCTTCGTCAGATGGTTGTCTGGGTAATGCATGTTGATAATAATCATTTGAATAATATCGTTCTGTATATTATGAAATTAATCTCTGAGTTGTCAGTGATTGTGTGTCATGCAATTATATATCTAGTTTGTTATGTTGTTAATGAGTTCAGATGTTACACAATAAAAATAAAATAATAAAAAGATTATTCCATCTTTGTAAAACCTGGATATCTGTTTCTGCTTGAAAATGAAACCTCAACAATGCAAACCCAACATACTTTCGATCACTGGACGAAATTCCATGTAATGAAAGGCGATTGAATCAATGAAAAAATTGTGGATAACTTTACTGTAGGAGGGAATCGCCACATCGATAGGCGAACAACCAATCAAAGGCTTAGTGAACACTGCCGCAGGGGCAAGGATGACAGTGGCTGAGTCGCTCAGCAACTTGGTGTTTGCGGGAATTTCGTGTCTGAAAGATGTCAAGTGTAGCGGTAACTGGATGTGGGCAGCCAAATTGCCAGGAGAAGGTAATTGTAGCAGATTTATTCAGCATCTAATACAAAAGGGAACTACGCCTTTCCAAGATGTATTCCAAAAACCGGCATTTCAGAATAGTCACTTGTATTTCAGGAACCATCAATTGTATTTTAGAATAGCCAATTGAGTTTCAGAAAGTGTCATTTGTATTTCAGAAAATATTATTTGAACGATTTCCGAAATGCACTTGACGCTTTCTGAAATACAATTGACGCTTTGTGAAATACAAATGATTATTCTGAAATACAATGGGGAAGTTTTCTTCAGATAAATTTTCACAAAATATGTTCAGAACTCTCCAGTTTTATGTCCACGCTGTACAGAATGGCGACCGATAAAGTCCAAGTCGTTTTCATTTTCAAATTAAAGCAATTTCTAATTTTCGCGTCGTCAAACTGTGACGTACATTCTGAATCTAGTCTAAAAATAGGTAATGGCGAAGAATATAGCTAGCGAATAGTGAACGACTAGCTAACGAATGAAAAAAATAGAAGAAGAAGTAAAACTGTTGAACAAAAACATTCATAACCACAAACGCACTCGGATCAGAAATGCAGAGGTTAGTTGAATTCATTCTGACGGGTTATGGTTTTGTTATTTATCCATTGAAATATCTCAAGTAGAACTCGACCCTAAACGAAAATATAATTAAACCAATGAATCTCCATCGACTACATTCAATGATACTAATTTCTTCCTAATTTACTGCCATCGGTCAGAACAGAATGAGGTCGATAATTTGCAGCTTTCCTAGAAAATAGATCCGTTTTATTAAGGAACAAATTCATTAACAAGTACATGACTGACAAGTTATGAATAACATATTGTAATATAAAGATAGTGAAAAATTATAGATACTATCGCAAAATATAATAATTTATCTTTATTAGTAATCAACTTCATACAGCCAATGAGAGATTTAAGGGAATTATTCATAATACTTGACAAAGTAGGATTGAATAACCTATTATTTCCCATTGCTGTTATGATATAGTTATTATGCATTCAAAGAACAGTTTTCGGAAATCTAGACATATTGATGATGTCGGCAACGTCGTACTGGCACAGGGAATCGTATTTTAACTCTGTATGAATATGGATTTTCAGAAAGTAAGTCATAGGAATGGTGGAGAAGCCAAATTCCTCTCAATAATTTTTTTTTACAAACTTCACAGTGAGATAAAAACCTCAATATAGAAAACTTCCCCATCGACGTTTTCTGCGATTCGATTGACTATTCTTACAATTGATGCTTTCTGAAATACAATTGACGCTTTCTGAAATTGAACTGACGTTCTGAAATTCAACTGGACAAGGTGTTAAAGCGTAGGTCATACAAATTTTAGTGTGATTTAGTCAACATTTTATTTACTATCATCAAATTACTTTATTTCTGGTAGGCACACATATGGAGTCTTCCATTTCGATATTATAAGTTCAAACCATTTTCCACTTCATGAACCCAGTTTGAAAAACGTTCACTAATTGTGTCTTTACGCACCTGCTAGCTTGTTAAGTTTGACAGCGCCCTTCTGCTGTCGTATGAAATACTATGAAACTACATAGAAGGTGATTGAAGAATTGATTTGCTTCATCGTTTTATCTGTTTCGAATACAAAACTTCTGACATGCCTACATTGAGATTCATTATCATCTTACCGTTCTAACATGCTATTGAATGATTTCAAAGTTTGGTATTATTTCTATTGAGTTAAAATGTATCTCTATCGATTTGAGCTTCAAGAATATATGGATTCCGATATTAAAATGTTCAGAATGTTTTTCATATTATTATTGAATCACATTCAAAACTCAAGTTTCCTCAAAGTTACCTTAGTTTAGTTTCCTGTAACATTACAAATTCAGTAACAGGAAGCCTCTATTTTAACTACCTTTACATGGCGTTATCAATGTTGTTTTATTTCCAAGAATTACTCCTTTGTGATTAGTACACCCTGCTATGTCATTAACGTAGATAACTAATAACATTGATCCTTTGGCTGATCCCTGCTACACCCAAAGGATGATCAACAAGAAATATTACATGTGTATCGTTTAGGAGGATGTCATATGCTGTCCCTATCTTTCTTCCATAAATCTCTAAAAGTGATGTTTTTTCGGCCTGCTAATATGACACTTAGTGACAAACTTGTTAGCATATAGTCGAGTTCATTCCATTTTCGAGTTTCACAGGACTGTCAGCAGTAATTATTTAACTACAGCTATTTTTCAGATTTCACATGTGTGATTTTTTTGTATTACATAATATGATTTCATGACTTTTTTTAAACGTGTGGTTGATATTGCTCTGGCTATAAACAATACTGATTTTTCTAAAGGTGCGGCGCTTTATGATGCCTGCAAAGCAATGTGCGATCTGATGACTGATCTGGGTATAGCGATAGATGGTGGAAAAGATTCCCTCAGTATGGCCGCCAGAGTAGGAAAAGATACTGTGAAGGCTCCCGGAACGCTGGTCATTTCAACATATGCTCCATGTCTAGATATAAGGAAGGTAAATTCTAGATAAAGTTGTAACCGGAATATGTTTTTACCAACTTTCATTAGAACCGTTTCGTGAAACTTTGAGGGAATTGGAAATCACTATTTTCCCAATGAGTGCGAAAAGTTATAATTTATCGTAGTCGTCAGTCGAGTGCGGGAGAGACACTTTCCGCATGAGTAGGGACACCATTTTTTCAACAAGCGTAGAAAATTGAGCAGCAGCATATTTGTAGAAGTTATCTGATTACATTCTGTATTTTTTGAAAGTAGTTCTTTGGTAAAATTTTTTTAGAACAAAATGTGGTAATATTGAAATTTAGTTTTACTTAGAATACAGTTTCCAGCACTGAATATCTGGCCCGTGAGGTGTTTGACCTTCATGTTTTAGACATTTCCATAAACAACTTCATCTTTATTTGATATTATTTTCACTTTTTCATCATTGCACCATTCATTAAAACGCGTGTATTGCTTCACATATCTTTCTTTGGACTTCGTTGTGAAATTTTCAGTTGTAGCTGCTTGCAAAATTTCTTGTAGAAGTTCTTCATGAGAAGAATAATCCATTGTCGCCGAGATAGTCGCAATTCAAATAAATGGGGACTATTATTTTCAGTCTCCCCAGTTGGCGTTACTAAAACGTGAGGTCAATGTCAAAAAAACATCCCGCACTAGTGCGGGAAAATGACACAGATCCGACCTGTCCTGGAATACTGTTCCCATATTTGGAATACAGCACCCAAACTTACCCTGAAATTGTTGGATTCTGTCCAAAAAAGGGAAATTCGTCTCGTGGGTGATGCCTTGCTCACAAACTCACTCACTCCTCTGGAACACCGTAGAAAAACTGGCGATCGGGCTCTATTTTATAAATATTTTCATGAACGATGCTCTTCTGAAATATCAACAATTGTTCCTCCCTTGGCAGTCCCCGCGAGATTAACCCTTCGAGTTGAGGCTTCGCACCCCTTCATGGTCACTTTGGAGACCTGCAGAACATCTCTTTCCAAAGACTCGTTCATCCAATGAACAGCGAGGCTCTGGAACACATTGCCAAGGGAGGTGTTCCCCGAGGCATATAACCTCCAGAAATTTAAGAAGAACACCAATTCCTACCTCATTTCCCTTGGTTCCCACGATGTTCTCTGAACATTACAGGATATCCCTTTTCGTGGGAACCAGAACATAAAAAAAACTAAATTGCGTACCAGCTATTGGGTGAATCACGCACGCTTTTTGAAAAATGGATTTTTACCTAGCGTTTTCAATTAAGCTCGACATTTTCATCATGTGCGTATGAGATTTTTTCCGGACACATAGAATTTGGAAATTTGTGTATTTGCAATGGATGGCAAGCACCCTTTCCATACCAAATAATTAATACAAAAACGCTCATGCAAGGTAGTGGCAATAATTTTCGGTAATACTATATTCAAGATCATTTTTAACTTTCTGAATTTTTTACAAATAACACACGTGTATCGTTTAGGAGAGTGGCCTTGACTCGGACAAACGGTATCAATTGGTTCGCTGTAACCAAATCTGCCGTGCTAAGCGCAGATGCGGTAACTGACACAGATGGTATTCTGAGATAACTGATATTTCAGAGTATTCGTCCTGCCAACCTTATTTTTCAAAATATGAGTTTGAATTTCGGTAACTGTCAAATATTGACATTATGTTATTATTGTGATTCGTTAAATGTCAAAAATTCCCCAGGAAACCATTCTGGAATGTAGATACGGCTCTTTTTCCAGCTTCATTGCTAAGGTATTTCAACGCATCTACAATTTTCTATGAAATAATATAGTTTAACCACAAAGAAAATGAGTTTCAGTCAATGATTACCTTTCTTCACTTGTTACAAAACAATGACTTTTTTAATCAATATAACTACTAACACAGTTATTGATGAAATGCGACAAACACTTCAGCGATGTTCATCCTTCAACAACCTTGATGTTACTGAGCCGTTTGCGCGGAAAATGCATCAAAACTTGAGTATATAGAGCGTATTTGACAAACGCTAATATATTTGAGCGGTATGTGCAGTAATTACCCCTGCAATGCCCAAGCAAATGATAATTACCGCCTAACACCGCAGGAAATTTTCAACAATATATTGAAAGTTGGTAGATACCGCAATTTGAAATTCAAAATAAAAATAGAAAAAAAGGTATTTACCGCTATGAAACTCTAGTTTTAGACAGATTTCGAGTCATACATTTATGTGGAGCTAATATCCCAATTCCCTTGGAAATGTCAGTTACCGCATCTGCGCTTAGCATGGCAGAAATGTTGTATCGGTCTTTAAACGCGTTTCTCACTCTAGGTCGTCACCCCGGACTTCAAAGCTCCCTCCATGGGCAAAACCGGCACGCTGCTGTTCGTCGACCTTTCGGACGGTCGCAGTAGGCTGGGCGGGTCCGCCCTCGCTCAAGTGTTCGGGCAGCTGGGCAAGGAGTCGCCCGATGTGAGCTCGCCCGACCTACTTCGCAGGTGAGATGCTTATACATTGTTCTTCATTTAGTTAAGAAACTAATTCATACAAGATGGAAAATATGCAAAACACACTAAGTCATCTCCACAAATTAATTATCAGAATTATCAGAATCTGAACATGTTTCGGACTATCAATAGTCCATCATCAGCAGAAGCATTTTGAGACAATTTCTACAAAGAAAAGTTTTTTATAGTTACAAAAAATTATACCTTAGGTTATGTACGTGGAAATGAAAAAAAAGGGGCAACAATAATATTATTCAATATGAATTGACACTTTTACAATTAACGGAGGGCAAAGTGCCCATGGCCCAAAGTGCTTTATGGAGGGTACCAACACTTGGTCATCCAAGTAATTAAAAATCGAATGGGACCCATCAAGAGAATCATGGTTACCATGACGTGGTAAAGCAGTACTACTAGTACTAACCAAGAAAAGAATCCTAGTTAGAATTTGAGGTCGTTGAAAAATTTTTGGCAATCAAAATTTTGTTTGTTTATGCAAGGATATAATGTTGTCGTCTTTAATTGATTCATTGATTTCAAATATCTCCAATAAATTTAGAAGGGTGCCCTTATGGCAAATGTGTAAAACTTCAAGGTCGTTATTTATATCAAAGTGATGGACAATTAAGGATATGATTAGCAAATGAACTTTTTGTATTGTATAAATCTCTGGGAGAATTTGTGTAGCTGTCAATCAATTTAACATATTCATTAACACGAGTTTGAATTCTCCTTCCACTCTGACCAATGTATTGTGCCAAACAATTAGGTTGTGAACAAGAGATCCTATAGCCACCGAATCTATGTAATGGAGGAATTTTGTCTTCGGTGTTGACTAACAAACGGAAAATTGTATCTGTGGTATAAAATGAAACGTTGATATTATCGTTAGTACGTTCTAAAATGTTTTTTAGATCACATGAAACTTTACCCTGAAAGGGATGGAGCAAAACAGGTTTCTATTATTATTGAGTTGAATGCGACCTTGCTTGATGAATTTAGTAGAATATTTGTTGAAAATTTTGTCAATGAGGTACAGAGGGTACCCATTGTTAACGACAATCTGCTTGATAATATTCCATTCAGTATTGAAGTTGAAAGTAGTTAACGGTATATTAAATAATCTGTGGATTAGAGAATTAAAGGCTGCTAGTTTATGAGAAATAGGATGGCAAGAGTTGAACGGAATTACGTTATCTGTATGAGTGGGTTTGCGGTAGATAGAGATTTCAAACCTATCATTCACAATGTTAACTGACAAGTCCAAGGAAGGGTGAGAGTTGTTGATGGCTGATTCCATCCAAATAGTACATTGCCAAGTGAAATATAAAACACAAAACAGCATATATGGTGAAGAGGCACGTAGAAAATAAAGGAATAAAACTAAATAATTTTGAATCATTAGAAACTCATAAACGATCAACTAGACCTCAATAATTCACCACTGTTGAATTTGTATTCTCATCAGGTAATTTATTTAAGCAACCCTTCAAGTTAATCCAGAACATCATATTTTGATGTAGATATTGTGCCCGCTTTCCGAAAATGAAGGTTTATCCTACCTATCCACAGGTATCTCAATCCTGTAGGGTGGGAAAGTAGGATATAAAAGGCGAGTCAATGTAAGTTTAGTTTATTGTACCAGTATTTCACCTGAAGAAGCTACTGTGTTAGTGAAACATGTCATGTGATTGAGAATTCTGCTCGCGATTACGAGGTGTATGGGTTGGGGTTGTTTCACAAATAAGGCAAATGCAAAGGTCCGTTAGACAGTTTATTCGCAGCATACACCAATCTAAAATTGCGTTATCATATCAATCCCGGCACCTTACCTAACCTCAAACCAGCTTTGAATATCAGTCGCCAGAAATGAATAGTAGAAAAATTGCGACTCTTATAAATACATAATAATAGTGACTTACCTAAAACCACGCACCCTGGCTCATAGTAGCACGCTATTATTTGGCAGTTACACCCGAAGACTTTTAGATTGCTTATTGCGTATCAAAATGGCTTCTAACAGTCTTATACGAAGTCCAAGCTTCAGCAGCAAGATCCTCGAGTTTCCAGGACAAGACGGCGCAAGAACCTACTGCGACACTCAATAATATTGAAATCTTACTCTTAGCGACACCTGAAGGAGGGTCAAACAAGGTAGGTAACGGTCTGGTATCGGTAAGGATGCAGACTGATAGAAAACTGACGCGGTACTTGATTAGCCCGGACAGATATCTGTAAGGCAGTGATCTCCGATCGAGGTATTTTGGTACTGAGGATAATACTGTTATACACTTGAATTACTTTTCGTTTTCGGCATGGTTTTCGTATTAATCATGTCAAATTTAATCCAAAAAATTAACGAAACAGCATTTTCGCGATAGAAAATAAGAGTACGCCACCTATCGGAGTTTTTGAATGCTGTCAAAATGGTCTGTTTACAGATGGGGCGACGTGATATTTTCCATCGCGAATTATGTTGAAACAATTATTCGCCTATGACTCATTATTCATAAGTGTGTCATTAAAAAACCTGATGTTGTGGAGGTGCAATGAATACGACTCGCAGTATGCTTTGCAACACAATCAAAACAAGACTGTGATGTTTCAAACGTTAGTCTTGAGTGGGAGTGCAACTGGCCACGTTTTCATGTATCGACAAGTAGTAAGAATGGAAAGGCTTTGTATGCAATCGGATTATTTCTTTTTATTTAATTAGTATCTTTTTTCCGATGATTTCAATGTTATTGTACTCTGCCGTATGATGTCTATTTTCAGTAAGGTTATGTTCAGTTAATCCGTTTTCATGATACAAGGTGTTCAAAAAATGATTTTTTACACATTTTTCACGATTTTGTCGAAACTACTGGCGACATTGTAATGACATTTTGTATGGATGTTTCTTGAAATCTGACACATCGCATGAATATGTTTTTATATCTGACTTTCATAGAGGGCGCTAGTTACACGGTTCGTACCGAGTAGTTTGAAACATGAAAACAAACTTTTTGATTTTTCAATCCAAATATGATATGAACTTGAACATCATTCAATTTCACATCAGAAAGGTACTCTTGATGAAACTCGATACTATGTTCCGTTTTCGGAATATTTGGATTTGTATTGTATTGAAAAATCCAACCTCAAAAATGTTATGTTCAAAACTACTCGGTACGCGAACCGTGTAACTAGCGCCCTCTATGAGAGTTAGATATTGAAACAAATTCACGCGATGTGTCAGATTCCAAGAATCATCCATACGAAATTTCATTACAATGTTGCCAGTAGTTTCGACATAATCTAGAAAAAAAAACAATAAAACAATAATCAACACCTTGTATCTTGATAACGGATGCCGTTACGAAATTTTTTCACTGAGCAAACTCAACTTATTTTGCAGTGTTCTACCTACCCTAGTAAGGGGACCAGGTTTTTTGAAACACCCTGTAGATAGAAGTAAGCTAAAGTTATGGGTTCGAGCGGTCGAAATGACTTTCAAAATGAGCTGAACTTGAGTCAAAACTGATGTTCTCGGGTTGAGACTCATTCAGTAACTGATTTTTCTTTCTATTAGAATTCATCATACGATTTTCAAAGGCAAACTGTAAGTCTGCAAGTGGCTAACAATATTGAGATAATAATTACAATGGAGTGGTTGTCTGAATAAATCCAAGATCTCTTGCTTTCATTCTGTAACTTGCTGGGGATATGGTAAAATGCTCTCTTCCTCAGGGCTTTCGAGGCCACCCAACAACTGGTCAAGGACGGCTCGATCCTGGCAGGCCATGACGTCAGCGACGGCGGCTTGATCGTGTGCCTGTTGGAGATGTGCTTCGGAGGCGTGTCGGGCATCGAAGTCAATGTTCAGCACAGAGAGGGGAAGCCTAATGACGTGCTGTTCGCCGAGGAGTTAGGATGGGTGTTGGAGGTGTTCGATGATGATGTCGCTCATTGCTTGAACGTTTTTAAGGTGGGTTATTTCATATTTGAAGGTGTAGTAGTAGTAGTAGTAGTAATCTTTATTATAGGATATATCCTAATCTTACAATAAATATAGGGTGGGCCACCAGTAACGCCTCGGTCTCTAGAAGGCTAACCACTTATCTTCTTGGAATTCTTCCTCTCTAGGAAGTTGCATGTCAACATAGGCTACCATTTAAAATTATTTCGAAACATACAGGGTGTCCCCAAAAACCATAAAACACTGAAGTTAAACTTTTTTCTATCGAACACCTTATATATTATTTCATTTTGAGATTCTCCCTGATGAGCTGATTTCAACGACCCATCATACTTGGGGTCTAGCAGTTATAATTACTGAAATATAGGGTGTGAAAAATCGAGATTTTCCAAGTTCAAGAATTTTTTGTGTCGAAACTATTCATAATTGGTCAAAACGGCTTACATGTCCCTATCTCAACTTTTGATTAACTATCTACTGATATTTAATTGGGACATATACCGGGTGATCAAGATTTTGAATTCTGCACCACCCTGTGTTCGATTGAAAAAAGTTCAACTTCAGTGTTTTGTGATTTTTGGGGACATCCTGTATGTTTCAAAATCATTTCAAATGGTAGCCTATGTTGACATGCAACTTCCTAGAGAGGAAGAATTTCAAGAAAATAAGTAGTTAGCCTTCTAGAGACCGAGGCGTTACTGGTGGCCCACCCTGTATAATACATAATGATAATTTTGAGTTTCACAGTGCCAAAAATTTTAATGAAATTCAAATTTGAATATAAATAACATGATTAGAATCTGAAAGTAAATAACAGTAATCAAAATAAAAATAAAGACGACAAAAAAGTACAAACGAAGATACATAATAAGATATATAAAAAACATTGATATAATGAAATACACACATACTCATACATAATTTCAACCAACTAACGTGCTAGATATTCTAACAATTTACTCTTGAACCCTTTCACAGTATTTGCCTCTTTAATGGCATTTGGTAAATTATCAAATTCCCATAATCCCTTGAAGAATACATTTTTAATGCCACCCACCACCAGTATGAGTTCTATATATATGAAAATATGCATTTGATCTTGTCTCCTGTTCATGTATTTGGTTATTGAAAACATAAAATTCATTAAAATATGTTAGTTGAAGACATTTGATTATTTCAAATATAAAAACCATTGTTAAAAAAAATAATCGATTTGAAATTGACAGCCAGTTTTTGAAGTTGGGAAACCCTATTTTGGTTAATCAAATAAATTAAAGTTGGGCAGTACTCGAAATGAGGTTTAATTATGCAATTATATGTTAATATTCTGGAGTGAATAGGCAAATTATTTGCTACTCTAAAAAAAAATTAAATTTTTTCGATTTTTTTTTATGTCTCAGCATGACTATTCAAACTCAGGCTGTTGTCTACAATAACTCCCAAATACTTTATTTCAGACACATATTCCAAGGTAGTGCTATCAATCTAAAATTTTATTTCATTATAATCAATAGAGTTTAATTTATATTTAGTTATCACCATAATGTTTCCATTCAATTTCAATTTATTTTTATGTAAATAGTTTTCAATATTATTCATAGAACGTCTGAGGATATCTACAGCATTGTTCAGTTCCGTATTTGAAACATAAAGCAAAGTATCATCTGCAAACAGATTAAGTTCATGTACCCCAGGAACATAGTAAATATCATTCAGGTATATTATGAATAAGTGGACCTAGTACACTTCCTTGGGGAACACCAATGTTGATATCTATCTCATCAGATATTTTTAAACCAATTTTAGTTTTTTTGTTTTCTTCCACTTGATTAACTCATGAACCAAGGTGTTGCAGATCGAATAACTCGATTGTATAGAGATAAAAAAATGGACTGATAACCCTGGTACTTTCAGTTGTTATGTGACTCAGCAAGCAATAAAAACGATCAGCACTAAGAGACTTACCCAATGATGATCCTTAAGCTAGATTCACGCCGTAACAAGGTACTGAAAGGGCAAATGAAATCTCTCTCAGATACTATGAGTAGACTTTGATCATAATTTTTTCACATCCCAACTCTAAAGTCACCGACTGTTAATCTTTTTTTCTCATACGGCATCCTATTTTTGTGTTCGAAATTTTTTTCTGAATACAATTGTATTCATGTATGATAGTTGAAATAAGAAAATGCACACTTCGGCATGGAAATAGTAACCATTGATCAACAGCATCATCAATATTTATAGGGCTCTGGTAGAGTCTGTGTTATCATATGGAATCTCAGCCTGGGGTTCAGCTTATGCAAATGCCATGACTCCTTTAAATGTAGCACAAAAATACATTCTAAAAATTATAATGTTCAGAAATAAAACATTTCCTACTGACAAACTCTTCGAAGATGCAGGTGTTCTTGACATTTCTCAATTATATTTAAAATCTGATGTTGTAAGATATCTATCAAAAATGAATGTACCGAAAGTCAATCATGTTATAACAACTAGATCAGTAACAAATGAAAATGTAATTTTTCCTACATCTTATGTAACCATTCAACGAAGTATATTTTATATAGGACCAAAAATATATAACATACTGCCAAACGAACTCAAAGGCAAACCATACAATAAAATCAAAAATAAAATATCATCTTGAATTTTAAAAAGCAAACCCAATTTCTAGTTATTAGTTTGACATATATTGCATATATTGTATAGTAAGTAAGTAAGTAATCTTTATTGGCCATATGAAAATACAAAGTACAGATGACAGGTCATAGATGCACAAGCAAATTACATAGTAGTAGTTAGTGTAGGTAAATTTATAAAAAAAAATTTAGCTTAAACTAGGTACTATAGTAATTATACACATATGTAATGAAATTAAAAAATTGAAACATTGACAAATTACAACACTGGGATAAAAAACATTTACAAATCTCTGTAAGAAATGTATTCTTCAATGGAATGAAAACCGTTTTTTGTGAGGAAGTATTTTACCTTTGATTTAAAAATGTTGTAGCTACCCAAGTTTCTTAGATTCTCTGGTAAAGCATTGAAAAGTGTTATGCAGTTGAAAATGGGAGATTTTTTGAAGGTTGAAGTATTATATTTAGCCATAGACATTCCATTGCATCTAGTATTGTATCTATGAAGACTTTTCTGCAGATGAAATTTTTCAGGATGTAGCTTTATATAAGTTACACATTTTAAGATATAGATGCAAGTGAATGTAAGAATTTTCTTCTCCTGGAAAGTCTGCCTACAGCTTTCACGGAATTCCATATCAAACATAAGACGAATGATTCTTTCTTGAGGTGACTATATACAAAGCTGTAGTACAGTTTCATTAGTCCCTCTTGATCTAGATAGGATTTCATTTGAAAAATAGCATAAAATGACTTGTTGAGATTGGAACAGACATGGTTTAAGTGGGTGTCAAAGCTTAGATTGGCGTCCAAGTAAGTACCTAGTAGTTTGACATGCTTATCAAGTTTTAGATGGTGCGTAGTAGAGTAGGGTAAATGCTTCCTCATGTGAAAATGTATACAAAGGGTTTTACTTTTATCAAGAATAAGGTAATTCCTTTGACACCAGCTTTCCATGTCACTTATAGTTTGACCTATCTTCACTTGGAGTATATTCAGATTGTATATTACACTAGTACATATTAGTCCAGATAGTTAGTATATAAGACGATTCATTAGCAAATTCACTCATAGGTGAATTATGTGTTATAAATGTGACTGGTGCACACACAAGCTTTTAAATCTCATTTTGTACCTGAATGTATGTAAACCATATGACTGTTCATGGCTATTGAATGTTGACGTTGATTGATATATTACGCTTACGCTGGGAAGATGCCCAACCTGTGTTATTTGCGAGTCGATGCCCCGCTCATCCCCTCGTCTATCGTTTTGCCACTGTGAGGTAGCGACTCCACTAGGCACACAGAACATGTCTGAACTAATTGTACAGATTACTCCAATTTTGTACAGAATTACAGATCCCATCCCACCGCGTGCTATCGCTCCAGAAATTTTTGTTTATCCTTGTCTTCTACGATGACTCGATGAGACCCGACCCGCCCGACCGGTTCTGATAAAAAATGTTTGCTACGGTCGGTGAATCCCATGGACGTATATGGGGAATCCGCATTCCGCAACTATAACGGGTTGCGAGTATTGATTTTTCCCTCGGTTCCTTACGGAAGAGAGAAGAACATATTATGATCTCTCACTCAGTTGGGTTCCTACTCCGTGGCGTTTTTTTAAATTCCCTTGTGAATAACTTGTCATACTTTGCCTAGACCAATATCTGGAAAAACATCTCACGCCTTTTTGTTGAATATTTTTTTCACTCAATTTGTATCCATATTGAAGTTAAAGTATTGATAAGACATTACAAAATATTGATAATATAATCAATCTGAATGTGATAATAATTTCTTAGAGTCTCATCAGTAGATAGAAAATAAATAGTCAGATATCTTTGAATCTTTGATTGTTAATGATTCACTATAAAAATGAAATAAAATACATCATCTATAATAGATATATAGAAGACATATATAGAATTCATTTATTTATTGGATTACAAGAGTTGAAGCTGCAAAGCTTATGAAACATTTTTTGCAGTATCTAGTTGTTGAAAAATATGAGTTCTTTTTTGGTATATTTGAAGAGATAAAAACAAATTCAACAGAAAACAGCTACATTTCCAGTCTATATATGCCACGATATATAATCATGAAATCGGCGTTGATATTTTGTGATACCAGTAACTTATTTTTCTGAGTAAAATCGATTTTGCCGCTCCAGAACAACGGAGTACAGACTACGGAACGCTCAGAATCTCCGCCCTAACAACACAGGGATGTTCTAGGTACGTACCCCTTTTGTCACACAGTACAAGGACATAATTGGGGTATCCAGGGGATGTCCCGCAGTGGTTGTCCAGTGGACATCCGGCCCGGTACATCCATAGGTTATCCTTTTCGTGTCCCTGGAATATCTGCGGTATCTTTTCACATCAGAGTCATTGACTTTTATCAAAATATTGAGTTGAATTTTTATGAAAATGTTTGGTTTTTTTCCGGTAAATTAATAATTGTAATGAAAATAAAGAAAATTTTCTCAGAACTTCTCAAGAAATTACCATTTTTTGCAAACAGAAATCGTAAATGCATAATGACCCTCATTTTTAAATATCCACGAATGATAATAATAATTATACCCAAATCCTAACAAAGTTGTATTTATTCAGGTTTCTGCAGTTTAGTCCTGTTTAAAAATCTGTTTGGCACATAAATCTCCAGAAGGCATATCATTCAATGGAGTAAAGTGCGTGCCTGATAAGCTAATAAAGGTCCCGGGTTCAAACCCTACTCGACCTAATTTTTTTTCCTTTTGTCGAATGGATGTCCCTGGAATATCCTTGCGACCTCCTAGGGATATCCTTTCTTCGTTCTTGGTTGATATATCCCAGGGACATACCAGACGGAAATCCCTTGGATGCTTTTTTGTCAGCCAGCTGATGTCCCTGGGACGTTCCTAGTATGTACTCTGTCCCGGCAAAGGATATCTCTGGGATGTCCTTGTATAAAATTAGGGACGTCTCTGGGAATTCCCTAGGATGTACTTGTGTTGTTAGGGCGACAAACGACGGCTTGGCAGCCCTATCGCCGGCACCGAGTCGGCCGCCCCACAAAAGTCAAAGGAAATTATTGGCTCTCCAAGTTTCGGCCATGCATAGGTCGGATCATATATAATATACCAGTATAAAATACTTCGGATTGATAGCGGTATAGAATTGTCACGCAATGTTCCGCGTTTTTCATGTGATAAATATCAGTAATTTCAATAATAAAAATTTCAAAAATTGTACATAGCTCTGACAAGAAAATGATTTGCGACAGTGAATTATATAGTAATTCGACATAATGAAATATGAAATTCCACTCAAACAGACCCATTCAGATTCACTTCTAGGGTAAAATACACACACAAGGTGACAACACTGGTCCGGGTTCGTGAATTTCAATCAAATTTATGAGCAGCTTATATATTGATATCCGCTGACCAGTTTATTCCACAATCGCCAAAAATGGAAGCATTTATTGTTGAGACATTAAATTTTGTGATTCACTCCAATTCGATTTCTATAAACTTTTTTCATTATCTCACGTCCGTGATGCGCTCGTTAGAAGCACATCCAGTACAACTATTACTAACAAATTCGAATTTACCGCCATATTAGTTAGAATCGTACTGATTGATCGTGGATTCGATACAAGCGTTCTGGAATATGGATTGTTTAATTGTTCCAAGGTTGGTAGAACAACTACCAACCTTGAATTGTTCCAAGTCGCACGCCATCTGCATTCCACTAGATTCTCTTCGTAAGTGGCGCACCTGCCAGTCAAATTACGAAGTATTGCTCCGACATCGTTCGACACTATCGCCGCCACTATGTGAGATTTTGAACTATGGTACGCCATCTAGTTGTGAGATTTTTTTGGACCTCGTTTTGCCCCATAAGGTTGGGCATCTTCCCAGCGTAAGCGTAATATATCAATCAACGATGTTGATAATTGATTCGTTCTTAATATTATATGGGATGGGTTTGTTGATACATCTACCTATCTCCTCAAACATTTAATTCGATTTCAAATTTCATTCTCGATACTTGGAGATCAGCAGGTATCTGATTACTAAAGCAAGTCAATTTTAGTTGATAGTATTTTGATTATTTAACGGAAAATTGTGCCGTTTTGTCTTTTTCTATAATAATGTAGTGTGTTATACATGGCTATGAAGAAGTATCAATACTCATTACGACTGATATTCTATTTTCTCATCATCATGGCCTACCGCATTCGAAAATGTAGGGTAGTTCAGTTTTAATAAGGAGTGAGAATTGGTAAAAATGTTCTTTACTGTTTTTTGTCTCTGTTTCATGGGTTGATGTCCATATATTATACATGGCTGTGAAGCGATTTTTAGCCCTAGTCAATGGTATAAAAAACGAATATGGCATCTACGATAAAAACAAAATTTGCATGGTGAATCTCTGAAACCAATATAATATTCCCAAATTTTTTGCTGATGATTTATCATCATTTTACGCGAAATTCTCCCTCGACTATCAACCAAGAAAATAAATAAAATCGATATCAGTGATTTTCAGTTATTTAAAAAGATTTCAGGAAGGGCTGAATTGTTTGCAAATTGTAAAACTTCTTATTGAAGAGGTTCAAATTACGCAACATTTGTCTAATTTAATAAACTTTCCATATCTTGCCTTGTCGGAAATAGCAACATTGCCTCTATGAAATTGGCGGGATCCTGTATAGTGATCTTCCCCATCCTAAGAATTCAAGAAATTGGTGTCAACGTAACCTTGTCTGCATTATATATATATAATAACTTATGTCATCTACTATTTCCGTTCAATAATTTTGAAGTTTTGTCGAAACATCGTTGAACTTCTCACTCACTCTCTGCTGCTCTCTGCTTTATTGTGAAAAGGATAATTCTAACAAACGATTGGAATTGCATGATGAATAAAAAAATCATTATTGTTAGAATGTCTTACTTAAAACAGCTATTTTCCTGGCTTGTACCATATATCTGTCAAATATCGGAAGTTTTGAATTGACTCTGCCGATACTCGATGGAAATCCATTGCAAATGTAAAAACTTCACAAACGATAATATTTCCACAAAATTCTCAAACACACGACATGTTGAACTAGTTCATTGTACCAGTATATCACTTAACGAAGCTACTGTGTGAGCGAAACATGTCCTGTGTTTGAGAATTTTGTGGAAATCTTATTGTTCGTGAAGTTTTTACAAATATCGAAAGTACCTGATTTGAAAACAAATAAAAAAGAAAAATATACAATAACTGAGCGGATTTTCCACCAGAATCTCAATGTCCCGGCTGTGAGAATCGGTCGGTCGACCGGCTACGGCATGAAGTCAAAGCTGAGCATCACGGTGAACAACGCGTGCCTGGAGAGCTCGGTGTTGCCGCTGATGCGGATGTGGGAGGAGACCTCCTACATGCTGGAACTCCAGCAGACGATCAAGGCGTGCGCAGATGCCGAATTTTCCTCTTTGGGCTCGAGGCATGGGCCGCAGTATGCTCTGACTTTCGATCCCGATGAAAATTCGAAAATCGAGGTACGTTTAACTTCGACACTCGTATCGTTGAATTTACAAATGATTGTACAAAGTGTTGTCAGTGGCGGATTGAGACGATTGGCAGACTGAGGTGCAATATATTCTAGCAACCTCTTCATCAAAGAGACAGAAAAGTTGTAACTATAACTTCCTAAAATTGACTTATCCAATGTCATGTGAAAATGATTTTTGAAGGATGACTAAAAAGTAAGTAAGTAAGTAAGAGTAAGTCTTGGAGGAAGTGTTAAAACTTATCTTTAAATAATATTTTCAATAGAGACGTTTCTTCCCTGATGAATATTTATCTGAATCAACTCTTGAACTCGAATACAAATATAAGAACCAAAATAAAATACTTAAATACAAAAATACAATTAATTTATATTTTATACAAAAAAAATCATATAAATAAAAACTTTTCTCGTCTTTTTTGCGAAGTCATCTATGATATTTTCAAAGTTTATTTCCTTCATTTCTTCTGATGAAAAAATTTCAAGAATTTCAAATTCTCTCCAAATGATAATTTTTTACATTTCAGCGAAAAATTGATCTTTCTTCACTTGCATTGTAAATGGTTATAGTAGGAAAGATCTTCACAATTGTCTCAACGTTTAGGAAAGTTGGAGAGAAGCCGTCTATACAGGGTGAGTTTGGACCAAAATATGGCGTTTGGACCAAACATGCCTCAATAAAATATTGCTGTGAAAAAAAAACAGGGCGTTGAAGTTGATTTCATTCGTTTTTTGCTAATAATTTCACTGTATATGAAATATATTTGAAAACGTTTTGTGATTTGGTTGCTTTCTGCCTAGATATTGGAGATATTACAATGCGTACCTTCTGGCTGCATCCCGCATTTCTTCATTCGTAAAATGATTGTGACGAGGCATTTCAATCAAAAAAATATTGACTATAAAATCGCACCAACATTCATTCTCTGACAAGAAATGCCATTAGCAGCAACATTCTCTGACAGTTCAAAGCACACTCTTCATGAATGAAATAATATTTGTAATTAACTTCTGAGACTCTGAACTGTTCAATTGCGTTTTTCTCGAAAACGGATGAAAATATCGTGTTTAAACAAGAGTACCAATATTACGTTGAAATGATGTTTAGGTCATATTTTCCAATCAAAATCACTGAAAAGTTTCGTCAAAAAAGTAACCAGGCGATTTCATCATCAGGAATCATTCACGTGGCGCCCCCTGTATCAAAATGTAGAATGGTGTATAAAATAATTTTCCCTGTATGAAATTATGCCTCTGTGCCAATTTTGATAACAATTGATGAATATACAGTGAAATTATTGGCAAACAACGAAAATAATGAGTCAACTTCAACGCCCTGTATCTTTTTCCACAGCAATATTCTATGAAGGCCTATTCAGTCCTATCGCTATATTTTGGTTCAAACAATCCGTCCTTAACCTATGTCCCAATAGGTTTGACGCACCCTGTATAATGAATCTGTAAATATTTTCTAGATTGGTTCCACTTCAACTTCAGTCTCCTTGGTTTAAGTTGTCCCCTTTTTTTGATTTCAATGGCAATAATGAAAAGGATGACATGAATTGCCGTAATCCTGTATCAATTTTCTCTTCTTTCTTTCTTCAACCTACAATTTTGAGCTCTTGTGATTCTTTTTTATTTTCGTTTTTTGATGATGTTGAATTTCGAGAATTGAAAGTATTTATTTTTGTTTATGAAGTCCATACTGGCTCGCACTTTTGCTAGTCTAGGTAGTCACACATAATACATTCGCTTATGGAATATTGATGTGCACTAAACCTAAACAACACTGAGTGTTGTATATTCTGCAAACTCATTTATTTGATTTTCATCGAGCACTTTCGATTATATAGTCATTATTAGTCTGTCCAGGGTCTTTCCATATAAATTTCAAACCCCCACTCAACTTTTCATCGAGCACATTCGATTATACAGTCATTATTAGTCTGTCCAGGGTCTTTCCATATAAATTTCAAACCCCCACTCAACTTTTCATCGAGCACATTCGATTATACAGTCATTATTAGTCTGTCCAGGGTCTTTCCATATAAATTTCAAACCCCCACTCAACTTTTCATCGAGCACATTCGATCATACAGTCATTATTAGTCTGTCCAGGGTCTTTCCATATAAATTTCAAACCCCCACTCAACTTTTCATCCAGCACATTCGATTATACAGTCATTATTAGTCTGTCCAGGGTCTTTCCATATAAATTTTAAACCCCCACCCAACTTTTTTGTGTATTGTTCATTTTTTTTTCAATGAACGTTCTTACATATTATTTTCTGTAGATTCCATATATGCCAACAGAAAAACAGTTGAACATCTCGAAAAATACTTATGGTCAACATTTATAAATTTTAAAATAGAATTCCCTGTATTTTACCGCATTTTCAGATTCTCCCTGAAGAGCTAATTTCATCGATCCATCTCACTTATTGGGGTCCAGCTGAAATGATTACCGAGATATAGGGTGTGAAAAATTTAAATAACTTCAACTTCAGGAATTCTTTGTCTCGGAACCATTCATTATTGGCCAAAACGGTTTTCATGCTCCTATCCTAACCTTTGATCATGAGAATTCTGAACGTATCACCACTGTATTTGTTTCAATTAAATGTCAGTAGTCCGTAAGTAAGTAGCCCGCTTTTAGCTTTTGAGAAATACAGAGAGAAATCGAATAATTATCAAGATTTTGAAAAATTAGTAGAAGTGAGGTTACCTACTTACTTGTCAGGTTGACAAGAAAATTGTCAACCTGCACGAAATACAACACTATGAACAATCATCAATCATGATTATGAGAGAATTGCTATGACAACACACAATTTTGGGATTCAAAATAGCAACATCTAGACAAGTACTCCTCTTCTTTTGAGAAATGAGTGAAATAATCTCGAATCATATGGCTATCAAATATCGCAAATACCTTCAGATATTCATTATTCCAATTTTTTTGGGATTTTCTCTCCTCGTTTCTATAAAATAAAAATATGAATATTATTTCAATATACGTGTAGTAAGGACAAATCAGATGATTTGCCCCAAAATGTCACTGTGTTTAATGAATGTTCCTCTCAGAGAGCCTAAAAGAAAAATTCACTAGCTTGTCAGTGACAATTCGTATTGAAAAAATTTTGGAGAAGAGAAATAAAGGTATATAGAAAAAATATCAAATTTTCACTTATCTTTGGACGTTTCGGGACCCATTCTGCTCCCGTTTTTAACATGAAAAAAGATTATTCCAATAGCAAAGTCATATAATATGTCTTAAAGCTTTTCAGTTGTGAATACCATGTTCTGTCTATAAAGCCTCACCTCTGTTCATTCCTTGAAAAGATTGCCAACATTTTTTCAAAGAATATTCCTTTATAGCTGTTGTCAGTGTTTGTCCAAAAAATAGAAATAAGTAATCCAAAACGAAATTGAAGATTTTTTCAAATTATATCTGATGATTTTTTCCATAATTTTCTTAGGGTAAACTAATTCCCGTGGCTGTAATAAGGGAAGAAGGGACCAATGGTGATCGAGAAATGGCTGCTGCTTTGGTGATGGCAGGTTTCAGTGTTTGGGATGTAACGATGCAAGATTTGCTTACTGGGGCTACGAATCTAGACAGGTTCAGAGGAGTGATTTTCCCTGGAGGCTTCAGCTATGCAGGTAAAACGAATAGAAAATGGATGTCTGGTAGAAGTCCGTAGTATTTTCTCAATTGGGGTGATATTAATCTTGTGCATTAATATTCATATTCCTCTCCATTTTTTAGATTAGTAAGAATTATTAAAAAAAAAAAGATTAGAAATCCAGAACTTTTCAATTGAGAATTGACTTTAAAATACTTCAAACTTCGTGAGCAGTGACATTGAAAATTAATATATTTCAAGTTTCTTCACCTCTAATGTGATTAGTTGAAATTTTCTGACACCTGTTTTGAAAAATCAGGAACCAGTACTTTACTCAAGTATTCAGCTAGAGAATGACGTAGAAGTTTGTCAAAAGGATAATATAAAGTTTTTTCTACTCACATAACTAAAATGGCATTTAGCATACGGATATGTACCACGCTAAATGATCGATTAATCACGGAATGACGATCTGTGATTTAATCAAAATATTAAACACATTACCATGGCAACACGATTTCGTAAACACATTACCATGGCAACACTTTGGAACAGAAGGTACTCAATTGGTTCAAAAACTACCTTAGTGCTCGTAAACAGTGCGTGAAAATTAATGATTCAATCTCATCTAGCCGTGAAGTGATACGTGGTGTACCGCAGGGCAGTATTCTGGGCCCTATCCTGTTTGTGATTTTCACAGCAGATATTGTTCATGATTTAGACAGTAGCTTCAATATTCATTTATATGCTGATGACGTTCAAATCTATGGTTCATGTGATCATAAGAATGTGAATGAACGCATAGGCAATTTGAACACAGTACTTGAGAGTATTAGTAGATATTCTGTTGATCATGGTCTCTTAATAAACCCAAATAAATCACAAGCGATTTGCTTTGGTACTAAGTCACTTATAGCCAAATGTAAATCTCAACAGACAGTACGTATCAGTGTTGATAATGTAATAGTGGAGGTGAAAAATAATGTGAAGAACTTGGGAATAATATTTGATGAGAATCTCACATTTGGTCCACATATTCTCAACAAAATTCGTACTTGCTACTTCAAATACAGATCTTTGTGGAAATTTAGGAACATCCTGCCACCTTCTACTCCACTCTGCTCCGCTCGTGCTTAAAATACTCCTTACTAAAAGGACGTTTATAACACTTGTTACATAATATACTATTAACATTGACATCTCTTTAATCTTCGAATTATGTGTATTGTTTCCAAAAAAAAAATTAACTTTTACAATGAATCAAAATCTGCTCAACAATGATACAGGAATTAGGCATCACTTCCATTTGTCGTTAGCAAGATTAAAAGTGAGCTAGCTCATTTGCACCTGACTGCAAGGGGCCTAAAATATTCAATAAACTTCCTGATAATTTGAGGTCTGTGAAACACTATTCATTGGAAGCATGTTTTTATAATACAATGTAAACATTATCAAAATAATATCATGTCAGTGTTGAGCCAGGTGATATGGTATCGATTTCAATTACTATTTCATTTTCTCTTACAAACTTTTTTCAATTTCTGTTTAATAGTGTAATTTCTCATGAAAAGGTTTTTGTCCAACAGGAAATGTATTTTTTTTGTGAACAAATGAATCCCTATTTATGCTTAGCCAATTATATTTCTTAGAACCTGCACAACAGAGAAATTGATTAAAAAAATATCAATTTCGGAAAAATCACTACTTTCGTAGGTAATGCCTATTGGATCAGTTGATCAAGATCAACAACAAACCGAGAATTGACTGATTATCATCAAGAGTCTTGTTTTTTTTTACGCTAACAAGTTGATCCACCTCCATGTAAAATATTGAAGCCAAATTTGACCTTGGTTCTTGGCTGGTTCGTAGGCGGCACCAGCGAAGAGACATTATACAAGAAGGTGCAAGCTTCGAAATTACTTTGATGTTGAGAAATGCCGACGACTGGCCTTGACACGTCTATTGGCGGGTTTGGCGGGAAGTTGAGCTTCCACCTAATAGATTTCGCTAACGCTAGACCGTCAGCGTTCTGTATGAATTCGCTGGCGTTTATGTAGTCGAATTGAGTGAGCATAGACGTTCTTAAAGCACGGGAAGTAGAATAGATGAGTGGAATAAAAGCTATTATCATGAATTACCAATATGACTTTGATTCAGGTTTACGTTTTGCCTTCATGAATATTTAATGACAGCCCCTATTTGATTGCAATTTCAATTCGTTCATCAATAAACTATAGAAAGCAAGTCAGGCAGTTGAGCAAGAATTCTTGTGAATATTTTTGGAAATCAATTCCTGAACGAGAAGAGGAAAAAACAAAACTAAATTCATCATAAATTTTTATTCAAATACATATTGGGTACAGGGCTACTACGAATGATTGTGACATCGTAGTGGCAGTTGAAATGTCATGTATATGGAAAATTTTTGGCAAATATAAATATATGACAGTAATGGTTGTCAGATATGGAATACAAATGTTAGATTCTCCATAAGAGAAAAGAGGCATATAAAAAATCACTACGATGGTTCAATAATTTATAAAAACCCTGTAATATTTTACTTAACGATACTCGCCGTATTTCTTCATGTTTCCAAATAAAAAAATTTCTGTGAGTTCTTTACCCTTGTCTGGAGATAGTTTTGAAATTTTGACTCGTAAATTTCATGGCATAATAAATTCTCAAGCTTGTGTAAAGTTTCAATAAATATACTTTAGGAATCGAGTCAGACGGATGAACAAACTTCCCTTGTTAAACACATCTCTCAATTTATTCTGAACTCCTGGTTCTAACACAATTGTCTTAACATTTTCCCTAAAATGTTTTTCCAACTGGCTTATGAAAATGAAAAAATGAGTGACTTTGATTTTGTTTCATACGACTTGAAATGGCAGAATAAAGTAGTGTCATTCATAGTTTGGTAGCTACAAAGTTTTGAAATTTTCCAAGAAATAATCTGATTTCCGAATATACCGTATAGTATATATATGAAATATTTCACAAGATATCGAAAACACAAAGAAAATTTGATATTTTTTGGACCATTTCAACACCCTTATGTAGCCCCAAAACAGGTTGATTTTGTGTATGTTTTGACATTTTGCCTTCCTTTGAATAGGAAATCTTCCGTATGATTTATGACATCCAATTCTGAGACACATATAATATATAGTATATTTTTCATCCTCATACGACTTTTTATTATATTTGTATAACATTACATTCATACCTATCTGTCAATATCTTTGGGAAATCTGAACAAATGTATATTGATGGGATAACTCTGGTAGTTGTTAAAACATCCATTCACAGCACAAACGTTGCTGCACTGTTAATTGAATTCCAGCATCTCAAATTTCAAAAAATGTGGAAGTTGTCAAAGCGAAATGTTTTTTTTTCAAACTGATACACCGACAATCAGATAATGATTCGCTAAAAAAAATCGTTCCACACTGGAGAATTTTTTTAAGATTCGGAGACTTGAAACAGTGTTGCCATAGCCATAAAATTCACGATGCATTTGTATGTTTATATTTCAATTAAACAGCTTCTGGATTCAAATCTTGAATTGATATATTGTAGAATTCTAGAGAAATCAGGTTTGCTGTAGAAGACAATTCAGTTGTGGGCGAACTGCTCTCAAGTATATAATATTCATGTAATTTTTAATAGGTCAATCAACCCGAAACATTGTCAAGGCAGTTTTTTTGATCGATCAATAATTTTCCTAATCAGATGAAAATATTATTTCAACAGCGAATTCTTGCGAATTACACCAAAGACTTTCATTCAGGGTATCTTGACAACGTGGCATTTTCTTGCGGCGAGAGGTTTCATCTGGTTTCATGACGTTTCGCTCGCTTGTTATGAACTTTTTTCTACAGAATTCTGTAGCATGCAAGTTTCGCGTTCTTTTTCACTTGCACCTTCCTGTATAATGTCTCTTCGCTGGCGGCACTAGCGAATTTCAACAAAACATCTAAAATTAAATATATCCGCATTACCGATCTCTAACCTTCCCTACTGAAAAAGTAGTTCAATGTGTCGCTCATAGATACCGCTCCCCTACTTGATAAAATTTCTGGATTCATTGCTCTCAAAGGATGCGTCATCTTGTAAGTGTAAATAATCAAGGTCAAGGGAAAAATTTCCTGTCATTAATTTCCATTCAATCTCCGTTTCTAGACGTCTTGGGCTCCGGTAAAGGGTGGGCAGGCAGCATCCTCTTCAACGACACCGTCAAGCAACAGTTCAGCAAATTCTACGCTCGCCCGGACACGTTCAGTCTGGGCGTTTGCAACGGTTGCCAGCTGATGGCGCTAATCGGCTGGATAGGTCGGCCTGTCAAAGACCATTCCTCCACGCCCCATATAAAATTAGAGGATAATATATCGGAGAGATTCGAATGCAGATGGAGTACTGTGAAGATTGAAAAATCGAAGGCGATTATGTTCAAAGGCATGGAAAATTCGGTTTTGGGAGTGTGGGTGGCTCATGGTGAGGGCAGGTTCTCCTTCAGGGCGGACGAGGTTTTCGAACAGTTGAAGAGCGATGGGCTTGTGGCTTTGCGTTATGTCGACGATCAAGGTGAGAACAAAAATTGTCATGTATCGTTTCTTTATTTTCTCTTACAGCATTTTTCATCAAAGGTGCTTTGATTTTTTATTTTCAACAGCATAATAGCATTGGAGTTCAGCAGTTGGTCAAGAAACCTCGAAAAAGTATGATAACATGTATATATATATAATGATGTTTGTAGCACATGTTGAAGGTAATGTGTGATGTGAATTTTGAGTGTTCAATTTTTTGTTTTGGATTTTTCATTTGTATCATGCATTGGAAGATTTTCTGGAGTTCAGTAGCTAGTTAAGGAATCTTGAAGAGGTGAAAGAAACGAGAGTGACACTGACGTATGCAACACATGGATTCTTCTCTGGTTATTTGTTTCTTGTAAGATAGAAGTTTCGTTGATGCTTACTGCTTTCCTTGAAGCTTAAAAAAATTGCATGAAATTAAGACTTTCATTTGATGAGCTGAAAAACTGATGGCGCTCATCGGCTGGATAGGCCGGCCTGACAAAGACCATTCCTCCACGCCCCATATAAAATTAGAGGATAATATATCGGAGAGATTCGAATGCAGGTGGAGTACTGTGAAGATTGAAAAATCGAAGGCGATTATGTTCAAAGGCATGGAAAATTCGGTTTTGGGAGTGTAGTCGGCTCATGGTGAGGGCAGGTTCTCCTTCAGGGCGGACGAGGTTTACGAACAGTTGAAGAGCGATGGGCTTGTGGCTTTGCGTTATGTCGACGATCAAGGTGAGAACAAAAATTGTCATGGATCGTTTCTTTATTTTCTCTTACAGCATTATTCATCAAAGATCCTTTGATTTTTTATTTTCAACAGCATAATAGCATTGGAGTTCAGCAGCTGGTCAAGAAACCTCGAAAAAGTATGATAATGTGTATATATAATGATGTTTGTAGCACAGGTTGCTATTGAGTGTTCATTTTCTTGTTTCGGATTTTTCATTGGTATCATGCATCGGAAAATTTTCTGGAGTTCAATAGCTAGTTAAGGAATCTTGAAGAGGTAAAACAACTAGAGTGACACTGATGTATGCAGCATATAGATTCTTCTCTGGTTATTTGTTTCTTGTAAGATAGAAGTTTCGTTGATGCTTACTGCTTTCCTTGAAGCTTCAAAAAATTGCATGAAATTAAGACTTTCATTTGATGAGCTGAAAAACTGATGGCGCTCATCGGCTGGATAGGCCGGCCTGAGAAAGACTATTCCTCCACGCCTGATATAAAATTAGAGGATAATGTATCGGTGAGATTCGAATGCAGATGGAGTAGGTACTGTGAAGATTGAAAAATCGAAGGCGATTATGTTGAAAGGCATGGAAAATTCGGTTTTGGGGATGTGGGTGGCTCATGGTGAGGGCAGGTTCTCCTTTAGGGCGGACGAGGTTTACGAACAGTTGAAGAGCGATGGGCTTGTGGCTTTGCGTTATGTCGACGATCAAGGTGAGAACAAAAATTGTAATGAATTGTTTCTTTATCTTCTCTTACTGCATTTTTCATCAAAGGTGCTTCGATTTTTTATTTTCAACAGCATAATAGCATTGGAGTTCAGCAGTTGGTCAAGAAACCTCGAAAAAGTATGATAACATGTATATATAGGGTTGTCCAAAAAAACCGGAATTTTGTTTATGTCTGATAACTTTTTCATTTATTGGCCGATTTGATTGATTTTGGTCTTGTTCGAGAGAGAATTGATCAAGGCAGTCCGTTGATAGCAAATTTTTCATATTCGTTCAAAAAACAAAATGGCGGAGTCACCTAAACTTGGTAGAATTTGAAAACTTGCTGGAACTTTTTTAAGTCGCACTGTATATCGTTTCGTGTAAGAATCTGGAAGTTTGGATATTTCTGAATAGAACAAGATGTCGAACATGATAATTCGTCGAAAAATACCTGATAATATATGACAGGATATAGACATGTATGTTTTGGAACTTTTATGCTCATTTTCATTCGTTATTTCCAAGATCCACCTCATTTATGATTTTCAAAGTCTTCAAAATCATGATAATTTTGAGTCAAGTGGTATAAAAGCATAAATTACGATTCCTTCATGGAATTCAACTCAATACAATCATTCTCAAACAAAAGGAAAAACTATATTGAACAAGAAACAAGAGTAAGCGAGAAAATTATGTTCTAATGTGGTCCCCATCAGCTTCAACCACTAATTCCACACGTCGTCGCCAACTGTCAATTGATTTCCTAATATTAACTTGGCTGGTTTCCTCCCAACACTGAAGAATTCTCTCTTGTAGTTGTTCAACATTTTCAAATATTGTTCCATTTTTGTGAACTCTAGCCTCCAAATCACCCCACAGAAAATAGTCACAAGGATTCAAATCAGGACTATTTGGAGGCCATTCTTGTGGTTCTAAAAAATTGGCAACGTTCTCTCTTAACTAATTAATTGTGTGTGTACTCTGGTGTGACATCTTGCGCCATCCTAAAATCAAATTTTTAATGGAAATAGTCAAAAAATAATAAATGATATAAGAAAAACTCGAGGAAAATGATGAGAAGATACAAACATACCTGCATGAAAATAAAGTCAGGAGTTGAATCCTCTATTTCTGGAAGCATTTTGCTAAAACAGTGTCACAATAACTCTGTGAATTTAGCCTGACCCCTTGCCTAATGAGAATCAAATTTGCTTTATGTTCTCTAGAAATTCCTGCAGAAACCATGACGTACTTAGTGAATTTATCTCTTTCACTCAGAAGACGTTCCAACGGCGTTTCCCGTTTTCGTTGGTGGTGAGGTAAACAAAATCTATCATTTTGCGAGTTTTTCAAGGGGTTGATTGTAAATATTTTTTCGTCGGTGAACCAAATTTTTTGAATATCTCTCCTAGATCTGAATTTATTCAATAGATTTCTACATCTCAACAATCTTCTGGCTTTGATTTCAGGAGTGAGTTTGAATGAATACATTCGTTAAAAAAAATTAAGCCCCAAATCAATCTTTATTATCCTGTTCACAGAGCTACGCGAAATTCCAGATCTTCTGGAAATTTGCGGAACGCTAAAGCTAGTCCTAGGCGCCCTTTCGGGACTCACAGCCAAATTCAAGACTTGGGCAATATTTACCTGAAATGAGTTTTGGTAGATCATAAGACATACAATGATAGCACCTAGCTTACCAACCTGTGTTCTGACACTCCTTGGCCGCCCACTTCCTTCGCGTCTTGCAATGGAGTGTGTTAAGTTAAATTTCTTTACGAAATCGTAAATTGTACTTTTTTTATACCGCTCGACAGCAAAATGTTGTAAAATATCACTCACTCTGTATCCTCTCAAAATTAAAGTTTTGATAAAAATTTTATCGTCATTGGAAAGCGCCATTATATACACTTTAGAAAGCAAAAATGAAGTGATTTCTATCTCAAAAAGTCAATTCAAGAGCTGTCAATAATTACAAATAACAAGAATCAACAACACAAGAAGCGATGATTGACATACGCCGCCTCGATTTCAATGAAAAATTGGTAACAAAATGTGAAAACATACATGTCTATATCCTGTCATATATCAGGTATTTTTCGACGGATTATCATGTTCGACATCTTGTTCTATTCAGAAATGTCCAAACTTCCAGATTCTTACACGAAACGATATACAGTGCGACTTAAAAAAAGTTCCAGCAAGTTTTCAAATTGTACCAAGTTTAGGTGACTCCGCCATTTCGTTTTTTGAACGAATATGAAAAATTTGCTATCAACGGACTGCCTTGATCAATTCTCTTTCGAACAAGACCTAAATCAATAAAATTGGCCAATAAATGAAAAAGTTGTCAGACAAAAACAAAATTCCGTTTTTTTTTTTAATAACCCTATATAATATGATGCTTGTAGCACATGTTGAAGGTAATGTGTGATGTGAATTTTGAGTGTTCAATTTTTTGTTTCGGATTTTTCATTTGTATCATGCATTGGTAGATTTTCTGGAGTTCAGTAGCTAGTTAAGGAATCTTGAAGAGGTGAAAAAAACGAGAGTTACACAGCATATGGATTATTTTCTGGTTATTTGTTTCTTGTAAGTTAGACGTTTAGTTGATGCTTACTGCTTTCCTTGAAGCTTAAGAAAATTGCTTACCTGGAGCTAAAATCTACAACTTTTTTTCCTGGTATAATAAATAACTATGTGTTTGATATATCAGTTTCTCTTTTCGAAATATACATATACGTAGATTTGTCATAGTTAAGAGTCAGCTTATGAATTTGTAGCCAAGATGATATCATTTTCAAGTCAATTTTCATCTCAAAACCACATCATCTTGCAGGCTTACCAACGGAATCCTACCCGATGAACCCGAACGGAAGCCCCGAAGGTCTAGCGGCGGTGTGCTCCCCAGACGGCAGACATTTGGCCATGATGCCGCACCCGGAGAGATGCGTCCAGCCGTACCAATGGCCTTATATGCCGGTCAGCTGGAAGGGATACCGGAAGAGTCCGTGGGAAAGGATGTTCCGGAACGCGTACGAGTGGTGTCAGAAAGAATAAGTTGAAAATCAAAATAGTTTATTGTGATTCAGGAAGCGTATTGTGTATTTCAGATTGGTGGCTTGGTTTTCAGAAAGTGTAACTTTTTGAATAACAAGTTTCACTTCCTGAATTAAAATTTCGAAAGGTGTATAGTATTTAAGAATGTAAACGGGACATCTGGGAAGTAGGAAAAATCGCTGTAGCTCAGTGTCGCGACTTTTTCACCTACTTTTTGTCACGCTAATGAAACTTTCATTCGAATCCGGAAAGGTTGTTTGATTTATCACACTTCCTGAATTGAAATTTCGAAAGGTGTAAAATGGCCAAGAATGAAAACGGGACATCTGGGAAGTAAGAAAAATCGCGCTAGTATTGTCTCTTTTTTTGCAATGCTAATAAAACTTTCATTCGAATCCAGAAAGGTTGTTTGATTTATCACACTTCCTGAATTGAAATTTTGAAAGGTGTAAAATAGCCAAGAATGAAAACGGGACATCTGGGAAGTAGGAAAAATCGCGCTAATAGTATTGTCTCGCGACTTTTTCACCTACTTTTTGCCATGCTAATAAAACTTTCATCCGAATCCGGAAAGGTTGTTTGATTTATCACACTTCCTGAATTGAAATTTTGAAATGGAACGGAAACGGGACATCTGGGAAGTAACAAAAATCGCTCTAGCATATAGTCTCGCGACTTTTTCAGCTACTGTTTGTCATGATAATGAAACTTTCATCCGAATCCGGAAAGAATGTTGTTTGATTTATCGGAGCAGACCAAGTCGATTCTTTTCAATTGCTTGAGATTTTTTATCTGAAATTGAAAACAACTTCTCATCAATGAATGTGAATCAGGTCCTTAAATTTTCCACTAATATCGTCTGGTGACAGTGTGTTCTCCGGAGGACAGACACTTTGGAGTTGGTTATAAATTTCTTTGTTGTTTTGTTTTCTGAAGTTTGGTAACATATAATCGTTTCTCGCTACAAGGATCATGAAAAGATAATCACGATTTTGATGCATATAACAGTAAGATATTTTCATCAGAATTAAAGTGTTACATTTGACAAGAAAATGATAGACAATGACAGCTACCTGTTTAGAAACTTATTTGACAAAAATATAACGTGTTTTAATTCAAAGAATTCTTCATGAATTGATAATATTTCAAAAGTTAAAAAAAAAGTGGTGGTAGATAGGAGGCAAAAATAAGTGGTCGAAAACTTTATCTGAAAGAGAATAAACAGGTGAGTCCAATTTTTTTTCAATTTTTTTTTATCGCTTGGAGCGCACGAAAGGAAATCCTTATAATGTTCAAAGAACATTGTGCGCTCCTAGGGAGGATAGGGACAGGAGGTAGGTATTGAAATTCTTTTTGAACTTCTGGCGATTATATGATGTATGTATGCTCTATAAATACTGCCAAAATAGTTTGCGCGCTTTTAGATTTTTTCTTCAGATTTTTAAATATATTTTTGAAAGAGCTCATAATTTTCTTGGTCTTCACGAAAACAAACGTTAAAACATGTTACATTTACCTACCACTGATCTTCATTTAAATATTGTTGCATTTTTGTAATAAGTAAATTAATAGGTTTTCAGATTACTATTCTCTCTGAATAATTCTATGAACAGAAGATGTCAACTCAAGATGTCTGCTGGTGTATTATTTCTATTTTTTGCTGTCCAAAGTGAACTGTGAGTAGTTTATTATAATATGCATTTTCAGCGTAAAACCAGCACGGTCCCATATTTAACCCCAATACTGGGGTAACTTTTGGGACAGTATATATACAGTAATTTTCTTTAAAAAAATTGAAACTTGGGGTGATGAAATTGGTGCATGAATACTATATTTTGGAGTAGGTAGAATTGACAGATGAAAATTTCAAGATGGCGACTATAGGCGCCATCTGGGATGAAAATATTAAATGGAAAGGGGGCTCTTGTGACACATCATTTCGAAGTTCCTGACGAATAATTCACAACCCTGAAATATACAGTGTGTCCCATTTACCATGCTCACCATGGGTATCTTTTCAACGGTGAGAGATACGAGGTCGGTTAAATGACACCAAATGTGGAGTTTGTCAAGACCAACTATAATGTGAAAAAATATTTTGATAAAATCTATTCGTATTTGTGTTATACGTAAAAAACAGATTTTGATCATTTTCATGTCTCCTCCGTAACTTCTTTATTTATGAAAATATTCAAATAGGAATTTCACATTCTCTTGGCAGTTTTTCAAAGTGATTTCGAAAAAAATATGAAATTCATACCAACTCTTCTAGAATTTGAGATATCAGCACCAACTTTAGTTTTTCAAATGTAGGTTATAGCTCACAATATGACTCAGTTACAAATAACTTTTTTTTCTCTCACAGATGATATGTCGCAGTAATAGTTTTGTGTTGATAACAATCGGAGTTATCGTCATTTATAAAAAAAACAAAAAATTATTTTGAAGCTGTCATCTTGAATTTATAAAATTTAACAGGAAAATCATGATCTCCGAACTCGAAAACCCCCACCTATCAATTTTGAATGGAATCGGACCAAATCTTGTCCGCCATCTTGAAGCAGCCATTTTTTTTAATTTCAACAAAAATTCCATAATGTATTGTCAACGAAATTATGAACACCAGCCAAATTTCAAGTTAATCGGAGTTATGGAATTTTTGTTGAAATCAAAAAAATGGCTGCTCCAAGATGGCGGACAAAATTTGGTCCGATTCCATTCAAAATTGGTAAGTGGGGGTTTTTGAAGTCGGAGATTATGATTTCTTCGTTAAAATTTATAAATTCAAGATGGCGGCTTCCAAATAATTCTTTGTTTTTGTATAAATGACGATAACTCCGTTGTTATCAACACGAAACTATTACTGCGACATATCATCTGTAAGAGAAAAAAAAGTTATTTGTAACTAAGTCATAGTGATCTTTGACCTACAGGGTGATTGACTATGGATTTCTCGACTTCGACAGCTGATATCTCGAAAACGAAAAAAGATATTCGAAATTTGTAGAAAGTTACTTGAATGAGATGTCATTTCCTTCTGGAAAATTTGTTCTCTGCTTGATTTTATTATTTCATATACAGGGTATGTGAAAAAAAATTTTTTTTTCAAATGGAACCCCCCGTATATTATCGCATATTTCGAAAGAGCTATCTTTTCTGATTTCGAAAATATATACTTTTCATATATTCTATCGAGTGCTTGACGAAATATCAGCAAAATTAAATATTAATATTTGGTCCAAGTTAGCTATGGTTGAAATAGAATGAGATGATGAATAAGTGAATTGACATTTGGTCAACATTTCAGTGACATAAGTGCGCAAAATTTCGACAATTTTTTCACGATGCCATATCCACTGGAACAAAGAAGAGATATTTTGGAGTGCTATTTTTCAGTTAATAAAAGTCTTGCTGAAACACTTCATAAGTTTATGAGGAGTTATCCAGGCAGGAGATTACCAAGTAAGAATTATGTAAAGTATTTGGCTGCTAAATTTGACAGAATTTCCAGTTTGTCGAATATCAAAAGAATAGTGAGAAGGCAAGACAACGAAGACGAGGAATTTCTTGTAATCCAGTATTTTGTCGAGGATCCTTCACGGTCAATAAGGAATGCAGTGAGAGAGTTTGGTTTCAGCTATTATTTTGTTCAACATACCTTAAGGAAATATAAATATAGGGATTTCAGAATTAGACCATGCCACAAACTCAATTATGATGATAATGAGAAGCGGATTGAATTTTGTCTTGTCATATCTGAAAGATTAAATATAAGTAAGGATAAGTGTAAGTGTTTCGGCAAGATTTTTATTAACTGAAAAATAGCACTCCAAAATATCTGTTCTTTGTTCCAGTGGATATGGCATCGTGAGAAAATTGTCGGAATTTTGCGCTTTTATGTAACTGGAATGTTGGCCAAATGTCAATTCACTTATTCATCATCTCATTCTATTTCAACCATAGCTAACTTGGACCAAATATTAATATTTAATTTTGCTGATATTTCGTCAAGCCCTCGATAGAATATATGAAAAGTATATATCTTCGAAATCAGGAAAGATAGCTCTTTCGAAATATGCGATAATATACAGGGGGTTCCATTTGAAAAAAAAAATTTTTTTCACGAACCCTGTATATGAAATGATAAAATCAAGCAGAGAACACATTTTCTAGAAGATAATGACATCTCATTCAAGTACCTTTTTCCAAATTTCAAATATCTCTTTTCGTTTTCGAGATATCAGCTGTTGAAGTCGAGAAATCCATAGTCAATCACCCTGTACATTTGAAAAACTAAAGTTAGTGCTGATATCTCAAATTCTAGAAGAATTGGTATAAATTTCATATTTTTTTCGAAATCACTTCTAAAAACTGCCATGAGAATGTGAAATTCCTATTTGAATATTTTCATGAATAAAGAAGTTACGGAGGAGACATGAAAATGCTCAAAATCTGTTTTTTGCCTATAAAACAAAAACGAATAGATTTTATCAGAATATTTTTTCACATTATAGTTGGCCTTGACAAACTCCACATTTGGTGTCATTTAACCGACCTCGTATCTCTCACCGTTAAAAAGATACCCATGGTGAGCATGGTAAGTGGGACACACTGTATAAAGTCATCATCAATATATCTCCATCTACTACAAAATGGCGGAACATTTATTAATATTAATTGTCTCAATACATCGACGTTTAACTTTATATTTTAAGGAAATAAGGTGAGTTCAGTTCAGAAGATGCTTGAAATGGTTGCCTTGAACTTCTGGACATAAGCACCTTGTTTAAAAGTTAGGCAAGCCAAGGTTAGTTCATTTCTTTGTACCACTATTTCACCTGATAAAGGTATTGTGTTAGCGAAACATATGTCGATCGTGTGATTGAGAATTTTGTGGAAATCTCATCGTTTGTGAAGTTTTCATATACAGGGTGAGTCATGACTAACCAGCCATAGCCCAATGGCGGATAGAGGAGGTCAAGGTGAGTTGATATATTTAT